CCGACAGGGGAGACAGGATGGGACAGAAGCAGAACCAGATCAGAACCGGACAGAACCAGAACAGAACCAGAGCAGAGTGGAACCAGAGCCAAAACAAGACCCGAACAGAACCAGAACCAGAACAGAATCAGAACAGAACCAGAATCAGAGCAGAACCAGACCCAGAACAGAAGCAGAGATGGAACAGAACCAGAACAGAACCAGAGTCAGTACAAAACCAGAACCAGAGCCAGAGCAGAACCAGAGCCAGAACAGAATCAGAACCAGAACAGAATCACAGCCAGAGCAGACCTAGACCCAGAGCAGACCCAGGATCCTGCTCCCTCCGTTGTACTGCTCTTCGAGGAAACTGCATCTAGGCTCTCTTGGCTCGGTGCAGTGACCAGGGAGGCACCTCATACCCCCCAGTTTTGTACCATTCCTGGAGCCTTTTCGGTGGTCCCGGTTTGGGTGCTCCTGGCATCAGTGCCCCTTCCCTGGGTGCCCCCTAGAGGCTCCGGGCAGGCGAAATGGGCCTTCTCTGGACAGTCACCCCTGACCTCAGGCTCCTCTGGGTGCTGGCCTATCTGGGACATCCTGACCCCCAGGACGTGGCCTCCGTGGCCATTCTACTGGTGGACCACATGCAGTAGCACCTGCAGGCCGGGGGCTCGTGTGGCTCCGGGCTGTCCCCTGCCTGCTCGGTCAGTCACTCAGCCCTGCCCTGCGCCAGGGGAGGTGGATAAGGCGGGTTTGGGTGAGTGGTGGAGGTGCAGGAACCAGGAGGGGTGCAGCGGGGAGAGAGCTCAGGCACTGGCATGGTCAGTGCCCTGCAGCGGGGAGAGAGCTTGGGCACGGGTGGGGTCAGGGCTCTGCATTGGGGAGAGAGCTCGGGCACAGGCTGGGTCAGCGCCCTGCAGCGAGGAGAGAGCTTGAGGATGGGCAGGGTCAGGGCTCTGCATTGGGAAGAGAGCTCGGGCACAAGCTGGGTCAGGGTTCTGCAGCAGGGAGAGAGCTCGGGCACAGGTGGGGTCAGGGCCCTGCAGCGGGGAGAGGGCTCGGGCACGTATGGGGCAGGGTTCTGCAGCAGGGAGAGAGCTCAGGCACAGGCAAGGTCAGGGCCCTGCAGTGAGGAGAGAGCTTGGGCACGGGCAGGGTCAGGGCTCTGCAGCGGGGAGAGAACTCGAGCACAGGCTGGGTCAGGGTTCTGCATCCGGGAGGGAGCTCGGGCATGGGCGGGGTGTGGGCCCTGCATCGGGGAGAGAGCTCGGGCTTGTCTGAGTCCCCGCCTGGCATGAGGCCTCCAGGGATTGTGTCTGTCTGTCGGGCACAGAGCAGGGGCCAAGTGGGATGCAGGGGACCCACCTGCTGTAGGTCTTCCTGCCGCATGACCCCAAACACCCCTGCTGAAGGGAGCCAGGCCCGTGAGGGAACCGCACCCGGGAGCTGGTTCTAGAACATTCTCCTGACTCGAGTGCCCCCCCTGCCTCCGGCCCCCGCCCCGGCCTGCAGGTGCCCTGCGCCTTGGCAGCCGCGGACCGCCTGGCACGCAGCCCTGCACGTTCGGTCGAATTAACGAGTGACGACAATTTTAATGAGTTTCTCTGGTCGGGGCAGCTGATTAGGATCTCACGGAGGTTTGTTCCTGCAGATGGTTTTCATTAGTGTGGGGCTGGGGGGTGATTCCCTGAACTTTATCTCCCGTTCGGGACCCCTGAGCTCCCTGGGGCGGGGATCCAATTTGTTGCTTTTAACTCGTCTCAACCGCGTAATAGCAGGTGAGCTGAGGCCCGGGGCGGCTGTGTCTGCTGCCGGGAGAGGGCCGGGGAGCGTGTGAGTGTGAGTGTGTGTGAGTATGTGAGTGTGTGTGTGTGTGTGTGTGCGTGAGCGCGAGAGTCTGTGAGTCAGAGCATGTGAGTGCATGTGTGAATGTGCACACACGCTCACACTCACACCCACTCGCCCTCACGCTGATTCACTCACACGCTCCCTCGGCCCCTCTCCCGGCGGCAGACACAGCCGCCCCGGCCTCAGCTCACCTGCAACTAAGAGGTTAGAGGGGCTGGAGCGATAGCACAGCGGGGAGGGCGTTCGCCTCGCACGCAGCCAACATGGCCGACCCGGGTTCGATTCCCAGCATCCCACTGGGCCCCCCGAGCACCGCCAGGAGCGATTCCTGAGTGCGTGAGCCAGGAGTAACCCCTGCGCATCGCCGGGTGTGACCCCAAAAAAGAAAAAGGTTAGAAATGAATGAGCACATGTGTGAGTGTGTGTGTGAGCGTGTGTGAGCATATGTGGACGTGGGTGTCTGTGGGTGGGTGTGAGTGTGAGTATGTGTGAGTGTGAGTGCATGAGTGTGAACACAGACACACGTGTGTGTGTGTGTGTGTGTGAGCTTGCGTGTGAATTAACGAGAGTGTGGGGCAGAGCAGCACGTCTGAGGGGTGAGGCCTGAAGGGTCAAGCCCAGGGGTGTGTGCGTGTGTGCGCGTGTGCGTGTGCGTGTCCGTGGGCCTGGACTTGCGCAGCTACTGGCCCGAGACAGGGCCGGGTGGGCCGGGCTGGGCGGGACCCCCGGGGGCCTTGAGGGGATGCAGGACAGGCCCAGACCGCCCGGAGCGGCCGTGGGAAGGGTGGGTGCTGGCGCCTCCTCGGGGCGCGGGGACCTGGGAAGACTGTGTGCCCGGCCCCACCCTTCACACACGGAGTGCTGAGTCTTTCTGGAAGCTTCTGCTCACCTGGCTTCCAGGGCAGGGAGTAGGAGCCCCAGGGCAGACTTCGGGTGCTCTCAGAACCGAGAGCTTTGCTTCTGCTTCTCGGGCTGGGGATAGGGCCTGGCGGGAGGCAGGGAGAGGCGGGCAGGTGGGCTCGCGGCTGGGCCGGGGGGGGGGGGGTCCCCAGCACCTCTGTCTGCACCTGGGGCTGCCCCCTCCGCCCCGCCCTGGGAATTTAGCAGAGGAATTTCCTTAGTAAATATTTGACCAGAAAAAGAAAAAAAAAAGACAAAACCCCACTTCTCCCGCCCCGCCCGCCCGGTTGCAACGTGCCTGTGGATTAGCAGCCGTCTGGGCCAATATTTGATCTCCCCCCCGCCCCCCCCCCCGCCCCAGGAGGCAGAGCGATGCCCTCCTGGGGGTGCCCGCTGTGGGCGGAGCTGTGGCCGGTGTCCACCCCAGGATGGGAGGTCACGATCTCCAGTCCTGGGTCTCCCGTCTCGGCAGTGCGTGTCTGGCGCCCGAGCCCCTGGGGAGCTGACCCCCTTTCTCCGGAAGGGGCTCCAGGACCCCGTGGATGTTGGGGGCCCAGGAGGGGGCCGTACGGTGCAGGTTGCACTGAGCTCTTGATCTGGGGGGTCCCAAGGTGCCAGAACCCTGCCAGCCTCCCTCCCACCCTACAGTGCTCCCGGAGTGTCTCCCCCCAGCCCCAAGCCCCCTCAACTCGTTCCAGCCCCTCTGCTACCCTCCTGCCCCGTGTCCCCAGCCGCCCCCGCGCCCCCACCAAACCGGTGTACCCAGTTCCCTTTTCCCTGCCCCGTTCCTGGGATTTTGGGGTCAGAATCTTCTGGAGCTCATTCACAGGCGTGTCAGCTGAACTGGGGTCTACAGGGGTGTGGGAGGGGGTGTGTGACCCGCAGGGGTGTGTGTTTGGGGGTGTGACCCGCAGGGGTGCAGGACAGGGGTGTGTGATGCTCAGGGGTGCAAGGGGACCTGTGACCTGTAGCTGGCTGTGACCCCGCCGTCCTTCCCACATGCCTCTTCCGGGGTCCCGTGTCCCTCCCCCACCCCAGCCAAGGTGGGCTCGCTGACCCTCTGCAGGCTCAGGGCGTTCAGGCCTCAGGGCTGGCCGTCTGCTGGGGGCATGGTTGTCACGGGGCAGGGCGGCTCCCCCCTCCCGGCCCAGAGGCCCTAGTGGCCGGGTGGTCTCCAGTAAGGACCTCCCTGACCCCTCGTCCCACCTCTCCCCTTCCTTCCTGCTGCCCGCTCACAGGGGAGGAAACCCCCAAAGAGGGAGCACGGAGACGCACGCAGGGGTGGGGTGAGGATGGAGACCCCCCTCCCATCAAGTGCTGCCCAGAGACCCCCACGCTGGAACATTCTAGAGGATGGGTGGGGCCGGAGGATCAGACCGGATGGAGTGGCCTGGGCTGGCCTAGAGGGGGAGGCCTTGGGCTGGGGGGTGGGGGGCAGCGGCCAGGCTGGCTCACCCTGCCCTGCCCCCATGGCCACGGCCAGCTCCTCCCCCTGGGTTTGGGGGCTCCTGGGCCGTGCCCGGCGGGGCCCCGACTCTCCGTGGTGATGTTGCTTTGCTGTTGGGACACAGCGTGAGTCACGGCCCCTCCCGCATGGCTCATGGCCCCCGAGGGCCTGAGAAGCCCAGTCCTGGGTCTGCCGGCGTCTGCACCCCACCCCTCCCGGGCTCCCCACCGGGCCTCGGGCTGCTGTGGGCAGGGGCAGCTGGTGGGCAGGGGCAGCTGGCGACCCTGCGCTGTCACCCAGCCACCTCCCGGACCCCAGCTGGCGGGCAGCAGAGGGGTCACCCCCACCCAGGCCGGGCTGTGACCAGTGGAGACTCTGTGTGTGTGTGTGTGTGTGTGTGTGTGTGTGTGTGTGTGATGATCATCTACAGGGGGTCCCAGCCCTGTGGGGACCTGCGGGAACTCCGTGCTGGTGGGAGGGGCACACAGGAGCTCGTGGGGGTGGGCAGGGCCCTGTGGGCACTGCCGGGGGCTTCTCTGGGGGGTCCCTCACCGCTGCGGGGTGTCGGGGGGCTGGGGAAGGACCACGAGGCTGGGTCTTGGGGGCGCAGGAGCCAAGCCCTGAGCTCGTCCTGCGTCAGTTCCCCGGGACACGGGGATGGTCACTCTGAGGGTCCTGCCCGGGCCCCAGGGGTCTGAGCCGGGGCTCCCGGCGCTGGGGTCACTCTGAGGGTCCCGCAGGGCGCCCTCCCCGGGGGTCTGAGCCGGGCTGGCGGGCGGGCTTGGCCCGGCCGGCCCGGCGCTGACGGCCGGCCCGTGTCCCGCAGACGGCGTCCACAGCGTGGCGGCCCTGTGCACCCTGCGCGTGACGGTCATCACGGACGCCATGCTGAGCAGCAGCATCACGGTACGCCTGCAGGGCATGTCCCAGGAGCGCTTCCTGTCGCCGCTGCTGGCGCTGTTCGTGGAGGGCGTGGCCACGGTGCTGTCCACGGCCCGGGACCACGTCTTCGTCTTCAACATCCAGAACGACACGGACGTGAGCGCCAGCATCCTGAACGTGACCTTCTCGGCGCTGCTGCCCGGCGGGGGCCGCGAGCGCTTCTTCGCCTCCGAGGACCTGCAGGAGCGCATCTACCTGAACCGCTCGCTGCTGGCCGCCGTGTCCGCCCAGCGCGTGCTGCCCTTCGACGACAACATCTGCCTGCGCGAGCCCTGCGAGAACTACATGAAGTGCGTGTCCGTCCTGCGCTTCGACTCCTCGGCGCCCTTCCTCAGCTCGGCCACCGTGCTCTTCCGGCCCATCCACCCGGTCACCGGCCTGCGCTGCCGCTGCCCGCCCGGCTTCACCGGCGACTACTGCGAGACCGAGATCGACCTGTGCTACTCCAGCCCCTGCGGCCCGCACGGCCACTGCCGCCGACGGGAGGGCGGCTACGCCTGCGAGTGTCTGCAGGGCTACACAGGTAGGCGGGGGCTCCGTCCTGGGTCCCGGGGCGGGAACGGGGTTTGGGACTTGGGGAGGGGGTCCGAGTTCCGCACCCTGCCGGGTTATACAGGTAGGCGAGAGGCTTCGTCCTGTGGCGGGAACGGGGTTTGGGACTGGGGGCGGGGGGTCCGAGTTCCGCACCCTGCAGGGTTACAAAGGTAGGCAGGGGCTACGTCCTCTGGCTAGAAATGGGGTTTGGGGTTTGGGGGGTCCGAGTTCCGCACCCTGCTGGGTTATACAGGTAGGCGGGGGCTTCGTCCTGTGGCCAGAAACGGGGTTTGGGGTTTGGGGTTTGGGAGGGTCCAAGTTCTGCACCCTGCGGGGTTACACAGGTAGGCGGGGGGCTCCGTCTTGGGTCCGGGGCGGGAACGGGGTTTGGGACTTGGGGAGGGGGTCCGAGTTCCGCACCCTGCCGGGTTATACAGGTAGGCGAGAGGCTTCGTCCTGTGGCGGGAACGGGGTTTGGGACTGGGGGCGGGGGGTCCGAGTTCTGCACCCTGCCGGGTTACAAAGGTAGGCAGGGGCTACGTCCTCTGGCTAGAAATGGGGTTTGGGGTTTGGGGGGTCCGAGTTCCGCACCTTGCGGGGTTACACAGGTATGCGGGGGCTTCGTCCTGGGGCGGGAACGGGGTTTGGGACTTGGGAGGGTCCGAGTTCCACACCCTGCAGGGCTACGCAGGTAGGCAGGGGGCTCCATCCTGGGGGCCGGAAACTGGGGCTGGGACTTCGAGTTCCGAGTCCCGCACTCTCTCAGCCAGTGGGGGGTTTGAGACGCCCCCAGAGCTGCCCCTGGGGTGCTGGGGGGACGCCCCTGTTTCCGGAGCAGGCGGCTCCTCTGTGCCTGGAGGGACCCCAAATCCCGTCCCGCCTGCCCGCCGGCTCATTGTTCCCCTAAGCGCCTGGAAGCTTCACTTGGGGGATCCGGGCCGGGTGACGGGATTAGCGGGTGTTTAGAAGCAGGAAGGGCGCAGAGCCCGCGGGCAGAGAGGAAATGAAGGGTGGGGGGTGGGGGGCTGGAGAGGGGGCGCGGGGTGGGGGGAGGGGGGCCGGGGGGCCCGGAGAGGGGACACAGCCGCACTTGGGCATCTCGGCACCAGCCCGGTTGTGGACCAGCTCTGTCACTGCCCTCCCGTCCCACCTGTGTGTGGGGCCTGCCCCCAGCACCCGCAGAAGGGGGAACCCCAAGATTCCTGCTCTCCTGGGGGGGTCGAGACAGGCGGGTGGGGAAGGCGCCCCCGCCCCCCAGGAGATGCTGCCGTGAGGGTGGCCGGAACTGTCCCCGCATCTCGGGGTGCAGAGGCATCCTGAGCTGGGGGTCTGCCCCGGGGGACATGCCCGCCCCTCCCCGACTCAGGGCTCCCTCTGCCACCCTGCGACTCTGTCTGGGTGCTGCTGGGGGCCCCGTGTGTGTCCACAGGGTCCTGCCAGGTGACGGTGACCCCGGGTCCCTGCTCTCCTGCCCTTTTCCGAGCGGAGGCCGGCCCGGGGGAGGGTCCCTGCCAGCCCCCAATGGCTGAGCCGCTTTGAAGCTCCCTGTGCTTCTCCGCGGTAATTGGGCTCATTTCTCCCGATGAAAGGCGGCTGTCAGCGCGCGGGTCTCGTTCCTCGCTCCCCGTAAGCCGACCCGGCCTCGCGCCTGGGAAGCTGGACGGGGCCCAAGGCGGCAGGAAGCCCGAGGGGGCTCCAGGAAGTCAGGAAGGGCCCGCCAGCCGGACCCCGGGCGCTGGGCGTTGAAAGCCCGCTGGCGGGGTCGGACCCCCGGGCGACTGGCGCTGGCTTGGCTGTGTGAGGGTCAGCACGGGGACCCAGGGCCGGTCACTGCCGCACCCCCTCCCCACTCCCCACTTTCTGTCCTCCTGTCACTCATGTGCCACAGCTAGCCCTCTGCCCTGGGAAGGTTCTGGAAGGTTCCAGAAGACTCCCGAAGCTGGGTGCCAGCGGTGACCTGCTACCAAATTTCACGGGGCGGAAGAGGTCCTGCGCGTTGGTATTTTAACGGCATGTGCTGCCTCTCTGGGGGGGCTCAGATTTGAATTTTTATTTTATACGGGGCTGGAGGGATAGCACTGCGGGTAGGGCGTTTGCTTTGCACGCGGCCGACCCGGGTTCGAGTCCCAGCATCCCATAGGGTCCCCTGAGCACCGCCAGTAGTGATTCCGGAGTGCATGAGCCAGGAGGAACCTCTGTGCATTGCCGGCTGTGACCCCCCCCCCAAAAAAAAGAGTAAATTTTTATTTTATTTATTTTGGCGTTTCAAGCCATCCTTCGTGCTGGGTCACGCCTGGCTGTGCTTGGGGGAGCACGTGGGGTGCTGGGGATCAAACCTGGTCTCAGGGGGACAGTGAGGGTTCCCCATGGTCCCAGACCCCAAGGGCACCCTGGCGGGAGGAGGCTGGAGTCCAGGGTGAGCCGGGCCATGACCCCCTGGACCCGGTGCTGACCCCCTCGGTCTGCTCCCGGCTGGGGGGTCTCAGGTGGGCAGTGTCGGGGCCCCTTGTGAGTCTGGGTCCTTCTTGCTCCTGAGCCCCCCAGAGGGCTCGATGCTGGGGGACAGTCCTGGGTTATGGGACACGCTGCGGGCAGGGGGTCTCCCTGCAGCCCCAGCCCGGCCCCCCGAGGTTCCCGCCCCCTCTCCCCCACAGACCCTCCCCGCCCCATTCTCCCGTGTAGGGGTGGGGGTGGCTGCGGGTGAGTACGGAGGTGGGGAATAGGTATGAGGGTGGACGTGGGTGACGTGACGGGTGGCCTGGTGGGTGGACATGCTGTCCATCTCAGGCCTCCCCGGGCTGCCCTGAGGGCCAGGCCCGGCAGTCCAGAGGCGGCGCCGTGGCCGAGGCCAGCCATGACCCGGGCTTCGCTGTGGCCGCCGGGGAGGGGCTGGTGGACGCTGCCCTGGGCCCGAGTGTGTTCGCTGTGGTGAGGACACCCTCCATGTCCTGTGGCACTGCCCTGTGCCTCACGCTGTGCTGGGCCCCGTACAGACGGGTGCCACCGTGAGAGCCCAGACCAGGGCCGGGCGTGAGGAGCAGAAGGCGCCAGCCGCCCGTTTAGTCACCGCCCAGCGGGACACCCGAGGCACACCAGGAGGGCGGGGCCCGGTTCACAGAGAGCACAGCACAGGGTGTGTGTGTGTGTGTGTGTGTGTGTGTGTGTGCACGCGTGTGCATGTGTGAGCCGGGGCATCAGAGTGCAGGTGTGTGTGTGTGTGTGTGTGTGTGTGTGTGTGTGTGTGTGTGTGTGAGACCCGGGGTCATGAGGGTGCAGGTGCACACGTGTGAGATGCAGTGCGTGCTCCGTGACTGTGAGTGTGTCCGTGTTTGTGTGTGAAGGCAGTACTTGTGTTGTGCAGCACATGTGCACATGTACGGGTATACTCTGAGCATATGTGTGTACGTGTGCATGTGTGTTCTTGTGAGGGTGCAGAGTGCTTGCTGCGGGTCCGGACTTAGTTCTCCTTGTGCTGTGTGTGTGTGTGTGTATGCAAGCGCTTGTGTGTGTATGTGTGTGTGTGTGTGCACACGCAGCAGGCCCTGGCCCCTGCATGGCCCTGAATCCCAGGAGACCCTCGAGGCCTCAGCTCTGGCCATGCTCAGGGTCTGCACCCTTGAGGCCCCAAGTTGGATCCCGGCAGGGTGGGTGGGTGGGTGGGGGCTGGGCGCTGGGCAGCGTCTCTGCCACCCCTGCCCCGAAGAGGCAGGAACCTGGGCGGGCGGGAGAGACAGGATGGGCTGAGGTGCTCCCCCTGCATGCAGTGACACCGGCTCCATCCCGGGGACCTGAATAGGAGGAGGAGGAGGCAGGGGACAGAAAGAGAAGGAAGTAGCGCAGAGTTGGTGACTGACCCGCGGGACAATAGTGAGCTAGGTCAAAGGTGAACGCAGGCAGGGCTGAGCCGACCTGCAGGCGTGAGGCCTTGAGTCCGACCCCCAGAGTCTCCCACATGCGCTGGGCGCGGCCACCGTAGCTGGCGGGTGATCCCCAGAGAGAGGGTCCTCGGGCCCCAGCGTGGAGCCACACAAGCAGGAAGTGCCCCTCCCCCTCCCCTTTGGGGGCCACCACTGTGGGGTCTTCCTGCGGGCCTCTGCTGTGGGCCCTCACTGCTGGTCCAGTGGCTCCGTGGACTGCAGACGTGAGGAGTGCTCTGGGCCCCTCTGCCCTCCCGTCCAGTCGCCCTCCTGTGAGGACCTGCAGCTCCTCCGGGTGGGGGGCCTTGAGTTTGCCCCCCGTGACTCTCCAGCCAGTGCCCGGAGATGCGGCTGCCGAAGGGTCAGGTCTGCCCTGGCCGCCGTGAGTGGGGGCAGCGCAGAGACCGCCCCTCTGTCCCAGGCCGGGGCTGGCCTGCTGCCGTGGGACGTGGTCTGTCCCCGCAGGGCGGACAGCCGTGCGTCAGGGGCTCCCCGGGCACCCGACGGGCCTCAGCTGGGGGGCGGGGAGGCTCCGGCTGCCTCTGGACTGGGCCCCGGGCAGTGTGCCCCTCCTCTCTGTGCCCTGCGACCCCTGTCTGCTCCGGCCTGCAGGAGAGCACTGTGAGGTGAGCATGCACTCGGGGCGCTGCGCCAGCGGCGTGTGCAGGAACGGGGGCACCTGCGTGAACCTGCTCATCGGCGGCTTCCACTGCGTGTGTCCCCCTGGCGCCTACGAGCGGCCCTACTGTGAGGTGGCCACGCTCAGCTTCCCCGCCGGCTCCTTCGTCACCTTCCGCGGCCTGCGCCAACGCTTCCACTTCTCCATCTCCCTCACGTGAGTGTGCGGGTGGGGACGCCGGGGGTGGAGACTCGAGGGCCGGGGGGCAGGCGGGGAGGTGACACCGGCCGACACCGGCCGTGCTCAGGGCTGACTCCAGGCTCTGCACTCGGATCGCTCCTGGTGGGGCTCGGGGCTGACTCCTGGCCCTGTGCTCGGGGTTGACTCCCAGCTCTGTGCTCGGGGCTGACTCCCAGCTCTGTGCTCGGGGCTGACTCCCGGCTCTGTGCTGGGGGCTCACTTCCAGCTCTGTGCTCAGGGCTGACTCCCAGCTCCGTGCTCGGGGCTGACTCCCGGCTCCGTGCTCGGGGCTGACTCCCGGCTCTGTGCTCAGGGCTCACTCCCAGCTCTGTGCTCGGGGCTGACTCCCGGCTCTGTGCTTGGGGCTGACTCCTGGCTCTGTGCTCGGGGCTGACTCCTGGCTCTGTGCTTGGGGCTGACTCCTGGCTCTGTGCTCTGGACTCACTCCTGGTGGGGCTCAGGGCTGACTTCCGGCTCTGTGCTCAGGGCTCACTTCCAGCTCTGTGCTCGGGGCTGACTCCCGGCTCTGTGCTCGGGGCTGACGCCTGGCTCTGTGCTCGGGACTGACTCCAGGCTCTGTGCTCGGGGATCACCCCTGTGCTCTGGACTCACTCCTGGTGGGGCTCAGGGCTGACTCCCGGCTCTGTGCTCGGGGCTGGCTCCCGGCTCTGTGCTCGGGGCTCACTCCTGGTGGGGCTCAGGGCACCGGGGGGGGGGGTGCCGGGGATGGAGCTGGGGTCGCCACATGCAGGGGGGAGCACCTCAGCCTGTCCTGTCTCTCCCGCTGCCCCAGGTTCCTGCTCTTCAGGGCAGGGGTGGCAGAGACGCTGCCCAGCCCATACCCACCCACCCTGCCGGGATCCGACTTGGGACCTCAGGGGTGTGGATTCTGAACACCTGTCCCGAGTCTTCTCTGGGTCTGGTTCCTGCTTTGTGCGCGTCTCGGTTCCAAAAGATTGAGACTTTAAAAAAAAAAATGTTGTTTTAGTGCTGGGGGTGAAGTCCAGAGCCTCAAACTTGCAGAGCATGAAACGCCATGCTGAGTTTATTTTGTTTTTTTTTTCTTTTTGGGTCACACCCAGCAATGCTCAGGGTTCCTCCTGGCTCTGCACTCAGGAATTACCCCTGGCGGTGCTCAGGGGATCCTCTGGGATGCTGGGGATTGAACCCGGGTCGGCTGCGTGCAAGGCAAACGCCCGACCTGCTGTGCTATCGCTCCAGCCCCACCATGCTGAGTTTACACAGGAGTCTGGGGGCTGGGAAGTGGCTTAAGGGGCTCCCGGTGCCTTCCCCAGCACTGCGTGGGCTCCCGACTGTCTCTCGGTGAGGGAATAGTCAGGAGGCTTTGAGCCTCACTCAGAGCACGTGCGTGTGGGTGTCGGAGAGCTAGCACGGTGGGCTGGGCACTGGCCTTGCATGCGGCCGCTGACCCAGGTTCCAGCCCTGAGCCCTGCCAGAAGTGACCCCTGAGCACAGAGCTAGGAGTCAGCCCTGAGCACCGCAGGGCGTGGCCTCAGAGCCAAAACAAAACAAACACACGCCTGTTCAGTGGCCGATGTTGACTCCAGGACCTGAACATTCTGCAAGTTCTCTGGGGCCCAGAGCCAGCGGCAGCCCCTGAGCGGGGCCCCAGGGGGTGGGGGGTGGGGGTGCTGCAGAGCAGGGGCTTGCAAAATCTGCACTTGAGCGGGGCTGGCAGAGCCGTGCGTGCTGGGCCAGGGGCCCCTCTGCCTCCCCGGGGGCTCCCGCCCTGAGAACGGTGCGCAGGGGCTCTGGCAGGACCGCTTTTGTTGCAGACCGCCGCCTCAGCCTTCTCCTCTTTCGAGAGTGTTTGCCAAGCGCTGGGTCGTGGGCAGCTGCCTGTCCCTCCCTCCTACCCAGTCCTTTGTTCCTGCCTTCCCGGGCCTGCAGGGCAGGAGCCAGGGACGCGGTTTCTGGCCTCTCCTCGTTCCTCCCGTGTGCGCCCTCCCACAGCCCTGGGGTCCCCTCTCCCCCTGCAGGGGTGAGGGCTCGTTCCCTAACCTGGTCCAGTGCCCACCTGGGGCCCAAGGGAGTCAGACCCACAGGTCTGAGGGGGCAGCCTGTTGAGGTCTCCGGGGTGGAAGGATTTCAGACCACCCAGCCCCCTGGCGGGAGGGTCCCTTTCCTTTCGCAAAGACTGTGGTGGGCGGGTCCTATCCTGAGTGCACAGGCCCCGCCCCGCCCCTCACTCGCGTCGCCTGCTCGCTGGCCCCGCCCCATCACTAGTCCCGCCCCTCCCACTAGCCCTCCTAGTAGTTCTTTCTTCGCACTAGCCACGCCTCTCCCACTAGCCACGCCCCTCCCAGTTTCATTAGCCACGCCCCTCGTAGTCCCTCCTCCCATGAACCACATCCCTCCCACTAGACACACCCCTCGTCGTTCTTCCCACTAGCCACGAACTTCTCAGTACTTCCCATTGGCTATACCTCTCCACTAGCCACGCCTCTCCCACTGGCCACGCCCCTCCCAGTTCCATCAGCCACGCCTCTCCCACTAGCCACGCCCCTCCTAGTAGTTCCTCCTTCCGTTAGCCACGCCTCTCCCACTAGCCACGCCCCTCTTAGTTTCATCAGCCACGCCTCTCCCACTAGCCACGCCCTTCCTGGTATTCCTCCACCACCCACCCCTCCCCCACTATCCACGCCCATCCTCGTAGTTTCTCCTTCCACTAGCCACGCCTCTCCCACTAGCCACGCCCCTCCTTGTACCGCCTTCCATTAGCCACGCCTCTCCCACTAGCCACGCCTCTCCCACTAGCCACGCCTCTCCCACTAGCCACGCCTCTCCCACTAGCCACGCCCCTCCTTGTACCGCCTTCCATTAGCCACGCCTCTCCCACTAGCCACGCCTCTCCCACTAGCCACGCCCCCTCCGCGTGGGTCCTCTTTCCATTAGCCACACCTCTCCTGCTAGCCACTCCCCTCTGTTAGTTTCTCCTATTACCCACGCCCTTCGACTGGCCCCGCCCCTCCCGCTGGCCCCACCCATGCCCATCTCTCCGCCCCTCCCATTGGTCCCACCCACTTCACCTCCTCGGTGGCCTGTTGCGCTCCTCCTGGGCCCACACCTCCACACCTCCTGGTGCCCCAGCAGCTCAGAGCCAGCGCCCCTTCCTTGGAGGAGCAAGCGTTCCTTTTGGGAGGGTGGGTGGGGAGGACTCCATGGCACTGGGTGCCTGGCAGGTGGTGCTGTGCAGGGGCTGGATCCTGCAGACAGATCAGGAAACTCCAGAAACAGATCGAGCAAGACCGGGGGGCACATCCGGGTGACCGACTGGGGGTTGCAGGGGCCCTGGCAGGGAGCAGCGCCGGGCACGTCCAATCAGACGCCTCACCTGTGCTCGGTCCCGCCTTCTGGCCTGCGCATTCGGTCCACGTGCGCCCCGAAACAACCCCCAGTCTGACTTGCTGCCCCAGCAGAGCGGCCTGGCGGGCTGCAGGAACCTGTGCGCGAGCTCTGACCCTCGGCCTCCGTAGGGTGGTCTCTCGGTGCCCACCTTCCCTGGGCCTCACCCTCTTCCCCGCGGCAGGTTTGCCACCCAGGAGCAGAACGCGCTGCTGCTCTACAACGGCCGCTTCAACGAGAAGCACGACTTCATCGCCTTGGAGATCGTGGACGCGCAGCTGCAGCTCACCTTCTCGGCAGGTAGGCCCGCGGGCGGCCGAGGCGCGGGCAAGGCGGCGGGTGTGGAGGCGCAGAGCGAGGGCGCCCTGGAACTGGGGCTCACGCCGAGGGCCGGCCGCCGGGGAGGGGGGAGGCCGCCGTGGCAGAGCTCATGCCTGGCATGTGCGAGGCCCTGGGGCCCACCCCTGGCACCGCACAGCGCCCTGCGCTCTGCCAGGTAGGAAGTTCAGCGCACAGTTCCCAGCCCCGCTAAAGGCGCCGTCGGACGCCTGGCCCGGCTCTCCCGTGTCCTCTCGTTCGCAGGAGAGACGACCACCACTGTGGCGCCTGAGGTTCCCGGGGGCGTGAGTGACGGGCGGTGGCACTCGGTGCTGGTGCAGTACTACAACAAGGTAGGTGGGTCCCGCCTAGGACCCGCCCAGGTGCTAGGGGGAGGAGGAGGAGGAACAAGGGGCGTGGCTAGTGGGGAGGAGAAACTACTACGAGGGGTGTGGCTAACGGGAAGGAGGACCTACGGTGAGGGGCGTGGCTAGTGGGAAGAAGGTACTGGGAGGGGCGTGGCTAATGGGAGGGGCGTGGCTAACAAAAGGAGGACCTACGTTGAGGGGCGTGGCTAGTGGGAAGAAAGCACTGGGAGGGGCGTGGTTAATGGAAGGAGGACCTACTAGGAGGGGCGTGGCTAGTGGGAGAGGCGTGGCTAATAGGAGGACCTACGATGAGGGGCGTGGCTAGTGGGAGAGGCGTGGCTAATAGGAGGACCTACGATGAGGGGCGTGGCTAGTGGAAGGGGCGTGGCTAGTGGAAGGGGCGTGGCTAGTGAAAGAACGTACTGGGAGGGGCGTGACTAGTGGGAGGGGCCTAGCTAATAGGAGGACCTACTAGGAGGAGCGTGGCTAGTAGGAGAGGCGTGGCTAGTGGGAAGAAAATACTGGGAGGGGTGTGGCTAATGGAAGGAGGACCTACAATGAGGGGCGTGGCTAGTGCGAGAGGTGTGGTTAGTGGAAAGAAAGTACTGGGAGGGGCGTGGCTATTGAGAGGGGCGTGGCTAATGGGAGGACCTACGATGAGGGGCGTGGCTAATGGGAAGGCGGACCTACCACAGGTGTCGGCTGCTCCTCCCCGTTGCCAGCCCACATCTGCCGTCCCGGCCCCTCAGGCCTGAGCCCAGGCTTGTCCGGACCCTTCCCCGCCCCTCGCTCTACATCCCCACATCTGACACCTGCCTCACTGACTGACCCATTCCCACTTATCCGTGGCATGTCCCTGTGTGGCCGGCCCGATGCGCCCAGCTCCTCCTGGGGGCTTTGCAGTAAGCGGCTGCCTCCATGGGCCTCAGAGTTGGTCCTGTAGAGGCCCTGGAGGCAGTCCCAGCACTGGGTGGTCCCCCGAGCATCTGACCCAGCGGCCCCGGGACTGTGGGGCCCGAGCAGGGTGGTGAGAATCACGGGGCGTCAACTGGGACCCTGAACACTGGGGGATTCCAGTCCCCCTAAAGAGAATTGCAGGAGGCCAGGTGGGCGGGTGGGGCTTCTTGGCCACGTGCCAAAGCCGGTCAGGGGCCAGGCTGCCATCCCTGTAGCTGTGGGCACGGCCACACAGGACAGGACCCCGGTGCTGCCAGGACGCCCTCCCTCACTGAGGGCCCTGCATGGCTGACCAAGCCTGGGAGCTGTGTCCACCCCATGTGACTTTGATTGGCCCCAGCTCTGCTCCATACCCCCAAGTGTGATCTCAGGCCCCGCAACCAAGAGTGTGACCCCCACAGGGAGCCCACCAGGGAGGCGGGAGAGGGTGAGCGTGCCCAGCGCCCTTCCGGAGCCTGTGACCCAGACTGGGCGAAATTAGCCCAGAGGAAGGGGCCGGCTGGCGTCCACCCGGACACTGCAGGCCCGTGGGTGGGGCTTCCTGCCATCCAGAGGGACAGAGAGCGCGCAGAGAGGTGGGCGGGCGGGCGGCCCCCCCAAGGGGTGTAGGCCACACCTGGGAGTGACTGGGAGGCGGTCATGCCACACACACGTGCAGCCCCCCCCCCCATGGAGGGCGGTCAGCTGCCAGAGTGCTGGACCCAGAGGCCCGTGAGGGGGCTGGCCCTGGTGCAGGGAAGGAGTGAGGACCCTGCAGGCCAGGTGGAGATGGAATTTTCCAGATGGCTGCTGTCAGGGCTCACATCCCGGCTGAGGGGTCACTCCCAGCCCGACCGGATGTCAGTGTGGGTGGACACAGACCCATCCCCAGGGAAGCTTAGATCAGCTCCGACAGCTCAGAGACGCGTGTCCAGGCCCCTCCCAGCCCCCAAGTCCGCACCGGCTCCAAGGGGCTCTGAGCCCCGGAAGGAAGGGCCAGGCTGGGGCCGAGCACCTGTGGTGTAGCTTTGGCGGGTGCCCAGCACCAGCGTTTATCTCGGACCCCACGGTGCCGTCTCTGGGTGCCCCGCCTGGGCATGGTCTGACTCCGATCTGCACTCAGGGGCTGGGCCAGGCTGGGCTGAGCCAGCGGGTTCCTCAGTCACATTTCCTTCTGCTTTCCAACGGGGCTTCCGCACTGCTCTGGCCAACCCGACCCCCATTTCCAGAAAAGTCACTCACAGCCCTGGAAAATGGCCTGGGAGCCAACAGACAGAAAGCGACCCCCCCCCAGGGCCCCCCGGGGGGGAGGCTACCGCCACCCTTGATGGTTCCAGAGCTCCCAAGAGAGGGGTCCCCTGCTTTGGAAGGCCAGAGATGGGGGGTGGGGCTGAGCTCTGGGCCAGGTCCCTTCTCCTTGGGGAGAGCAGAGGCCGGAGGTGGGGAGGGAGGGGGTCCCACGGCTGCTCATCACTCCCGCTGACACCAAGGCCTGTAGCGCTTCCTCCTGTTGCTCAGGGATGGAGACCCCCCAGGTGTCTGCCAGGGTGCAGGGCAGCACAGTGTGGCTGCTCCAAGGGGGTCCTAGAGTGCCCCCCCACAGTACCCCAGAGAGGTGAGGGCTCGCCCTCCAGGAGCTGGAGCCGTCCCCACTTCCTGTACCCAGGGAGAGAGCTGCCTGGGGTGGGCGTGTTGCTGGGACAGCACCACCCCCCAGCAGGGAGCGGCCTGGGCTCCCTGCCCACCCCCGGCTTTGTCCTTGTCCCCGGGAGTGTGTGCTTTGTTGGCGCTCTTTCTGGTTTAGAAAACATTGGAGCAGCCCCTGGTGCCTGCTGGTACCTGGTGCCCCTGGTGCCGGTGCCTGCAGGTGGGGGACTCTGGGGACAGCCCCGCCCGCAGCCTCATGTGCACACGGAGGGGGCTATGAGAAGCCCCCCACTCCCCCAACCCTTGGCAGCTGGGCCTGGCTTCGTGTGCGTGGGCTCCTCCCCCACGTCCTGCACACAGGTGGACGTGCAGAGGCGCCAGCCACAGTGGTTGCGTCCCTGCCCCTGTCCCTCTGTGGGGGTCAGACTCGGGGTGGAGAAGAAGGAGAAGGTGGCCCCTCGTCCCCCAGCCCAGAAACGTCTGATTCTATTTTTTTTTTCCGAGGGGGTGGGTGATTTCCCTAGCGGTGGGCGTTCCGGACATCTGGGCCCTCCTTGGGACCGTGACCGTGTAGCAGGGCCCCTGCAGTGCCAGGATCTCCCGGGCCACCCCAGGGTGCTGTGGCTGCCCACGGCCTGCCCTCACGCCCGCCCGGCCCTACACTGGCTCCTCGGGGGTGGTGGCTCCCCCGTCTCTCCCAGGGCCGCTCCTGGTGTCTGGTTTCCGGGCACCCCCATGCCTCCTCCCGCTCCCCATTCAGCTCTTGAAATCGAACCCCGCTGGCTCCCGGGCAAGGACCCGGCTGCCGTTGAAACCCGAGCATGTGGCCTGGGCCACGGGCTTTGTGCGGCCTGGAGTGTGCTGGGGTCCCTGTCCGCGCAGCCAGGTGGAAGCTGACGGTCTGGCGAGGACCAAAGTGGGTGGAAGGAGGTGGCGGGGGTGGGGGTTGGGCAGAGTCCGCTGGGGGCTCCGGCCGCCTGCAGGAAGGAGCTGAGTCTTGGGGACACTCCCATTGCAGGGCTGTCGTGTGCCCGTGGGGGTCCTGTGCCCTGTGGTTCGGGGCGGGGGGCTCACACCCTCTGCTGCCCGGGGCGGAGACAGCGTCAGGTCAGACTGGGCTGCCCCAGCCCCCCGGACCCTTTTCACCAGCGTCTGCCTCCCTCCCAGGCCCCCGCCTGTCAGTGGTTTCCCACAACACTGGTTCTGTCCACATCAGCTCCCGGAATCCGCGCTGTAAACGGTGTTTATCCCTCCCCAGAACCCACGCCCGCCCGCCCAAAAATGCAAATGATCAGTTTGGCGGGCAGCCGGCGGGCGCTTCTGAGCACCAGGCACCCGGCACTTACGGGCCCCTAATAGGCACCTGGTCGTGTCTCCGGCCCCCGGCCGCCGCGCCGAGCAGACACCGGATTTTCTTCCTTGGCCTCGTCTCCCGGAGGCTCACGCCGGTGGCCTCCCTGGGCTGGGGGAGGAGCAAGACCCCCGGCAGCATGTTCAAAGGCCCCTTGGGTTCTCCTAAACTGGATGGGTGTGGGGGGGGAGAGCTGGGCCTCTCTCTTTTTTTTGTTGTTTTTTGCTTTTTGGGTCACACCTGGCGGTGCACAGGGGTTCCTCCTGGCTCTGCACTCAGGAGTTACTTCCTGGCCGTGCTCAGGGGACCCTATGGGATGCTGGGAATTGAACCCGGGTCAGCCGTGTGCAAGGCAAACGCCCTCCCCGCTGTGCTATCACTCCAGCCCCTGAGCCTCTCTCTCGACACCACTTGGCACTGGGAACAGCGTCCAGATGTGAGGCCCCCGAGGGACAGGCCGGCTCAGGACGGGTCTTGGCCTGGGAGGAGAAGCTGGACACCGGGGCTCGAGTACAGGGGTGCAGGTGTGCGCTGCCCATTTGGCCTCCCAGCCTTGCTGGGAGCTCACCCCGTCACCAAGGTCGGGCCCTTGCTGAGCGCCTCTCCTGGGGGCTCCCGCTCCTGCCTTTGGCCTTTGTGCCTGGCCCCGTGGTCACTACTGGCTGCTGGTGAACAGTGAGTTCCGGGTGAGAGCCACCGTGTCACTGTCCTGTGCAGGAACTCGGGGTCCGCGTGTCCCTGTGTGGTGGCTTTGGCGCAAGGTCCAGACTCGGGATGGTTTGGGGGTGAGGGTTGGGCCCGTCATGTGGGCCAGCAGTGACACCTGGACGGGGGTGGGGGGTAGGGTGGTGAGCATGGATCCTGATTTCTGCACACAACCAGGGACAAGTCACTCTGGCCACCCGCCGCCTGTCCCCGCTGGGCCCTGCAGTGCCCCGTGTCTGGACACTGCACCCGTATGTCCCCTCCGTGGCTGCATGAGCCCCCCTGCGTCTGCCCCTAGGTGCCGTCTGGGGGTATCGAGGTGGTGGGGGGCTGCCCAGCCCTGAGTCAGTTGTCGGCTGCTGCCGTCCTCATCCCCAGGACACGGGCATGGTCCTGCCATGCAGGGGCCCAGGGCCACGGCGTCACTGGGCTGGGGGCCTCGAGGGCCACAGGGCGGCCCTTGGGGAAGCAGGGGGGTCTCTGGGGCCCTCCTGGCTGATGAGTCGGAGAGAGGACTGACAGGCAGGAACCAGGCTGGTGCCAGCCCCTCGAGAGAGAGAGAGGGGGCCACATACTGCATCTCTGCGGACAGACACGAGCGTGGGCCCTAGTGGCCACCGTGCAGTGGACAGGGGCCAGCGCTGCCTCCGTAGCCTTCTGCAGGACCATGGCCCCCTCGTCGCCTGACGCTGCCTCGCCCTGCTGACACGCCCCCCCCCCCACTCTCCTCACAGCCCCACATCGGCCGCCTGGGCCTGCCCCACGGGCCGTCGGGAGAGAAGGTGGCCGTGGTGTCCGTGGACGACTGTGACACGGCCGTGGCCGTGCGCTTCGGCCGCCTCGTGGGCAACTACAGCTGCGCCGCGCAGGGCACGCAGAGCGGGTCCAAGAAGTGAGTGGCCCCAGGCTCGGAACGTTCCGGAATATGTCGACTCGGGCACACCGGTCCACTTAGTGGCCACACCCACTGGGGTCTGTGTATAGCTGGAGCTCGCGGCTCCCCCCCGCCGATGGGAGGTTGCAGGGTTCTCTTCCTCGGTGCAGCCCCTCCTGCCATCTCCAGGGGGTGTGGCCTCCCCATGGGGTTTCCTTGGAAACGGGTGGCGATGCCCCCCACACCCAGAAGAGACCCCCAGGGTGTGCTCAGAGCTGCTGGGAGGGCGAGTCAAACCCGCCCGTTTCCTGGGTGTGTGTGGGGGGGGGCCTCAGCCCTGCGGGGGACCAGTGAGCTCACTCAGCAGTGACCGTGGCCGCTGGGCCCGACCTGGCCTGGCCTGGCGGCTGCCCGGTCATCACTGGCCCCCTGTCGTCCCAGGTCGCTGGACCTGACGGGCCCGCTGCTCCTCGGGGGCGTCCCCAACCTGCCCGAAGATTTCCCAGTGCACAACCGGCAGTTCGTGGGCTGCATGCGGGACCTGGTGGTGGACGGCCAGCGGGTGGACATGGCCAGCTTCATCGCCAACAATGGCACCAGCGCAGGTGTGCATGGCCCCGAGGCCACATCGGGGGCCGAGTCACTCCCGGGACAATGTGGGGCCTGGCCCTGCCCTCCAACGTGCCCCTTGCAGACCCGGAGTGGCCGGGAGCTGCTGGGCTGTCCCTAAGGGCACCTGGTCCCCGGCCCCGGGCTCGTTCCCACCTGTCCTGGCCGGTCGTCCAGGGGCCTCCAACGTGGGCGGTGTGGGGTGGGCCGGGGGCTGTGTGGCCTGGGTGGTGCATTGGCAGCCCCCATGCCCACACCTGCACTGCCTACCCTCTCTCCCAGGCTGTGCGGCGCGGAGGGACTTCTGCGAGGGGAGCTCGTGCCAGAACGGCGGCACCTGTGTCAGCAGGTGGGGCACCTACCTGTGCGCCTGCCCCCTGCGCTTCGGCGGGAAGAACTGCGAGCAGGGTGAGCCCCCCACCGCCCACAACCCCCACCCGGGACCCCCACAGTCCACACGCCCCCACCCGGGACCCCCACAGTTCACACGCCCCCACCCGGGACCCCCACAGTCCACACGCCCCCACCCGGGACCCCCACAGTCCACACGCCCCCACCCGGGACCCCCACAGTCCACACGCCCCCACCCGGGACCCCCATAGTCCACACGCCCCCACCCGGGACCCCCACAGTCCACACGCCCCCACCCGGGACCCCCACAGTCCACACGCCCCCACCCGGGACCCCCACCGTCCATACGCCCCCACCCGGGACCCCCACCGCCCAACCCCCCACCCGGGACCCCCACAGTCCACACGCCCCCACCCAGCACCCCCACCGCCCACACCCCCCCACCCAGGACCCCCACAGTCCACACGCCCCATGCTCTGTGCCTCCGCCAGGCTTCGCGCCCCCTGCCCTGGGCCCCCCACCCCTTGCCTTTGGCCTTCCCCGTCTCCGCCCTCGGTGCTATCTGCCGGCAGCTTGGCGATGGCCTTGGCAAGGCCACTCGCAGCTGCTTGCTGGCCCTGAACCCTGGGCCCTGCCGGGGCCTGCAGGGGCGACAGGAAGCCCCCGCAACCCCCGGGGCCCCGCAGCTGTGGCATTGGGACGGCAGGTGGGCAGCGGGGGGCGAGGGGCCCTGGGGGCGGGGAGAGCAGGGCTCCGGCGGCGGTGGGGAGGGGCCCGGTTCCTGTTGTGGAGACTGTGTCCCCGGCCGTCCCCGCTCCGTGCCAGAGAAAACAGCGCCAGGTTCAGGGTCACCAGAGCAGGAACCAGCCGCGGGGGTGGACGAGGCTCAGGGCAAGCCCAGGGTCCCCGGCCCCATGGGGTGTGTCTCTAAAGCGGGAACACGTTCAAGCGGGGCCAGGGACACCCGGCAGGTGACTCAAGAGCTGCTCGGGAGCCCGGGGTTGGCGCCCCCAGAGCACGCAGCATCGGCGCCTGGAGGCGTCCCCTCTGACGGCGCCCACGTTGTGTGCCCGCAGCGATGCCGCACCCCCAGCACTTCAGCGGGGACAGCGTGGTGGCCTGGAGGGACCTGGACGTGACGGTGTCGGTGCCCTGGTTCCTGGGGCTCATGTTCCGGACCCGCAGGGACGGGGTGCTGCTGGACGCCACGGCCGGCACGTCCTCCCGGCTCTTGCTGCAGGTGGGCTGCCGTGTGCCCGTCGCGTGGACTCTGGGGCCACGTGTGCGTCTGTCCCATGTCTGCACGCCCCGCCCCGGGGGCTGGTGGGGCCGTGTGCACGTCTGTGCCTGTTCCACTCGTCCGCCTCTGCACTTAGGCGTGCGCGCGCGTGTGTGTGCATGTATTAGATATGTCTCGTGTATGTGTCTGCAGGGCTGTGTGTGTGCATGTCTGCCTGACCTCACTCGTGTGCACCCACCGTGTCCTGGGTGTGCCCTTGGTCCCGAGCAGCCCCCCTTTGGCAGGACGGAGTGGACCCCAGGACAGGCTGCTGGTTTGGGTTCCGGGGCTCCCCCAGACCAAGGACTCTTGTCTCCAGGGAGAGGGCCATAGGGCTCTCGCGGGGCAGGTGACGGGGCGGGCCTGACCCCTGGGCAGAGTGGGAACTGGCCGTGCTGGAGTTCGGCGTTGGGGGGCTGTGAGGTCACCATCCCGACGGTGGTTTCAGGAGCCTGTAGGTGGTTTGGGTTTTGACTGGGGTGGGCACAGACCCTGCAGGGAGCCTGGGTGACCGGTAGCTTTGGGGGGACCTGCGTGGGGACCCCAGTGACTCTGCAGGACAAATCTTGAGGGCTGGTCAACGGGTGATGCTGGGCATCCCAGTCCTTCTGGGGGTGCATGGACCACAGCTTCCGGCAGACCCCGGGGACTGTGGAGGTCCAGGGGTGGCGTCCCCGGGGTCCCCTCCCCGCAGTGACAGGGTGACATTGTGCTGCCAGGCGCCAGCCGCCTGCATTGTGCAGGATGGGCGGCTGTTGCCCGAGACCTGGGCAGACCCGGGCGTGGCGTCCCCCAGGCGTCCCCGCCCATGTCGCTCTGTGCATCCCCGTGTGTCTTTCCTCCTTGTGCAGGGGTGGGGCGTGGGGGAGCCTCCGTTCCCTTCAGCTCCTGCAGGACAAAAGGCGGCTACAGTGAGCTGGAAACATTCTCCCCCTGTCTGGGAGAATAAAGGGCACCTACATTTTTAATCACCGGGTCTCCCCGGAAGCCTCTTTCCAGGCCGCATCTCCCCCCAGGGGCCTTTGCAAATCTCCATCCGCCTTGGCAAACAGGTGGCTGGGGGGTCACTGTCACTGTCCCCTCGGAGATTGTTGCGGGTTATGGATTTCTCTTTAAGGCTTTAACTTTCACGGTTACTGTTACTCTTTTTTTTTTTTATTTCTTTTTGGGTCACACCTGGCGATGCTCAGGGCTGACTCCTGCCTCTGCACTCAGGAATGACTCCTGGCGGTGCTCGGGGGACCCTATGGGATGCTGGGAATCAAACCTGGGTCGGCCACATGCAAGGCAAACGCCCTACCCACTGTACTGTATCTCCAGACCCGGTTACTGTTACTCTTCATGTTACTGTTTCACTGTTTTGCTGTTCCTGTTTCATTGTTAGTTTTGCTGTTACTGTTTCACAGTTGGTTTTGCTGTTACTGTTTCACTGTTACTGTTTCACTGTTAGTTTTGCTGTTACTCTTTCACTGGAGTTTTGCTGTTACTGTTTCACTGTTACTCTGTCACCGTTGTTACTGTGTCAGTTTTACTGTCACTGATTCACTCTGACTCTAGCTGTTAACTCTTCCCACTGTGGGCCTGGCCGCTTTCCCACCTGCTGCCCATCTGGGGTTCACTGAACCGGCCACCAGCATGGCCTCTGGCTCTGTCACTGGTGCAGCTCTTCCATCCCCCAGATCCTGGACAACCATATCCACTTTGAAGTGTCCCACGGCTCCGCGGATGTGACGTCCCTGCAGCTGGCTCGGTCGCGTGTGACGGACGGCGTGTGGCGCCACCTGCTGGTGGAGCTGCGGAGCGCCAAGGAGGGCAAAGACATCAAGTATCTGGCCGTGGTGACCTTGGACTATGGCATGGAGCAGGTGTGCAGGGGGTGGGGGGATACCCCAGCCCCTGCAGGCTACACTCACACTCCTGCCCCCCACGCCCAGGGGTTTCCCCTCGTCTGCCTGAATGTGAGACTTGGTCCCTGTGCGAGTCCCTTGTGGTATGTCCCTGCCATGTCCTCATCAGTGACCAGGTGTCACTGTCAGAGCTGGCCGCTGGTCTCACGGGGGTGCAGCTGTGTGGGGCAGCGGGGGGATTGGGCTATCCGGCAGCCCTGGCATCGCAGGTGGTGCCTGTCCACCATCCAGGCTGCCTTTCCTCAAGGCTCCCCACAGCTCACAGGCTGCCCGGGACCCCTGGGCACTGGGATCCTGCCTGCTCGCCCCCAGTCTGGGGCAGAGCCATAGACATGTCCCCGAGCATCCACCTGCTGACACCCTGGGCACCCCCAAGCATGGGGATGGCACCTGGGAGGCCGGACACTTCCTCCCATGCTGACCGGGCAGGCAGGTACTGACCGGACAGGCAGTTCCTGCCCCGTCCCTCTGCCCACAGGCCAGACGCATGTCCACCAAGGTCTGGGGGTGTCCTTGGGCCACGGGGGGGCTTGCCGCGGCCAGTGCTCCAGGCCTGATGCCCACCCCTCCCTCCACAGGGCGCCCTCCAGATCGGCAACCAGCTGCCGGGGCTGAAGATGAGGCGTGTGGTCGTGGGGGGCGTGTCTGAGGACCAGCTGTCCGTGCGCCAGGGATTCTGGGGCTGCATGCAGGTGGGCGTGACCCCCGCGACCTCCCCACTGCCCCGTCCCCATGGTCCAACTCCTGTGCCCCGCCGGGTCCCCCCACCTGCTCTGACACGGCATGAACCATGGGACGTTGGGAATGTGGAGTCTCTTAGGGGGACCCATCCCCACCCGGAACACACCCCCAGAGGGGGAAAGACCCCAGCTTCCTCCCCACCCCACCCCTGCTCTGCAGTTCTACTTCCTCAGGGGGCCTGGGGGGTCTTCGGGGTCTCCTTCGGGCCTCCTGAGCTTCACAGTTGACCCGTCTGTCGCAGGGGGTGAGGATGGGGGAGACAGCCACCAACCTGGCCACCCTGAACATGAAGGACGCCATCAAGGTCGGGGTGAAGGACGGCTGCGACCCAGCTGACCCCTGCGGCTCCAGCCCCTGCCCCCCACACAGCCGCTGCCACGACGTGTGGGACAGCTACGCATGCGTGTGCGACCGAGGTGGGCTGCAGGGACCCCTTTACCTGCCTGAGTGCTGCGCTGTGAGCCCGCAGACCCCCACCTGGGCCCAGGACCCCCACACCTGGGCCATCTGAACTCCCAGGTGTTACCGCCCCTTGTGACATGGGGTGCAGGGGACACTCAGGCCTGTCCTCCTGGGTGCAAGGAGACGGAGTCAGTCGTGCCGACGTGTATGTGGTGTCTCGAGGCTCCTGTTCCTCGGAGAAGACCCTTCGGGCTGGGCACGGGCTTGGCATGCGGGGGGCCAGGTTCTGCCCCGCCCTACACCCAGACTCTGCCGGGAGTGACCCGGAGCACAGAGCTGAGAGCATCAGCAGGCAGCACAGCATGTGTTGCCCTAAAAGCTCTTTTTTCGAGTAGTCTCTTCAGACCTGGGCCAGTGGGACGGCAGGAGGGCGTGTGCCTGGCACGCGGGTTCCCCTTTAGGCCCTCCTGCCCCCAGCACTGCCAGGATTCTCGAGTTGGTGCCTGAAATCCAAGGCGAAGTAGAGGCTTCCTAGGAGCTGGGAGAGTCGGGGCCGGGCGCTGGGCTGCACGGGGCCTCCCTGGCTCGGTCTGCGCCCCACGAGCTTCCCGCGCGCGCTGGGGTCAGCCTCAAGCAGCACCGGGTGTGGGCCAGCTCCCTGCACTCCCAGTAAGCAACAAAAAGTTTTTCCATTGTTTTGGCCACACACACCTGGTGGTACCTGATTGGGGGGGTAGCCAAGGCCCCACACAGATCAGCGTCGCTTCCGCCGGCCCCAGCCCAGGCGTGCAGAGTTGCTGGAACTCACCAGGGCGGCCTCGGGCCCTGGTCTGTCCCCAGGCCCGGCTTCAGGCAGGGGCTCCAGCCACACGCATCCGGCGCTCACAGACGAGCCCTGTCCCCACAGGGTACTTCGGGGACAAGTGCGTGGACGTGTGTGAACTGAACCCCTGCGAGAACGTGGCCGCCTGTGTGCGCACCCCCAGCGCCCCGCAGGGCTACGTGTGCGAGTGTGGGAGCAGCCACCGGGGGCGCTACTGTGAGAACAGGTGAGGCCCCTCAGGTGAGGACAGGTGAGGCCCTTCAGGTGAGGACAGGTGAGGTGCTCACCTGGCAGGAATCCGGCCCATTTTGTTCTGCATGGCGGGCTCTCAGGGAGTCATGGGGGGTGGTCTCTGTGGGCACCCCCAGCAGCCGTCTGTTGGGTCACATGAGTGGGTGCAGCCGAGCCTCACTAGGCCGACCGGGGGTCTTGGATGCTCAGACACGCGGTAGCGGGTTCGAATGAGGGGCGCAGCCAGGGTGGGCTTGCCCCAGCAGGGGGGCCTGTGGTGCCGGCACAGCCTCATCGGTGCTGCTCGCTGCCGTGGCCCCGGATCCCCACCCGTGGGTGATGGCGAGGTGGGGGGCAGAGAAAGTGGCAATGCTGCTATCTCAGGGTGGGGGGGGGGGCGTCCAGAACCCACGTGGGCAGCCACGCCCAGTGCCATCCCAGGACCCAGAGGCCCCTCTCTCCACCCTGCACCCAGGATCGACCTTCCCTGCCCCCGAGGCTGGTGGGGGAACCCCGTGTGCGGGCCGTGTCTCTGCGCCGTGGACAAGGGCTTCGACCCCGACTGCAACAAGACCAGCGGGCTGTGCCAGTGCAAGGTGAGCTCGGGCACCCCTCACGGGCACCCCTGCACGCTGATACCCGTGCGGCACCCCTGTACACGCACACCTGCACATGCACACCTGTACACTCACTGCACACGCATACCTGCACACACACTTGTACACGCATACCCACATGCACACACCTGCACGTGCCCACACACACCTGCACACTCACTGCACATGCACACCTGTACACCCACCCGTACACGCATACCTGCACAAGCACACCTGGACACGCACACCTGCACACTCGCAAACGCACACCTGCACATGCATACACCTGTACACGCACACCTGTGCCCGCACACCTGTACACGCGTACCTGCATGTGCACACCTGCACCCTCGCATCTCTCTCTTCATCCCTGCCCGGCCCCTTCACGCCTGCACCATGCGCTCCATCACACCTGGTGTGCCGTCCCTCACGTGGCCTGATCTCATGGCATGGTTCATCCAGGGCCGTGTGCCAGGGCCGTGTGCCAGGGGACATGGGTCCAGCAACTGGCTGGGTCCTTCCTCATGGTCTTGTCCAGTCCTCCAGGCCCCATGGGGGGTGAGATGCCTCCGGCGGGCACGGATGCCCTCTGTGGGCTGGGCCCCCTGGCTAGGAGTGCCCGTGGATCTGGGAGCGCGACCCGCCGCATCAGAACCGAGGAACAAAGCCTCGGCACGTGCTGGCGGAGTGGGGGGAGAGGCAGAGGGGGTGGTGGGACCCGGTCTCGCTGGCCCCTAACACACCGCAGAGGTGTCGGGAGGTGGACACCAGCCACCGGTCCTCCTGCACGTGCGTCTGCCGGCATCTCAGCCCGTCAGCGGCCCCCTCCCTGAAAGCAGGGTTCCCCCCTCCCCTGCGCTGTCCCGGCCCTGCACCCGCCTCCCGGTGCCACGGACCCGTCTGCCTTGCAGGAGAACCACTACCGGCCGCCGGAGCAGGACGCGTGCCTGCCGTGCGAGTGCTTCCCCGCGGGCTCGCACAGCCGTGCCTGCCACAGCGACACGGGCCAGTGCGCCTGCAAGCCTGGCGTCGTGGGCCGCCAGTGCAACCGCTGTGACAACCCTTTCGCCGAGGTCACCGTGCGCGGCTGTGAGGGTGCGCCCGTGGGACCCCCGGACTGGGGGCTGTGCTCCCGGCAGCAGGGTCCAGCAGGGGGCTGGGACGCCCCATCTAGGGCTGGTGGGGCAGTGCGGGCGGACCCTGTAGGTGGGGATGAGGCACAGCCGGGCCCAGAGTGACCCTCTCCTCCCCCCACCCAGTCATCTACAACGGCTGTCCCCGAGCGTTCGAGGCTGGCATCTGGTGGCCGCAGACCAAGTTTGGGCAGCCAGCCGCGGTGCCCTGCCCCAAGGGATCTGTGGGTAAGTGCTGTCTGTGGCCTGCGGGACCCCTGTGGTCTGTGGCACCCCCTCTGTGGCCCTGTTCATGGCTCACAGCACCCCTGGGTGGGACATTGGGGGAGCAGCTCAGCCTCAGGGCTCAGGGATATCTTGAGCTGGGAAGTGCCGGTGCTCGTGTGCCAGTGCTCAGTGGTTGGGCCCACACAGCCAAGCAGCCGTGGCTGTAGCGGAGAGGCGAGATCGAAGGGTGCGGGTGGGCCTGGGTAGCACGGGGGCCCCTCGCTGGGACCCCAGCCGCTGGGGGGCTCAGAACGTCGCGGCCGAGGACGTGAATTCTGTCCCGGATTCCAGGAAACGCCGTGCGGCACTGCAGCGGGGACAGGGGCTGGCTGCCCCCCGAGCTCTTCAACTGCACCAGTAGCGCCTTTGTGGAGCTCAAGGCCATGGTGAGGGGCTGGGGCTGGACCCCCCTCCCCACCGTCCCCCACGCGCCTCCTCTTCCTCCCTGCGGCTTCAGCGCCGGCTCCACGACGGGGCGGGGGTGGGGGTCTCGTGACCGACCTGGCTCCCGCGGCGTCCTGGAGGGTCGGTCCCGAGCGCGTCCCCCACTCAGCCCTTCGGCTGCTTCCAGAACGAGAAGCTGAGCCGCAACGAGACGCAGATGGACAGTGCCCGGGCGCTGCAGCTGGCACGAGCACTGCGCAACGCCACGCGGCACACGGCCGCGCTCCTGGGGGACGACGTCCGCACGGCCTACCAGCTGCTGGCCCGCGTGCTGCAGCACCAGAGCGGTCGGCAGGGCTTCGAGCTGGCCGCCACGCAGGACGCCCGCTTCCACGAGGTGGGGACGCGTCCACGCGGGGCCTCGGGCGGGGCTCTCCGAGGACACCTGGCGGGGTCGGGGCTGAGCCCATCACATACGTGCACACACGGACACACACACACACGGACACACACAGCACACAGGCACAGATACACATCACACGCACAGACGTGCACAAACACCGCACACACGCAGGCTGCACGGACACGGACAAACAGCACGTGGACACACACACAGGTGCCCACACATGCCCCTTCTCACCCCCACAGAGACGCACACACACCTGCTCTCACACTCACACGCCCATGAGCGTGGGGGTGACCGGATGTTGGGGTGCCAGGGCAGGGGGCGGGGACCCAGCTGCCCCTGTGCCAAGGTGAGGCCCTGGTCTCTGTACCCCCGGCTGTGGTCGGGGTTCCCGGCATTGGCGAGGAAACTGAGGCACGGGGGCCCAGAGGGGCAGGTGAAGGGGCTCCCGGTCCCACCCCACTCCCGAGACTCCTTCCTGCCCACCTCCTGCAGCCGTCCCTCCCCGGCCCTCCCACCGCATCCCCCGAGTAACCCCCGCTGGCCGGGCCCTGAGCGTCCATGTGGCCTCCATGTGCAGGACGTGGTGCAGACGGGCAGCGCCCTCCTGGACCCCGGCACGCGGGCGTCGTGGGAGCAGATTCACCGCGTGGAGGGCGGCACAGGCCAGCTGCTTCGCCACTTCGAGGCCTACTTCAGCACCGTGGCCCGCAACGTGCGGCGGACGTACCTGCGGCCCTTCGTCCTGGTCACCCCCAACATGAGTGAGGCCCGCGCCGGGCGGGGTCCTGGGCCAAGGGCCGGGGTCCCGGGGTCGCGGGGGCGGGGGCAGCTCCGTGAGGGGACCCCGTGTCCTCCCACCGGGGTGGAGTGGGGCTGCAGGGGGGCCCGGGAGACTGAGGTGAGGCCTCTGTCCCCCCAGTCCTGGCCGTGGACGTCTTCGACAAGCTCAACTTCTCGGGCGCCCGCATGCCGCGGCTCGACGGCATCGGCCAGGAGGTGCCACAGGGCCTGGCATCCTGCGCCGTCTTCCCGGCCGACTTCTTCACAGCACCCGTGAGGAGAGGTAACACAGCCCGACCTGGGGGGCCGCGGACACTGAGCCGCCCCCAAGCCCAGCGGGTCTCCTGGTGGGAGACCCATGTGGCCTGACCACCCTCCAGGCAGCCCCCCAGAGGCCCCCAGAACTTCCCCCGCGAGGCAGAAATGGGCCACGAGGTGGGTCCCGCCTGGGGCCCCTGGTGCACGGCCTGTGTGCGGACAGACGTTTGTCCCTCGGAACTGTGTCACTGAGCGTGACCTCGGGGCCCGGCTGCCTGACCTTCTGGCCACCGTGACGGTGTCGGCTGCCGGCGGCCCCTGGTGCCTGCTGTCATGTCCAGGCCGGTCTCTGCCCACTGGGGCTAGGTCACCGCGCATCACAGCTCTCAAGAGGGCTGGTTTCTGGGTCCTGCTCCCCGCTCACGCCATCCTCCCGGCAGAGGGTCCCACCACGAGGCCTGCCGGCAGGAGGGACGCGTCCCCACAGACGGCGCACCCAGGGCCCAGCACCGAGACCGCAGTCCCTCCCGGGCGGCAGAGGAGGCACCCGGAGGAGCCGGGCCAGGTTGCCGTGGGCCTGGTCATCGTCTACCGGACGCTGGGCCAGCTCCTGCCCGAACAGTACGACCCTGACCGCCGCAGCCTGCGGTGAGTTGGCCCGGAGGGGGCCGTGCGGCGCGCGACACCCCGATCCATGGCTGGCTCTGTCCCGGAGTCCAGCCGAGGCGGGGCCGCTACTGGCCCTCGGCCACTGCCTTGTCCGTCCGTGGCACTATCTGGGCTCACATCTGGGCACTGTGGGCACCGGGATCCGGCTGTCCCCACGGTGCGCCGTGTCCTTCTCATTCTGAGCTCCCCCTGCCACCCCAAGCGGGGACTGCACCCGCCCCCTGGAGCTCACGGGCCCAGTCAGCACCCGCCGCGTCCTGCCCGCAGGCTGCCCAACCGGCCGGTCATCAACACGCCGCTGGTGAGCGCCGTGGTGCACAGCGAGGGCGGCCAGTGGCCACTGGACAGGCCACTGCTGCTGGACTTTGCCCTGCTGGAGACCGAGGCCCGCACCAAGCCCGTCTGCGTGTTCTGGAACCACTCAGTCACGTAAGGGTGTGGGGCACCCATGGGGGATCGGGACGGACTTGCTCGGGTGCACTGTGGGGACCGCCTGGGCCCATCCGTGCTGGAGACACTGGACACGCGGCCTCCCCACCCCACAGGGCCTGAGCCTTCCGCGCAGAGCCGCACCCTGGGGGTCCCTGACTGCTCCCCTGGGCCCTGGCATCAGCCCGTGGGAGACTCCTGCCCCTGGCTGGGTCGGGAGGGCGTCCCCAGGCCCGCTGGTGCCGGCTGGCCGGGCCCGGTGCGTCACCGCCGTCTCCAAAGGCCAGTTTGGAGCCGCCAGCGAGCGTCTGCGGGATAATGGCCCCTCGGCTCACACAGAGGCTGCAGGGCAGGTCTCCCCGCGACGGGCCTGGCAGGCGCCGGGCTCGGCTGGATGCATCCGAGCAATTAGCGATGGCACTGGTCCATTATCCCGGAGCCTTGGCACTCCATTTTACGGGACGATAAACTGAGGCCAGAGGCAGCGCCGGCGTTCCCAGGGCGGCGTCCGGGCCTCCCCCAGAGCTTGCGGTCCTTCTGAGTCCTCCAGAACAAAGGCCCTTCCTGGGCGCCGTCCCAGCAGGCGCCCCCGCACCCTAGTCATGCTTTACTGCGGGTGACGCGGCAGGGCGCGCCCCTGAGGGCTGGGGGGACGGTGCCCAAGGGTGGGGGGATGTGCGGGTCCCCCGAGGGGGGCAGAGGCTGAGGACCAGGGGGGGCCTCCTCACGCCCCCTCTCTCTGCAGGGGCACTGGCGGCTGGTCGGCCCGGGGCTGTGAGCTGCTCTCCCGGAACCGGACGCACGTCACCTGCCGCTGCGGGCACGCCGCCAGCTCCGCGGTGCTCATGGACATCTCCAGGCGCGAGGTGGGCACCCCCCTGCCCCCCACACTGTGGCCTCCCCCGGCACGGCCCTGCGCCCTGTCCTCTGGGCTCTGAGCAGGACCTGGGGGCAATTTCTGTAGCACTTCCATGACAAAGACCCCCTAAGGCCAGGCTGTAAGTTGAAGAGGTGGAAGGTCCTGGAAGGTCCCAGAAGGTTCTAGAAGGTCCCTGCGGTGTGGGGGACTGGGGGTGGGGGTCCTCCTCCCAGCTGGGGCTTCCTCAGATGCTCTTCTGCCTTGCTGCCCCCAGCACACACCGGTCAGACCAAGGGGCTCGGTCCGGGCCCACCCAGCGGCTGATGTTTAACCCCTGCTGGTCAGCCCCGCGTGACCACTGTCCCCGAGTGCAGCCTCCCCCCGGCCCAGGGTCTGCCCTGGCCCCCAGCACTGTCCCCACACGGTCCCCGGTCCCAGCCCGGGAGACTCGTGACTGACGGCGAGACTTGGGGAATTCTGAAGGCCGAGGACGGGGACGGGGACGGGGGAGGCCACTGAGACCTGGACAAGGGAGTGGGGCCCAGTCGGACCCAGCGCCGGGCCGGGGCTCTCGGCGCTCCGAGACCTCAGCCCCGGCCCCGGGTCACCCGGCCCCGGGGACGTGACCCCGCCTTGCTTCCCCCGCAGCACGGGGAGGTGCTGCCCCTGAGGGTGGTCACCTACGCCGCCGTGGCCCTGTCGCTGGCCGCCCTGCTGCTGGCCTTCGTCCTGCTGCTGCTGGCCCGTGCGCTGCGCTCCGTGCTGCTCGGCATCCACAGGAACCTCGCCGTGGCGCTCTTCTTCTCGCAGCTGGTGTTCGTGGCGGGGATCACGCAGACCCAGAACCCGGTGAGCGCCGGGCGGCGTGTGTGGGTGGCAGGAGCGCGGCTGGACAGGCACGGGGCGTGTGCGTGTGTGCATGCGTGTGCGCGTGTGCATGTGTGCGCATGTGCGTGCATGTGTGTGCCGTGCATGTGTGCGTGCATGTGTTCGCACATGTGCATGTGTGTATATGTGTGTATGTGTCCGTGCACGTGTGTGCATATAAACGCACATGTGTGTACATGTGTGTATTGCATTTGTGTGTGCATGTGTGTACATGCACGTGTGCATGTGCGTGTGTGCATGATCTGCACATGTGTGTGCACATATGTACGTGTGTGTACACGTGTGCATGCACATGTGCGTGCATGCATGTGTGCATTTGTGTGTGCATATGCGTGTATGTGCATGTGTGTGCATATACGTGTGTGCATGCATATGTGCATGTGTGTGCATGTGCATGTGTGCATGCATGTTTGCATATGTGCATGTGTGTACACGTTTGCGTGCACGTGTCTGTATATAAATGCACGTGTGTACATATATGTGTATTGCATTTGTATGTGCATGTGTGCATGCATGTGCATGTGTGCACATGCATATATGCGTGTGTGTGCACATGTGTACATGCACGTGTGCATGATCTGCGCATGTATGTGCACGTATGTATGTGTGCGCGTGCATGTGTGCACGTATGCGCATGCGTGTGTGCATATACATGTGTGTGTACATGCGCATGTGCACAACCTGCATGTGTATGTGCACGTGTGCATTTGTGTGTGCGTGCATGTGCATGTATGTGCATGCCTGTGTGCATATGCGTGTGTGCATGCACGTGTGCACGTGTGCATGCGTGTGCGTACGTGTGCATGTGTGAATGTGCGTGCGTGCGTGCGTGTGTGTGCACGCGCAGGTGTCAGCAGCGTCCCCTCCCGCAGTTCCTGTGCACGATCATCGCCATCCTGCTGCATTTCGTGCACATGAGTGCCTTCGCCTGGACGCTGGTGGAGAGTCTGCACGTGTACCGCATGCTCACCGAGGCCCGCAACATCGACGCGGGGCCCATGCGCTTCTACTACGTCGTGGGCTGGGGCCTCCCGGCCATCATCACGGGTGAGGCTCCGTCCCCCAGCAGCCCCGGGGCCCCACCCGAGTTCCTGGGGGGACTCGGCACACACGGGGCCAGGGACACCCCCGTCCAGCCTGAGCTCCTGCGGGTGGGTGGGCCTGTCTGTTCAGGCCCCGACGGTCCCCCGAGGACACTGCGGGGGCTGCGGGTGCAGAGGGCGATGGGGTTGGGGATGGCAGTGGACGGGCAGGCGGGCAGCTCTGAAGACTGATGGATGGCGTGGATGAGTGGATGGACAATGGACGGTGGAGGGATGGACAGATGGGTCAGCGGGTGATGGACGGGTTGGGCTGGGTGGACAGTGGGGGGAGGTGGGCGGGCGAGGGGGATGGGCGGCTGTGGACTCACCTGCCTGTCTCAGTTGTGTACATGCGTGTACACACCGTGATGCGTGAGCTCTCAGCCCTTCCTCCCCGGGCCCCAAGGCCCCGTCTCAGCCCCCGCCGCAGGCCCAGAGGGGGTCCCTCTGCTGGGTGGGCCCCGGAGCCTGCACCCGGAGGGCCCCTCCCCTGCAGCCGCTCCCTCCCGCAGGGCTTGCGGTGGGCCTGGACCCCCAGGGCTACGGGAACCCCGACTTCTGCTGGCTCTCCCTGCGGGACGCCCTCATCTGGAGCTTCGTGGGGCCCATCGGCGCCGTCATCATTGTGAGTCGGGGGTCCTGGAGTCGGGCGCCCGGGGCGGCGAAGAGGGCAGCCCATCAGCGGTGTCCTTGCAGGTGAACTCGGTCCTCCTGGTGCTCTCGGCCCGCGTCTCCTGCCAGAGGAAGCGCCAGTACTACGAGCGGAAGGGGGTCGTGTGAGTGGCCGAGCCGGGCGGGCTCGTTCTCCCCGGGAACTCGGAGCGGGCGGGCAGCAGGATGAGGGAGGCCACTGGGGTTTAGAACTGGCTGCGCCTGGACGTGGTCGGGGAGGGGGGGGCCCTGGACGAAGTGGCTACTGAAGGGCTGCTGGGGGCAGTCTGGGTGGGTGCTGGGTGACGGTGACTCAGGGACGCAGTGTCGGGGAGCCCCCGAGAGGCCCCAGCTAGAGGGAAGGGCCTGTGGGGCGGGAGGGGACGGGAGGCCTGGCCCGGCAGTGGGTAGTGCAGCTCACCCCCAGGCCCACGGCTTCAGCTGCCCGGCCCTGGGCCCACCCACAGTCCCAAGGAGAGTTCCGTGAACCCCACAGTGCCAGTGGGGAGACCGAGGCAGGCGCCACCAAGCCCCCAAAGGCAGATCAGACCAGACCTGAGCTGCCCAAGTCTCGAGGCCACTCTGCCCGTGTGGGGGTCAGGGGCCTCCGGACTCCGCAGTGTCCTGCTGGGCACTTCTCCCCCACTGCATGTCAGGGACGCTTCTTCGATGCCCTGCGTCAGCTCCCTGACCGGAACGCCTGTCCAGGGCTTGAAGGACAGCGGGGTGGGCAGATGCCCAGACAGAGGGACGGCTATTGCCTGGGAACGGGGGTGGACACAGGGACGGGCAGGAGGGGCCTGGACAGATGGGGTAGGTGACAGGCAGGGGAGGGTGGGTGGCGGGTGGCCGGGCGGGCGAGGGGTCACCCGTGTGCTGCTGTCCCCAGCGCCCTGCTCAGGTCCGCCTTCCTCCTGCTGCTGCTGGTCAGCGCTGCCTGGCTGCTGGGCCTCGTGGCCGTCAACAGCGACATGCTGGCCTGTCACTACCTCTTCGCCATCTTCAGCTGCCTGCAGGTAGGTGGCGGCCTGGGCCGCGCCCGCCCTGCCCCCACTCCTGCCCCTGCTCCTCAGAGGACAGCTCTGACTCAGCCAGAGACCGCGGAAGTGCCTGCGTGTCCCCGGCGGGACGCCCGCTGACCCTTCACCTCGGGGCCCAGCCACATAGTGGCCCTAGCCGGGGCCTCCAGAGCACGCGGGGTCCACCCAGGGACCCAGAGCCTGTGGGCGGGAGGGCCCGTCTCGAGGGTGCCCAGCAGTGTGTGGGGGCCGTGGCTTTGGGTGGGTGACCATGGGTCTGTGCACATGAGTGTGGGCGCAGGGGTGGGCACAGGTGAGTGAGTGCAGGAGTGAGAGTGCAGGTGAGCGTGTCCAGGGGTGTGTGGGCACAGGTGAGTCTATCTACAGGTGTGTGGGGACGCAGGTGTGAGTGTGGCTGCAGGTGCGCGTGTCCAGGCGTGAGGGCGCAGGAGTGAGCGCCGAGTGGGTGCTGTGGCCCCCTGTCCCCCCAGGGTGTCTCCGTGCTTCTGTTCCACTGCGTCCTCAATGCCGACGTGCGCCGACACCTGAAGGGGGCGCTGTCCGGGAGGAAGCTGCACCCCGACGACTCGGCCGCCACCAAGGCCACGCTGCTGACGGTAGGGCCGGGAGGGACCAGGCTTGGCGTCCACCGCGGAGCCCCCGGTGGGCGAGGGCGGGCCGGAGGGCATCGGGGAGCGGGTCCCAGGCTGCTGGGCCCCAGGTCGTTGGCCCCATGGCCCTGACCACGCCCAGGACTGTGATTCTGACTATGGCCGTGGCTGAGGCCAGACTGGCTGCCCGTGACTTCCCATGGCCATGACCCTGACCTGACCCTGACCCTGACCCTGACCTGCCCTAACCTTGGCCGCCTGCCCCCAGCGCTCCCTCAACTGCAACAACACATACAGCGAGGAGCCGAATGTGCTGCGCACGGCCCTGGGCGAGTCCACCGCCTCACTGGACAGCACTGGCAGGTCGGTGGCCGAGCCCCCGAGCTCTGGGATGCCCCGTGGCACGACCCCGCCCCTGGCCCTGGACTGACCCGTCGCCCTCCGCAGGGATGAAGGTGGCCCCAAGCTCAGTGCGTCTGGCGGGACGGCACGGGGTGGACATGGGGAGCTGGACGCGCCCTTCGTGGCCCGTGGCAACAAGAAGGCCCAGGGTAAGTGACTCTCGCCTGCCCCTGGCCACGGCCCGGGAGGGTCCCGCCACCCCCCACCCGGCCTGAGTGTCCCCCGGCCTGTCCCCGCAGGCCACAACTCGGACTCGGACAGCGAGTCGTCCCTGGACGAGCACAGCAGCTCCTACGCGTCGTCGCCCTCCTCGGACAGCGAGGACGACGGGCCCGAGGCCGAGGCCCCGCGGGGCCCCCTGCACAGCACCCCCAAAGGCAGGTCCCCAGGAGCGGCGTGGGGGGCGGGGGCGGGCGGGGAGCCCCCGGGGGAGGCGCCGGCTGAGGGTCCCTCTCGCGCCGCAGTGGACGCCGTGGCCAACCACGTGGCTGCCGGCTGGCCCGACGAGAGCCTGGGCGGGAGCGACAGTGAGGACGCAGGCGAGAGGCCGTGCCTGCGCGTGGAGACCCGGGTCAGCGTGGAGCTGCACCCCGAGGGCGCGCCCCCCGCAAGGCCCCCGGAGCAGAGGAAAGGTAGGCGGCGAGTGGGCAGGCGGGCGGGCGGGGGACCCCGGGCCACAGGGCCACAGTGCCGCTGAGCCCGCTGTGCCCGCAGGCATCCTGAAGAACAAGGCCACGTACCCGCCTCCGCTCACCGAGACGCCGCTCCGGGCCCGGCTGCGGGAGAAGCTGGCCCAGAGCCCCGCGACCTCCCGCACACCCTCCCCCGGCCCCGCCGACAAGGACCCCGGCAAGGACCCCGGAGGGGAGCCGGGGCGCGAGCACCTCAACGGGGCGGCCATGAGCGTGCGGGCCGGCAGCGCCCAGGCCCGCGGCTCTGGGTCCGAGTGAGTTTGCAGGCCTGGCAGGAGGGGGCAGGTCAGGGTGGTGTTCGGGGAGCGGAGGGGCGTATCTTCCGGTCATGCTGCCCCTTGAGGCCCTGCCTGGCCCCTTGGATGTGCCCGTGTGATGCCCTGGTTTGGTCTGTGCCCAGTTCTGGGATCGCCTGACCCCACCAGCAGGAGCTTGGGCTGTGGTTGGCAGTTGGCACCCGGGCACAGATGTGGTCTCCCTGTGACCAGGGTTCAGGCGGCTCCCTAGGATAGGGGTGGGGAGGTCGGGGTGGGTCGCGGGGTCTGCCGGGCGCCCTCGCTGACCCCTGCCCGCTGCTGGTGCTTCTTCCCCCAGAGGCAGTAACGAAACTTCAATCTGAACCACCAGGAAGGTGTGAAGCCGCCTCACCCCTCAGACAGGCCCCAGCCTCGCTCCCACAGGAGCCCCTCGGCCACCCCCCGACTCAGGGCCGGGTGGGCTGTGCGACAGGTGCCAAAGACCGCAGGCAAGAGGGCCAGGACAGCGAGCCGTGCCCAGTGCTGGCCGGCCCAGAGGCCCGATGGTCAGTGCGAGAGGAGCTGCTGACGGGCTGGCCGGCCCCTGGACACTGCAAGGCTGCCGCGTCACGAGGGGCTGGTCTCGAGACCCCCGGGACTCCAGGACACCGAGCACTGGTCTTCGCAGTGGAGGACGGGCCCGGCCCATGGTCGGGCTTGGGGACAGCTGCGCTGGGGTGCTGACGCCATCAGGGGGGCCAGGTTGGGACCGACGGGCGCCACGGGAAGACACTGACCGTCCCGACGTGCCGTGAGCACGGTCAGCAGAGCCTGCGCCGAACCGCCCCTCGCCAGGGCCTCCCTGGCACCGTCCCAGCCGGCACCCCTCCCCCTCCCCCCTGCTTTGAGATGTCGGGAGCCGCGGGTGGGCCGGGTGCCAGCGCCGTCTGGCCAATCGCGTTCTGCTTCAGATGGCCAATTGTGAGCGGGACAAAGCCACGGCCACTCTCTCAATGGCTCCCACGCTGCCAGGGGCCACTGAGGAGCTGCGGCTGCCCTGTGTGGACAGCTGTGTGGCCACAGGGCAGTGGCCAGGTGCCAGACGCTGCTGCCGTCTGTCCCCGTGTGGGCCTTGTCCTCAAAGCAGGTGCCCCTTGGTGCTAGGGAGGCGGCCATGGCATCTGCCCCGGGAGGGGTCTCGGGGCTGTCCCTGGGGGCTGGTTCTCGTTGCTGGTTCACCACCCAGACCGGCTTTGGGCCGAGACAAGGCCCGGTGCTGACCCCAGTGCTGGCCAGGCTGGCCGAAGACGCTGGAGGCTTCTACCAACGTGTCTTTATTGCTGTGTTCCCAACACGGGAGCCCCCAAGAGTCTGCAATAAATGAAGCCTTGGATGCCGCAGCGCGTGGGGACTCGGCTCCTTCCAGCCCCACGTGGCCAGGTGGGCCCCTCGCCTGGCACCAGCAGCAACATAGGAGTGCGTGTGTCCTGTGGTCACTGTGTCCACACCCCGACACATCCCCCTTACCCCACCACCCGGCCTGGAACTGTTGTGTCGACTGTGGTCACCTTTGGGTCACTGTGTCACCCTGATCACTCCTGCCACTTCCCCATGGGTCCCAGTCCCTGGCTACACACACCAGGGGGCTTGAGGGCTCTGCCCCCAGTACAGTCTGACCTGTGGCATGCTGCCCTGTGAGCCGACTGTCCTGTCTGGTCATCCCTGTCCCTGGTGACTCCAGGCCTGGCGTATGCCATGCTCCCCTTCTTGGGGTCTGGGTTTGCCACAGTGGACAGTGACCCCACCTTTGGGCGTCTGTGCTGGCCACTACCCTGTGGGCCTGAGGGCAATTAGCAGAGCCACGCCCAGGGCCTCGGCTGCCTGGGTGAGCCCCGTGAGAGCTGCCGGTTCTGCCGTGCCCGCCTCTCATCTGTGCCCACGTCGGGGCATGCGGGGGCGTCACTGCCCACCTGTCTCCAGGCAGTTGGCCTGCAGGTGCCCCTGGGCCGGGTCAGCCCCACTGCAGGCCGCCAGGGCAGGGGCTGGGGGCAGCCTCTGCGGGGGCGAAGAGCCTCCCCTTGCACCCCTCCCTGCCTCTTCCCTGCCACCGGGGTCTGGTGTGCAGATCCTGACTTGACTGCACGGGCCCCCCACACCGACAGCACGTCTGCCCGAGTCCACACTTTATTCCCGGCCGACCCAGTGCCCGGGCGGGGCGGCCCTCCGGTCCTGCCCATCAGGGTGGGGGGCGCGGGCCGCCAGGGGGGTCCTCGCTGGAGCCGTCCGTGGCCGCCCTGGCCTGGCGCAGGCCCTTCTGCAGCGTGTAGGCCGAGGGTCCCAGGCGCACGATCTTGCCGCTGCCCAGACACTCGTCCCCCTTGTAGAAGACGGCGAACTGCGGGGAGGGGGCCGGTCAGGCCAGGCCCGGGGCGCTGCAGCCCAGTACCCCCCGCAAGTCCCCCGCCCCACGCGGGGGTCCCGCTCACCTGCCCCAGGGCCAGGGCCCGCACGGGCTTCACCGCCGTCACCCACACGGTGCCGTCCTGGTTGAGCGTCAGCACGCAGGGCACTGGGGGCGCAAAAGGGGCCTTGGCGGGGTCCGGGGCGCAGCCGGGCCGAGCCCCGCTACTAGGCCCCGCCCCCCGCCCTATCAATTGGCTCCCCGCAGCCGCCAAGCCCCGCCCCATCACCCAGGCCCCGCCCCTTCTAGGCCTCGCCCCAGTTCTGGTCCCGCCCCATCACCCAGCCCCTTCTAGGCCCCGCCCCACCATTCCGCCTGTGGTTGCCAGGCCACACCCCTTCTAGGCCCCGCCCCATCACCCAGGCCCCGCCCCTTCTAGGCCCCGCCTCCGTCAGCAGTCCCACCCCACCATTCGCCCCCCCCGTAGTCGCCAGGCCACACCCCTTCTAGGCCCCGCCCCATCACTCAGGCCCCGCCCCCGCCCTATCAGTTGGTTTCCCGCAGCCACCAGGCCCTGCCCCATCACCCAGGCCCCGCCCCTTCTAGGCCTCGCCCCAGTTCTGGTCCCGCCCCATCACCCAGCCCCTTCTAGGCCCCGCCCCACCATTCCGCCTGTGGTGGCCAGGCCACACCCCTTCTAGGCCCCGCCCCATCACTCAGGCCCCGCCCCCGCCCTATCAGTCGGTTCCCCGCAGCCACCAGGCCCTGCCCCATCGCCCAGGCCCCGCCCCCGTCCCGATCCCGCCCCATCATTCGGCCCGTAGTCGCCAGGCCACACCCTCTAGGCCCGCCCCTCCACGCTGAGCCCCGCCCCGCGGCTAGGCCCCGCCCCTCCAGGCCGAGCCCCGCGCCGCCGCTCACCCAGCGCCATCTGGTGGCGGAATCGGAAGTGACACTCCATCATCTTGTCGCGGACCAGCGGGGCGGGGGGCTCGTCGGCGATCCAGTGCACGCGGCCCGTGCGCAGCAGGTCCCGGTACAGGGCCGGGTGGTCCGTGCGCGGGGCCTACGGGGGGCGGCGGGTGCTGGGCCGAGCCGAGGTTCCCCACCCCCTGCCCTTGCACCCCCGCACCCCGGGGAGAGGCGGGACCCCCCCAGCCCTCGGCCGGCGGCACGAGCCCCCTCCCCGCGCTCACCACCACCACGTCGCCCGTGGCGCCGTCCTTGTCCACCACGTACCAGGGCTCGCGCAGGCCGCCCAGTTTGGCGCGCTGGCCCAGCGTGTACAGGAACCAGCCTGCGGGCAGCGAGGGCAGAGCTGGGCCCTCGCCTCCCCCCCTCCCCTCCCCGGCCCACCCCCTCGCCCCCGAGGTCTGCACCCACCTTTGTGCGTGCCCAGGACCGCGCCGTCCTCCACGGAGATGAACCTCCCGGGCCGCGGCTGCAGGTACTGGGGGCACACGGGGGTCACCTGCTGCCCGCCGGGCACAGGCCAGCTCTCCCGCCCATCCCCGCCCCACACACCTGCAGGATGAAGTTCTCAAAGTTCCTCTTGCCCACGAAGCAGATGCCCATGCTCTGCAAGGAGATGCCGCGTGAGGGACCCCCGCCCCGGGGTACCCCCCCAGGGGTCCCGTGAGGGGCCTGAGTCCAGCCCCAACACCCCAAGGGACAGGGCAGTGGGCAGGAGGTGGGCTCCACTCTCCCGGGGCCAATGTCTGCCACTGCCTTCCCCGACCCCACAGACACGGAGACCCTCGGAGCACTAGGTCCACAAGGTGCCCCGAGCCAGCCCTGCCTGAGCGGAGGCAGGAGGACCCCCGCCCCTGTCCAGGCCGCCGGCACAGCAGGCAGGGGTGGAAACCTCCCCCACACCCACAGACCCGCCTGCCGCCCAGCTGAACCAGCTGGACCAGCACAGACCCCCGCCTGCCTGCAGGCCAGTGCAGAGAAACTGAACAGGAGCCTCCCCACACAGCACAGGGAGGACCAGCAGCAGGGCAGGGGGAGGAGGCGGCGGTCCGGCCGGGCCCACCTCTTTCTTCTGAAGCACGTGCTGCAGCCCGTTCTCGGCGGCGATCTTCTTGACGAAGGCCTTGGTGAGGCCGCCCAGGGGGAAGAGCGCCCTGCGCAGGGCGTCCTGGGGCACCTGGCTGAGGAAGAACGTCTGGTCCTTGACGCCGTCGGCCGCCTGCAGGAGCTTCACGGCTGCCGGAGAGAGCGCGAGGGCCCGTGAGCTCCCGGGGCCCTGCCCGCCCACCTCCCTCCGCGCCAGGGACGGTTCCAGGGGACGGGAACAAGGGGCTCTGGGGCAAGCTGCCAGGACCCCCGGGCGGAGGTCTCGGCCCCCCAGCCCTGACGTCCCTGAACCCGGCCGCACTCACCATTCCGCACCTCGAACCGGTTCCTGAAGAGGCCCCTGGGCCTCCGCACGTGCTTCTGCTGGAAGACCTCGGCGTCCTCCAGCGACGTCCGCGCGTAGTGGCCCGTGGCCACGGCGTCCGCGCCTAGGGGGGACGGACCGTGGTCAGTGCCGGCCGGCCCCTGGGAGCCACCTGCTCCCAGGCCCGGCCTGCCACCCTCCCACACAGCTCTCCGGGACCTCCCGCGGGCACCAGCTCCGCCCCTGGCCCCCCTTCGGTGGCAGACCGCGTGGAAGCCACCTCGGCTGAGCGGGGGTCACGTGACCCCAAACTTCTGACCCTAACCCGGGCTCAGGGGAGGGGGCTGGCGTTGCACACAGCCAACAGGTGAATCCCTGGCACCTCCTAGGGTCCCGACCTCTGGGCACCCCCAGGTGTGGCCCCAAGCCCAGATGAGCACCATGTCCAGATGCCAGAGTGGACATCCAGCGGCTGAACCGGCAAACACCACCGGTGCTGGCGTGTCAGACCCATTTTGAAACCCTGATGCTGAGGGACCCTCAGGTCGCGTGGGGAAGCGTCCAGCCCCGCCTGGCCGGCCAGGGACCCCACCCCATCAGCCGGTGACCCCCTGGAACTCTGTCAGTGCAGGTGCCTGTGACAGGCACACAGGGCCCCGAATCACTGCAGACTCGAGTGATGTCCGCAGCATCTGACCCTTAGCAAGCCTCCGAGTGGCCGCTGGACACGGGGCAGAGCTGCCCGTCACCCACGCGTGGCTGTCCCCATGCCTGAATGCGGCCTCCAGGCCCGGCCCAGCGGTGCAGTGACCGCAGGCAGGCGGCGTGGCGGGGACCTGAGATTTCAGGGTGGGAACTCAGGGTTCAGGCTGTCCCCACTCCCGGCTGGCTGCCGCCCAGGGCCAGGGCAGATTCCACACAGCTGCTGGAGTGGACAGGGGGCCCAGGGCATGGGCACCCCAAGACGGCCAGGAATGACCCCGAGGACAGCGGGCAGCCCAGCCACACCCCAGGGAGGCTGCTGTGATGGCACGGGGCGTCCAGGGGCAGATAGACACTCGCATGGGCCGGGCTGCGGGCCTCAGTGGTCCCGGGACGGTCACTAAGCCCCACTCCATGTCCAGACAAGAGGCAGAGACCCTGGTCTGCGGGGGCCGCCCTCGTGGGGGCCTGGGGGTAGAGGCGCGGCCTGAGGCTCTGCAGGAAGTGTGGCCCCCGATGTCGGCTGCCCAGGCACAGCCTGGCCCTGTGGGGGTCAGGAGCCACTGGGCACGGACCCCTGCACCCCGCTCCCTGCCACGCACCCAGGCTGTCCAGCGCGTAGTGGAAGAAGCAGCGGAACTTGATGTGCTTGTTGCAGATGATGTCGGGGTTCGGGGTCCTCCCCTTCTCGTACTCGTTCAGGAAGTCACTGAGGAAGGAAGGACGGACGCTGGCCCCTCCGCGTGGGCAGCCGTCACTGCTGGGCACGCCGGCAGCGCGTCCCTGGAACGCTGAGGGCTAGGCTGGTCATGCTCCAACCGCGGAGGCCCACGCCGAGCCGAGCGGGGCGCAGACCCCCAGATTCCCCGCATGACAGTGTCCCGACGTGGCTGCTGGCGCTCCGGCCCACCCCGCCCCCCTCACCGACAGTGTCCTCTCCCCAGAGCGGGGCCGCGGGCCGGCCGGGCACCTGAAGACGTCGTTCCAGTACTCCTTCACGTAGGACACCTGGTGGAAGGGCATGTCCAGCACCTGGCACACGCGGTACGCGTCCTCGCAGTCACGGTCGGCCGCGCACACGCCGTGCTCGTCCAGCGCGTCCCAGTTCTTCATGAACACGCCGGTCACCTGGTAGCCTGGGGAGGGCCGGCGGCGGGGAGACCCCGTGAGCTGAGCCGGGCCGAGCCGGGTGGGAGGACCAGCAGGCGGCCAGGCCCTCTCTCCTGCCCGGTCTCGCATGGGTTGGAGTGGGGGGGCCCCTCTGGGCGCGCCCCTTGCAGGACCCCCGGGTGGGCTCACCCACCAAGGGGGACCCGGCAGGAGCGGGAGCCGGCGCCAGGGACATAAGGGAGGCCGAGGTCGGGCACGGGGCAAGGCAGGTGGGGACTGGGCACTGGACACGGGGCAGGGTCAGGGCGGGCACTGGACACTGGGCAGGGGCAGGGTGAGCGCCAGGCACTGGGCAGGGCCAGGGGGCGGGGCAGGCGCCGGGCACCGGACACTGGGCAGGCCTTAGGGTCGGGGCGGGCACCAGACACCTGGCAGGGGCAGGGGCAGGGCGTGAACCGGGCACTGGGCAGGGTCAGGGAGGGCGCCGGGCACTGGGCAAGACAGGCAGGGACTGGGCGCTGGGCACGGGGCAGGGGCAGGGGGCGGGGCAGGCGCTGGGCACCGGGCAGGGGCAGGGTCAGGGCGGGCACCGGGCACTGGGCACGGGGCAGGGTCAGAGTCAGGGTCAGGGCGGGCGCCAGGCACCGGGCACCGGGCAGGGCAGGCAGGGACTGGGCGCCTGGCACCGGGCAGGGTCGGGGCGGGCACCGGGCGCCGTCCGGGGCCGCCCGCGCCGCCTCACCTCTGCGCTTGAGCAGCAGCGCGGCCACGGCGCTGTCCACGCCGCCCGACAGGGCGCACACGACCCGCGGCGCCACCTGCATCCGCGCGCCGGAAGTCCCGCCCCGCCCCGCCCCGCCCCCTCCGCCGGAAGTCCCGCCGCCCGCCAGGTGCGCCTCGCCCGCCGGAAGTCCCGCCCGCGTCCGGCCGCCCACGTGGGCCGGGCTCGCCGGAAGTCGCGCCGCGCGCGCCGCGTTCCGGGCGGAAGCGGGAGCCCCGCGCGCGCCGCGTTCCGGCCGACGCTCCCGGAGGGGCCCAGCGTCCGCGCTGCACCGCCGCTGGCCGTGCCACCCGCCCTGGGCCCGCGCGCGGGGCGGGGGGCAGCGTGGTGGCCGGCGTGAGGCCGGGCCGGGCGGGAGGGGCAGGGCAGGGGTGCCGCGGGGAGGGCGGGGATGCTGCCAGGAGGGCAGGGAGGTCGCAGGGAGGTCAGGGGTGCTGCCAAGGAGGCAGGGGTGCCGCGGGGAGGGCAGGGATGCTGCGAGCAGGGCGAGGGCAGGGGTGTCGCGGGGAGGGTCGGGATGCTGCCGGGAGGGCAGGGAGGTCGCAGGGAGGTCAGGGGTGCTGCCAAGGAGGCAGGGGTGCCGCGGGGAGGGCAGGGATGCTGCGATTAGGGCGAGGGCAGGGGTGCCGCGGGGAGGGTCGGGATGCTGCCAGGAGGGCAGGGAGGTCGCAGGGAGGTCAGGGGTGCTGCCAAGGAGGCAGGGGTGCCGCGGGGAGGGCAGGGATGCTGCGAGCAGGGCGAGGGCAGGGGTGTCGCGGGGAGGGTCGGGATGCTGCCGGGAGGGCAGGGAGGTCGCAGGGAGGTCAGGGGTGCTGCCAAGGAGGCAGGGGTGCCGCGGGGAGGGCAGGGATGCTGCGATTAGGGCGAGGGCAGGGGTGCCGCGGGGAGGGTCGGGATGCTGCCAGGAGGGCAGGGAGGTCGCAGGGAGGGCAGGGGTGCTGAGAGCAGGGGCAGAGCTGGGATGCTGCCAAGGAGGCAGGGGTGCCGCGGGGAGGGCAGGGATGCTGCGAGCAGGGCGAGGGCAGGGGTGCCGCGGGGAGGGTCGGGATACTGCCAGGAGGGCAGAGAGGTCAGGGATGCTGCCAAGGAGGCAGGGGTGCCGCGGGGAGGGCAGGGGTGCCGCGGGAGGGGCAGGGATGCTCGGGCACCGAGGAGTCTGCATGCTTCCATTTATTGCACAATTTCACTAAAAGTCTGGGGCAGGGGCGCCTCCCCCCACCGCCCCCGGGCAGCCCCTTCCCCCGGGGCGCCTGCCGGGCTCAGAGCTTGAGGAGGGGCGAGGCCACGTTCTCCTTGTCCGCGGCAGGGCTCAGCTGGATCAGGGGCGAGGCCAGGTCGATCAGCTGCGGAGACGGCGGGGTCAGACGCGGCTCCCCCCAGCCCCCAGTCCCCGGCCCGCACCCCCACAGTCCCCGGGATCCCCCCTCCACACCTGCACAGCCTCGAGGTCGGGCCTGGCCTTGGGCGTGCTGCCGCGGGCCCAATCGGGCGTGTTGACCAGGAGGTCGATGAGGGGCCGGCTCGGGCCCCCCGGGGCGGCGCTGGCCAGGGGGCTGCTGCAGAAGTCGATGAGGGGCGCGTCCACCTCCACCAGGGGGGCGCTGGCGGCTTGGGGGGCGACGGCTGCGGGGAGAGCCTGGGAGGAGCACAGGGGACCGAGCATCAGCCCAGGCAGGGGCCGACGTCCCCAGCCCTCTGCATCCCGGTGTGTCCCACCCTGGGCGCCTGGCCTGGAGGAGGATTGAGCAGTTGTCACCTCTGGGCCCCGTCCCGCGGAGGGGCTCTTGGTGCCCTCGCTGTGCTCCGGGGAGAAGCAAAGAGCCTGGGGCACGGTGGCTGGCGGGGAGCTGCTCCCGTCGGGGGACGAGTCACGGCCGCTGGACGCAGCTTGGCTGTTGCTCACGCAGGCCGAGGAGGTCCTGCGGGGAAGGTCCCTGAGGCCACGTCCACGCAAGCCGGGCCTGGGCCCCTACCGCTTGCTTCCTCTGGTGCCTCACCGTCCCCAGTCCCGCCCGGCCACACCCCATCACGTGCCGCACCCCTCCCCAGCCCTGCTCACCTCAGGGGGCCTCTTCCAGGAGTCTCAGAGGCACAGGGGGGTGAGCCGGGGGCCCTGAACGTGGTCCTGGGGGTGGCCCTGGGCAGGCTGGAGAGCCGGCGGCCGGCAGGCGTGGGCAGGGACGACAGGCGCCTGGTGGCCGACGGGGTCCCGGCCTGGCTGATGGCACTGCTTGGGGCAGGGGTGCTGTGGAGGGGTGTCCTGCAGGGCGGGGGGCGCTCAGCGGGCAGGACCTTGCCAGAGGGAGCTCAGATGGGCCCCACCCCCACCGCCAGTTCCCAGGGTTGGAGACACCCCAGGTGCACACCGGTGTGTGCTGAGTTGTGTGGGTATGTGCTGGGGGTAAATGTGTGTGTCTGGGTGTCTCTTGGGGTGTGAGTATGTGTGGCTGTGAGTGTAGTTGTGTGCGTGTGTGCACACAGGAGTACGTGCGTGTGCGTGAGTGCACACCAGGGGCTGAGAGATGGTGCTGGCCCACGGCAGTGTCCGTGCCCCTCAGGGAAGGCCAAGCCGTGACTGTCAGGGCAAGCTGTGTCTACTGAGGCAGGGGCGGGGGGGGGCGCTGGACAGGGCAGCTCAGGGGGAGCAGGCAGATGTGTCGGCTCAGAGCCGGAGAGAACAGGACAGACGGCAGGACGATGTCTTACCTCCCGGCCGGGGTGTGCGGCTGTGGCCTCTGAGTGCGAGGGAACTGGGGGGTCACGGTGCCGGGGGGCTCGCCTGGACAGCAGCGTGAGGTCAGTGAGACCAGGCGCCCCACCCGCCCGCCCGGGCTCCTCCCAACCCCCCCGGACCCCCCACCCGCCCCACTCACCCGCAGGGCTCCTGGGCACCTTGAAGGGCTCGGCCAGCGCGGACGACACCCCCGGCCTGGGGCCCAGGGAGGACTCGCGCCTGCGGGCACCCCCCGTCTGTGGCGCCCGTGAGGACCACGACAGACTGCGGCGGGCGGCTGGGGGCCGGGCGGGCGGCTCAGGCGTCTGGGGCTGAGGGGCGGGTGTCCGGGAGGGCTCGGCTGCCAACTCGGCAGTCCCCTGGCTCTGCCGGCAGGAAGCCCCCAAGGGGCCTGGAGGCCGTGGCCGGACTGGGGCTGCCGGGAGCCGGCTACCATCTGTAGGGACACAGGAGCCAGCGAGCGTCTCGGCCAGGCCCCCCCCCCAGACCCGCCCGCATAGGCGACCCCCGGGCCCGGCCGGCCTTACCTTGGCCCGCAGTGGCCGGAGCAGCGCCCGAGGTGGACGGCTTTCGGGTGGCAGCACCAGGAGGCTTCAGCAGGGTCTTCCTCAGCGCCTGGGGGAGAGAGCGAGAGGGGCGGGGGCACCCACTGTCCTGTCTGCCACGGAGCGCCCCCGGGGAATCCGCCCGAAGCCCACTCAGCAGACAGGACTTCCAGCCGCTCCCCGCCCTGCCGTGCCGTGCCCGCGGGGAGCCGGGCTTGACTGCCAATCACTGCCGGGAGGAAAGGGACAGCCGGCACATGGCAGTGTGGGGTGACCGCCCCTGCGTGCCCCCCACTGCCCCTGTGTGACCCCCGACCCACCCCACGTGGACGGGCCCCCACTACCCCTGCAGATCCACAGGCTGACACATGTGCGGATACATACTCTGACACGCACTCACACAGACACGCACAGACACTGCTACAGACACACACACACACACACACAAGGCCCACCTTGTGGGGGACGGGCAGTGACCGCACGGCGGGGCGCGACTCCCTGGGCGGCTCCTTCTCCCTCCGGGGCTCCGTGCGGGCCGGGCTGGCTGGCGGGTCCCTGGCAGGCTGGACTCTGGTGGCCAAGTGAGGCTGTTTCGGTGGTACCCGTGAGCCACATGCTGTTCCTGAACACCAGAGCACCGCCCCCCCCCCGTCCCCCGAGAAACAGCCCTGGGCCAGGCCTGGCACCCTCCCCCCAGCCCCCGGGCCGCCGCAGGAAACGGGACGGGCCCTTCCCAGACTCAGAGGTCACGCTCGCTTTAAAGCGCGTGCATGGTCTGGGTTCGGGACTTGGGCGACGGCGACCTGCAGCACGGCGTCTGACCCGAGCCTCCAAGGCCCCCAGCGCGACTCGGAGTGGTCTGCAGCAGGAGGCCCCGGGCCAGGCAACCAAAGGACCCAGGACACCGATGGCAAGGCTGCCCAGACTTGTGGCGATGTGCGTGCAGCGGGCTGTCACGGCACCCCTGAGTGTGTGTGTGTGTCTGTGTGCATGCAGTGGGCTGTCATGGCACCCAAGTGTGTGTGTGTGTGTGTGTGTGTGTGTGTGTTCGCGTGCAGTGGGCTGTCATGGTACCCCTGAGCGTGTGTGTGTGTGTGTGTGTGTGTGTGTGTGTGTGTGTGTGCGTGCGTGCAGTGGGCTGTCACGGCACCCGAGTGTGTGGTGTGTGTGTGTGTGTGCATGTGCAGTGGACTATCACTGTGCCCCTGAGTGTGTGTGTGTGTGTGTGTGTGTGTGCATGCAGTGGGCTGTCACGGTACCCCTGACTGTGTGTGTGTATGCGCGTGCACGCAGCGGGCTGTCACTGTGCCTGAGTGTGTGTGTGTGTGTGTGTGCGCGCGCGCACGCAGTGGATTGTCACAGCACCCCTGCCCCTGAGTGTGTGTGCGTGTGCATGCCTGTGAGTCCCCCAGACCCCACACTCCGTGGCTAAGCCCCACCCCAGTGCTAGGGAGGTGCTTCCGGGTCCCCGTGCCCAGGCTCTCCGGGGACCGCGGCCCCGCCTACCTTCTCCAGGGCCCTGAGGCGGAGCGAGGGGGCGCGGGGCAGCTGCCGGCCAGCACCCATCCTCTGCGCGGCCGTCTGGCTGGGGGCGGGTCCCAGGGGCACAGGTAGGGGTGCGGGGTCCGTCCTGTCCGACACGCAGAACGTCTCCCGCTTCAGCGCCTGGGGGCTCCTCCTGGCCTCCTCCTCCCGCTCGAAGAGGCTGATCTTGGCCTCAGGCTCCTGCACAAAGTGCTCCCCGGCCTGGCCGGGGGGCTGCGCAGGGAGGGCCGAGGCGGCCTTGCGGGCACTTTCGATCTGCAGGGCCAGCAAGTGGGCCTCCTTGTACACCTCCACGAAGGCGTCCCCCGTCAGCGGGCACCAGGGCCAAGGGCCTCGGGGCGAGGGCGAGGGCCGCGGCGGGGCGGGCTGCTCAGGCGGCTGCAGCCTCAGCTCCACGCTGGCCGCCAGGCATCGCTCTCTGTGCCCCACCGGCCCGAAGAACACCTCGTCCTCTTCCTCGTTGGCACTGTAATGGGGAGACGGGGCATGACGGCGGTGCCGGGGTGGGCGGTGGGCACACAGCAGGGAGGGGTCGGCGCTTACCTTGTTGACGACAGCGAGAGGTCAAAGTCAAACTTCTCATCCTCCAAAAGCACGACATCTGGGGGGTGGGGGAGGCCGGAGTCAGGGGCGCCCTGCCCCAGGCCACCAGCACGGAGACTCTCGCGACCCCGAGACCTCCAGGGCGCTTTCCCCAAACTGTCTTTCCCAAACAGTCGAGGCCACAGACCCAAGGCTGACTTTTCTCTTTTAGTTTTGGGGCTACCCCAGCTCCATGCCTAGCGGTCACTCCTGGTGGTGCCCAGAAGGACCCTAGCAGAGCGGGACACGGCACAGAACCAACCACAGGCTGTTGACCAGGACACCCCAACAGTGTGCCAGGATGTGGCCGGGGGCAGGTGGGAGGCACTGGGCTCCGCCTCCCCCCGCAATGCCAAACTGGAGTTTAACCAGCCGCATCTGGGAAGGGGGCAAAAGCCCTCACACCCCACTTTGAACGGGGCAGAAAGTGACAGCGGTGATCACCACCTTCGGCCCTCCCCGCTGGACCCCAGACCCAGTCTGCGGCTGACCACGAAGCCCCTCGGACACTCCCTGGCTCCCGGGCCGGGGTCTGGGCCCGCCCGCTGCCCTCCAGGGTCTGGGCTGCCCGGCGCTGAGGGCGGCAGAGCAGGACAACCAGCAGCTTCCGGTGAAAAGGTGGCGGGGTGGGGTCAGCGGGGACAGCAGAGCCCCCAGCCCCCTCTTGCGGGGTGCGACCGTGACCGGGCGCAGAGCAAGGAGGAAGCCCTGGGCACCTGGGCATGACCGGGGATGGCCAAAAGCAAAAGCAAAAAAGATATTTAAAAAAGAAAACTCAGGGGCTGGAGCAATAGCCCAGCGGGCAGGGCGTTTGCCTTGCACGCAGCAGACCCGGGTTCGATTCCCAGCATCCCATAGGGTCCCCCGAGCACCACCACCAGGAGCAATTCCTGAGTGCAGGGCCAGGAGGAACCCCTGTGCATCGCGGGGTGTGACCCAAAAAGCAAAAAATTAAAAAAGAAAAGTCAGACCATGCGGGGTCAGTCTCGGCCCGGCTGCCGGACACCCGGAGCCCAGCACCCTCGGCCAGCGCTGCGGAGGGGTCGGACCCCAGGGCGGGGGCCAAGGGCCGGCCCAGGCCCACTGCGGGGGTGGGGGGGCCCCAAGAACCTGCAGCCCAAGTGTCCACGCCGGGACGAGCCCGCGGGCCGGGGGCCGAGCGCGGGGGACACTCCTGGCCACGGGCCGGGGGTCGCGGGAGTGGACGCGGGTCCCGTACCGTCCTCGCGGGGGGCGTCCATCTCCGCTCCTCCGGCAGCTGCGAGGAGAAAGGAGATGGGTGAGTGGTGGGGGGCTCCCGGGGACCCCCCCGGCCCGCCCCGGGACCCCGGGACCCCGGGACCCCGCGACCCCCTCACCCCGGCGGCCTCCGCCCGGGTCACGGCGCGGCTCCGCCGATTCAAACGCGGCGCGGGCGGCGCGGGCCGCGGATTGGCCGGTTTGAAAAGGGGTCACGGGGTCGCGGCGCGCGCGGCATGCTGGGAGTTGTAGTCCGGGCGCCGCGCGCGCCTGCGCACTGCCTCCGAGCGGGTCCCCGCGCCTCCCGGGCACGTGCAGAGTGCTCCCGCGGACTTCAGCTGCTCGGGGTCGGGGGGCGGGGGGCGTCCTGCCTGCCCGAAAGGCCCGAGCGGAGGCTGAGACTGGCCCGGGCGCCCACTGGGCGGGGATGAAGCAGCAGCTTCCCCACTGGGAAGACCCTGGGGACGGGGACAGTGGGCTGCCCGTAGGGGCCACTCCGGCCAACACCCTTTCCAGAGGCGACGGGACTCAGTGGGGCCGGCCGGGGTCGCGGCGGGCCCTGTCCACACTGCCCAGCGCTGCCGGGGCCCTTGCGCTGGGTCCAGGGGCCCAGGGCTGGGGCGCTCTCACCCACTGGGGGTCCACCGGGGGTCACTGTCCCTGCTCTGGGGTGAGGATCCCAGCACAGCCCCTCCCGGGCCCACTAACTGGGGCCCCCCCACGGGAGCTCCCATGTGCTCCCCGCGTTTGCTGCTGGCCCAGCCGGGGGTCTCAGCTGGGAGTCAGGCACAGGCCTGGGGGCTGCAGCGGTGGCCGGTCAGAAGGTCCTGCTTCTGGCCACGCTGTTTGTTGCTGGGCGTGAGCAGTCCTGGAGAAGGGGGCTCGGGCCGGGGTGCTGGCCGCCAGGTCCCCTCACCCCGGGCCGAGTGCCCTGTCCCCACCCGAGCTGTCCTCCCAGGACCCCAGGCCCAGCGACATGGAGATTGCAAAGGCACCAATGAACCATCAGATTTTATTCCAGGGATCTGTCCCCCCACCCCTGATTTTCAAACAGCTCAGCCCTCCCGACCACCTAGCGCCCAATCTAGGGTGGACAAGGAAACCCTCACCCTGGATTCAGGTCGGGGGCCCACAGAGGAAACTGCATCCACGGGTCCTCTCCGTGGACACGGCTCAGAACCAGGAACCAGCCCCGATGGCCCCCACAAGGCACGAGGGCCACCCCACGAGGCGAGGGCAGCTTTCGGGTCCTGAGCCACAGCAGGGCGGGGGTCCCTGCCCCAGCAAGAAGAGAGGGGCCGCGCTAGGCGTGACCCAGGATAAGGCACTATCGTCCCTGCATCTACAGACTGGACACTATGGTAAGGAAGACCCGTTAGCGGCTCACTGGGGCCCCTGGGTGGGGAGCAGGGTGCCCCAGAGGGGTGGGGCAAGACACCCCCGCCTGGACCCACCCGCCCCAGCCCAGCCCTCCAAGCTTGACTCTGGGGGGCCCCCTGGGAAAATGCAGCAGCAGCAGCAGCAGCAGCCAGGGGGCGTCACTTGGGGCGGGGGGTCACTGCAGGAGGTGGACGGCCGAGGCTTTGCGCAGGAGCCGCTCGGTCAGGGGCGAGTTGGGCTTCAGGGCGTCCCTCTCCACCAGCAGACTCCTGCAGAGACAGAGGCCCGTGCTGGAAGCGCCGAGGGGCTGGCCTGGGGCCGGGGTGGGGGTCCCAGGGCGGCTGGTAATGATGAGGCTTTCTCGTGGGGGTGCCCACCGACCCCCAAGGGCCAGACTGCACATCCCCCCCACGCCCTGTTCCCTCTGCTCCACGGCCACTCGGCGGGACCGGTCCCCAGCCCTGGTCACTCAGCAGCCGTGGGACGTCCAGCTGTGATTCCCGCCTGAGCAACCTGCTAACAAGGGGGATCCTGGCCTCAGCCCCGGCCGGCCGGGACTCACCGGGCCACGTTCCTGTAGGCCCCCTCCGAGCAGTTCAGGGCCGCGTGAATCAGCAGCTGGTTGAAGACGTCTCTCTGGAAGGGGATTGGGCCAGGCGGGAGGTATGGGCGGGCACAAGCAGGCGGTGGGCGGGGTAAGACCAGTTTCTTCTGAAGGGGATTGGGCAGTGCTGACATGTAGGCGGGGCACAGGCAAGCGGTGGGCGGGGCGAGATCAGCCTCTCTTGAAGGGGATTGGGCGGTGTGGGCATGTAGGCGGGGCACAAGCAGGCAGCGGGCGGGGTGAGACCAAGCCTCTCCAGAAGGGGTTTGGGCAGCGTGGGTGTGTAGGCGGGGCACAGACAGGTGGTGGGCGGGATGAGACCAGCCTCTCCTGAAGGGGATTGGGCGGTCAGGGAGTGTGGGCGGGGCACAAGCAGGCAGTGGGCGGGGGTGAGACCCGCCTCTCCAGAAGGGAATTGGGCAGTGCAGGTGTGTAGGCGGGGCACAGGCAGGCGGTGGGCGGGGTGAGACCAGCCTCTCCTGAAGGGGATTGGTTAGTGCAGACATATAGGCGGGGCACAAGCAGGCAGTGGGCGGGGTGAGACAGCCTCTCCTGAAGGGGATTGGGCGGTGCGGGCATGTAGGCGGGGCACAGGCAGGCGATGGGCTGGGTGAGACCAGCCTCTCCTGAAAGGGATTGGGCGGTCAGGGCGTGTGGGCGGGGCACAAGCAGGAGGTGGGCGGAGTGAGACTAGCTTCTCCCCAGGGGATTGGTCGGTGCGGGCGTGTGGGCGGGGCACAGGCAGGTGGTGGGCGGGGCGTAGGCAGGCTCCGCCGGGCGAGCTCACCTGCGCATTGCTGCCCCCGATCTCCACGATGCGGTAGCGGATGGGCAGCAGCAGGTCCAGCACGCGGTCCGGGTGGCCGCTCTGGGCCTCCACCAGGGCCTGGCACAGGGGCAGGCCCACGTCGCGGGCCAGGCGCAGCTGACAGTTCTCCCCCGGGGACCTGCCGGCCAGGAGGCGCCCTCAGCAGCCGGCGACGCTGGTCTCGTCTCCAGGCCCGTCCGGGTCCCCTCTGCCCGCCCTGGCCCTCCCCGAGCTCATCCGCAGGGGCCAACCACGCGTGGAAGCGCACACGAGGGGCAGCCCTGGGCACCCTCCGGCGGGCAGCGCCCCCCACCCCCGACCCCCCCCCCCACATACTCGCTGGCCTCCCGCAGCGTGGCCAGCAGCTCCTGCGTGGTCCCCGCGTCCCCCGCGCCCAGGGAGGCCATCAGGAAGTGTGCGTCATTGAACAGCAGGACATGGTCACGGGTGTGCTTCTGGGTCACGGGCAGAACGTCCCGCCACCGCTCACCCACCGAGACCCCTGGGAACACAGGGCAGGGCCTGGTGGGGCCGGAGCACGAAGCAGAGAGCCCACGGGCGGGTGGCCCACACCCCCCCTCCCAGATGGTCCAGGCGGTGACGCCTGCAGGAGGCCCAGGACAGCCCCTCCAGCAGCGCTCAGGGACGCTCCCCTGCCCAGTCCTGCTCCACACCCCTGACCCTGCCTCCCCCCTCAACTTGTTTCCTGAGGCTCCAGCCCACCCAGGCCATACTGTGACCCTCCTTCTCTTAGGGGCACAGGGAGGGAGGGAGGGAGGGAGGAGGGGAGGAGGGAAGGAGGGACGGGGGAGGAGGTGGAGGGAAGGAGGCAAGGTGGGAAGGAGAGAGGGAGGTGGAGAGGAGGGAGAGGGGAGGTGAGCCCCTGTCCAGCCCCGGGCTCCCGCTGACCAATCATGCCGGCCCCTTCCTTTGTCCCTCTCCCCCCCCTTCCCTGCAGGTGCTCTGCTGGTACCCCCAGCCCCGTCCCTGTCCCCCTCAGCTCCTGGTTCCAGTAAGTCTCCAAGACCTTCTGGAAACCTCTCACGGCGCAGGCTCAGGCCTGGGGTCCGGCTGCCCTGTTTCCTGGGTGGGGGTCTCGAGTGGGGTCAGGCTTGGCCCTGCCAGGCGGAACCTGCAGCGCTGGGCGGCTCCGCCTCCCCCTCGCTCCTGAACTCCCAGGGCTTGAGAAACTCTCTGCCCCTTGTCCCAGAAGCAGGGGTGGCACCTCGCCAGGGGGCAGGTGGCCGGAGGCCCAGAGCCAGCAGGCCTGGAGGCAGCGGGGGTGGGAATGTCCAGGAACACCCCCCCCACACACACACCCTGTGCCCGCAGGCCTGGCGCCAGGTATGGGAAGGGGCAGCGCCAGGGGAGCAGGCGGGAGGGCAGTTGTGGGCCGGGCGGGGGCGCGGGCCCCACCTTCCATCTGCAGCCGGTACAACATGGAGCAGCTGTCCACGACGTCCAGCATGGCCCCGCTGGCCTGCAGGCTGGGGAGGATCTGGGGGACGAGAGGGGGCTGAGGGCCCACCAGCTGGCCGGGGCTGGGGGGCCTGGCTGGGGGGGAAACAGGAAGCAACCCAATGCCCCACCCACCCCCACAGCAGAAGGGGGCCTCCGGGGACAGGCCTGGGTCAAATCGCCCATTCTGTGCCCGTCACGCCCTGAGCCCCCAGAGCCACACTCTGCCCGAGGAGAGGTCTGCAGGGGTGAGGGCAGCGGGAGACAGACTGTCTCTGGGCATGGCTGAGACCCTCCTGCCACCTCCCAGGCAGCGCTCAGCCCCAAGGCCATGGGCTTGCCACCAGCGAAGACTCACGTGGGTGTCGTAAATGCTCAGAGCCGCCTCGTACTCGCCCTGCAAAGCCGAGGTCCGGGGGTGGGAAGCAGGCAGAGAAGGTGAGGGGACATGGGGCTGGCGGTCAGAGCCCCCCCCACGGGCACCCGTCGGAGAAGTCCCGTCCCCTGGGCCGAGGCCCCCGCATGCTCTCGGGGACACCCGGGACCTGTGGCCTTCTGACCCCCCTTAGAGGGCCCAGTGCCCCCCCTCAAACCCGTCCCCTGACCCCGGGGAAAGTTTTTGCTGGGCAGCTGGACCCCTCAGCACCCGGCTAAGGACGGCTGAAACCCCCCCCCCCACCATGCCCACTTTGCCTCTGAGATGTGGCCCAGACACACTGGCACTGAGGCGGCACGGCTGCCCCCCTCGTGGGAGGCCTGGGTCCGAGCCCCACGTCCCGGGAGTGGACAGGATCTCCCCCCCCCCACACCCCGGCCCAGGCAGAGAAAGGGCCCGTCACCTTCTCGATCAGGTACAAGGCCCAATGCCAGTAGTTGTGGCAGGCGAGCATGTCGGAGTCCTGCGGAGAGAGAGACGCTGGCAGCCCTGGACAGCACCGTGGCCACCTGTGCCGGCTCCCAGCTCCCCCCGCGGGTCCCCACGGCTCCCGGGCCGGACCTTCCAGTGATGCTCCGAGCGCTCCATGAAGCCCAGGCCGGCCTGGACCTCGGCTCTCATCTCGTGGATGTGGGCGACCGTGTGCACTGACCAGGCGTCCGTGGGGTTCAGAGTCAGCGCCTGGAGGGGGCAGCGGGGGAACCCCGCGGTCAGGGTCCACGCTGCACAAGGTAGGGGCTGAGCAGAGGCTGGGCGGCCTGTCCCCCACGCCCTACAGGACGCTGAGTGACCGGCCAGGCACTGACCTCCTTGGCGAGCTTCTCCGCCTGATCGTACAGGTTGGTTTCCATCAGCCCGAAGGAGTAGATGCCTTTCACGTAGCTGGAGGGCGAGGGGACACGTGAGTCCCGTGCCGGGTTCCCGGGCAGCCACACTGACGTCAGCCGAGCACCCCAGGAGGGAAGTCTCAGGAGCTCAAGCCTCAAGGGCAAGGGCTGAGGCCCCCAGGGGCCCCATCACAACACAGGGGCTGCCAGGTCAAGGATACAGGCGCACACACGGGTATACACAGATCCGCACGTACACAGAGGCATACACAGATGCACACAAATATGCACCCAGGTATACACAGGTGCAGACACACACACACAGGTATACAGAGATGCACAGACACACATGGGTATACACAGGTGCACAGGTGCACACGCAGGTATACACAAGTGTACCGACACACACAGGTATACACAGAGGCACAGACAGAGACAAACACAGATACATGCAAGCACGTAACACACTCATGTATACACAGACACATCCAGACATGCACACACAGGTGTGTACAGATGCACACACTCACAGGTATACATAGATGCACCCAGACACACTACACACAGGTATACAGACACACACACACACAGACACACACACACACACAGGTATACAGATGTGCGAGCATATACACACACAGGCATACACAGACGCACCCAGGCACACACACACACACACACAGGCATACACAGACGCACCCAGGCACACACACACACACACACACACACAGGCATACACAGACACACCCAGGCACACACACACACAGGTACACACACTCCAGAGGGGGTGGGGACTACGGGCAGCGGGCAGGGCAGTAGCCACGCCCGGCCGGCCTCTCGGGCCTCCCAAGCCTGAAGAGGGCAACGGGGTCAGGCTTGGCCCCTCGATGACTGAGTGTCTGGAGCAGACCCCGAGGACAGTCCCGGCTGCGCAGGAAGGGGGGGTCTGAGGAGCCGGGAGACACGGCCCGGGCGCCCACCTGCTCAGGGGCATGTCGGCCGTCCAGAAGGGGTACACGCGGGCCACCGAGTCGCGCATCTGCTGCTGGTGGCCCAGGTAGAAGTAGGCGTCGTGGGAGAACTTGAGGGCGAGCATGTCGGTTGGGTGGTCCCGCAGAATCTCTTCCCAGCGCTCACACGCTTCCGGAAAGTTCCTGGAGGGCGGGCGCATGCTCTCAGCGGCGCGTTGGCACGGAGCGGGTTAACGGGCGGCGCTGGCACATGGCCTTGAGCTTGGGGACCCTGGTGTCCGATTCCAGGACAACCAAACGGGTCGGACGAGTCGCCACAGGAAGCCGGAGCACGAGGGGGGTCACGTCGCCCCACGCCCACTCACCAGCAAGGCCGGCAGAGGGGCTCCGAGCCTCTAGACCCGAGCCCCCAGACCCCAGCTCAGGTCCCCCGCTGTGGGGGGCAGCGGCAGGCCCAGGAAGCCCGGGGTAGAGCAGCCTGGTGGGGCCTGCCACAGAAGTGGCTTCTCTCACCGAGAACATTCTGGAAGGTTCTATCTTTCTGCTCTGCCCTTCTTTTGGCTTACGGCTTTGGGATTTTTTGTTTGGGGGCCAGACCCGGTAGTGCTCAGGGCTTCCTCCTGGCGCTGAGCTCAGGGGACCCAGGGGATACTAGGGCCATCCCTCAGCGGGTCTTGGGGGTCGGACTCAGGCGACCCCCGACCCGCTGCAACTGTCGCTAGGCCACAGAAAGGGGTCCCACCGCCCTCGTCTGACTCTAGTCACAGAAACAAAAACCGCCTGAGTGACCACGACTGGGCCGCGGCTGGCACGCTAAGCTGGACTCCGGCGCCGGGGCCGCTCACCCCTTCGCGAAACTCTCCACGGCAGACACGTGCAGTTGCTCCCGCGGCGTCAGCGCCTGGCCACGCGCCGTGTCCACCATGGCCTGCACGGCCTGCGCCAGCTCTCTGTCCAGCCGCACGGAGCTGCCTGTGCCGATCAGCACCAGCCCCGTGGCGATGGCGTGGCCCATGGCTGCGGGGAGGGGGGGAGCAGGGCCTTGGGGTGCGGCCGCCCGGACTCGGGGCCCAGGGCTCAGAGCACCCTGCCCCCCCAGAGCTCCCTCAGCTCCTGCCCTTCTGCCAGGTGAACGGGGCAGCCGGTGACCAGTGAGGAGAGTCACCACAACACGGGGTCACTTGGGGGCTGATCCCCGAGCACGGGGCCACGGGTCGTGCCTCTGGTGTGCTGAGTTCAGGGGCTCGGGGACCAGGGAGGGGGTCCTGGACTTGGCCCCCAGGCCTGGTGGGGGCAGGTGTCCACCGGCCCAGGCCACAACCAAGGAGCCAACTGGAGCCAACTGGGTCTGCGGGGAGCACCTGTCTGGGCCCACGGGGAGCACCAGTCTGGGCCCGCGAGGAGCACCTGCTCCTGAGCCCCGGGCAGACCCCAGGGGTGTCCCGTGGCCTCGCCCTTCCTCCTCGGCCTCTCCCAGCCCGGAAGCCACCCCCACAAGGCCCTGCAGTACTGGCAGCCTCACCAGCCCGCCTTAGCCACCGGCCCTTCCCTGCCATGGGTCGGACTTGGGCGCCCCCTCTCAGGGCAACCCCAAGTGCCGGTCTGGGGGGCGGAGGCGGGAAGGGATCAAACAGGGGCCCTGCACTCGGGAAGGTGCCACTCACCGAAGTTGGGGTCCGCGGCCTTGAGCCCCGACAGGCAGCCCTCGATGCCGCCGAGACTTTTGTCGTTGGTCCATTTCACGTACTGGAATGAAAAAAAGCAACAGCCTGGTCCCCCCCCGGCAGCCACTGGCCAAGGTGGCACTTCTGCCAAAGTCACTCTGGTCACCCAGAGGGTCTCAGCCCTGCAGCTGTGGCCCAGAAAAACCAGCAAGCAAGGCGCTGACCACTGACTCAGAGAAGCTCCCAGTGGGGGCAACGCTCCCCTGCCTCGGGGCCGTCCTGCCACTCAGAGCTGCAGCAGCCGGGGGGCCTGGGCCTGTCCCCTGCACCTTGTGGCCCCAGCTATTTCCCAGTGTGGCCCTGGGGCGCAGCAGCATATGGCCAGGCCCATGCCCAGGGACTTCGCACAGTCGGTGGTGGAATGTGTAGGCGGGCAGCCCTCAGCCCTGCGGTCGGTGCCATCACCTCAGGGGCCACCATGGGAATGCAAGAGGAACACGCAGGTACATGTGCACACGGACATGCACACATGCAGGTACACATGCACGCATGCAGGAAGGCAGGTATGCACACATATAGGAATGCAGGTACATGTGCAGACATGCAGGTACACGTACACACAGGTATGCGGGTACACACATGACACAGGTACGCAGGTACACACATAGGTATGCGAGGACATATCACAATCAATCACAACCATCCTGTTGTTCGTCGATTGCCTCGAGCAGGCCCCAGTAACGTCTCCTTCGTCCTAGCCCTGAGATTTTTTTTTTTAAAGTGCCACATTCGAGGCTCTGAAATTAGGAGAATGAAACCCTTCATTGTGACTGGTATTTGGCATATTGGGTACGCCACGGGGAGTTTGCCAGACTCTGCCGTGTGGGCAGGTTACATTCAGTAGCCTGCCAGGTGGTCCAAAGTAGGAATGAGAAGATAAGACGTCGAGGACATATGAAGAGAGATATTCAGGTACACATGCACACAGGTTTGTGAGGTCACATGAAAAGAGATATGCAGGTAAACACGCACGCAGGTATGCAGGTACACGTGCCCACAGGCATGCAGGTACACACGCAGATAGGTATGCAGGTACATGCAGGCAGCTATGCAAGTGCACACAAAGAGAGATATGCAGGTACACATGCACACATGCACGCAGGTATGCAGGTACACCCACACATGGGCATGCACGCATGCAGGAAGGCAGGTCTGCACACATGTAGGCATGCAGGTACACATGCAGATATGCAGGTGCACACGCATACAGGTATGCGAGTACACACGCAGACAGGTATGTGAGTACACGTGAAGAGATATATGCAGGTACACACACACAGGCATGCAGGTTCACACGCAGATAGGTATGTGGGTACATGCAGACAGGTATGCAAGTGCACATGAAGAGAGATATGCAGGTACACACGCACACATGCACGCAGGTATGCAGGTACACCCACACATGGGCATGCAGGCACGCACACATCCATGCACACAGGCCAACGGCACAGAGCGTGCACGTGTCCTATCACCCGCCTGACTGCGTGGATTAGCTTCTGGGCCTTCCCTCAGTCCTCGCACCAATGATGCACTTGGCCTCGGGGTGCTGCGCCAGCTCCCCAGAAGCTGTGCAAGCACAGCCCCAGGCCTCGGGGGGTCGGAGTCCCCAGTGCAGAGACACAGAACCCCGGAGCCGGTGGGCCACCACCCTGGGGGAGGAGCAGCGTGACCCGCGGAGGGCACAGACAGACAAGGGGTTCAGGGGCACGCGGCCAAGCTCTGCGGCTCTAGAAGCGTCCTTGCTCGCTGCTCCTGGCCAAAGTGCCCCCGCGGTGGCACCGTGCCAGCCAGCTCCAAGCCTCCACCTGGCAGAGCCGCTGGACCTCACCTCTGCGGCCTCCCCAACCAAGAGCCGGGTTAGACAAGCAGGGACGTCGCAGGGAGGGGTTGTGGCAGCCACCGGTGGAGCAGTCTACTCCCAGATTAACCCGGGGACCCCCCAAGCCTGAAGTGGGCAGCCACACATCCAGTCCTGCACAGGCCACCGGGCTGACTGCCAAGCCATTGCCATCACCTGCCATTCGAGAAGGGAGGTGCCCAGGGCAGGAACTCCACTGACGCCACCGTCAGCGGCTGCTGACTGTGAAAGCTCCCCCAACCCTTAGCTATGGCCCTGGCGGTGGCCCGCGGTGCTCGGGAGACGAGGAGATGGGCTCCGTCCACGGCGGTACCTGGGTCAGCGTGGCGTCGAACAGCTTGCAGGCCTCATTGCTGGTGGTGGAGAGGGGCAGGCCGGCGTCCTTCCACGCCTGCATGCAGCAACAACGGGACAGTGAGCTATGGCATGCAGCCCTCCACACACGCACACATACACACACTCACACACGCCCGGGAGCGTGTCCTGGCACCCAGCCCGGATGCCCCGCGGTGTGGGGTGCAGGTTTGCTGGACCAGGAGGCCTGGCTTGGGGCAGGCAAGCACCCCCGGACTTGCAGGCGGGCTCAGGGCACGCCGTCCCCGGGCCTCCCGGGAACTGCCCTCCCTGGGGCAGGGGGCAGAGTGGGGAGGGGACGCTGCCCGCCCCTGGCCTGGGTGAGGTCGGGCACCCACGCTGGGGACGGTCCCACCTTCCGTCTGGCCCCGACGATGCTCAGCAGAGTCCTGACAGCCGCCTGGGGGGGCCCGCGCGGGGGTGATCGGGGGAGGCGCCGGACCGTGGGGAGGTGGTCTCGGGCCCGGGCCGGCCTCCGCCTACCTGGCAGTCGCGCAGGGGCGCAGTCACGGCCATGGTGCCCACGACGCGGGGTCCGGAGGTCGCGGCTCTGCGCGGGGCCGATGTCTTCCGGGAGGCGTTGCTCCGGGCGGAGGGGCGTGGCTTACGGCGGAGGGGCGCGGCTCTACGGAGACGGGGGCGGGGCTTCAGGGCGGAGCTGCGCGGCTTGACGGCGGAGGGGGCGTGGCTTAGGCCGGAGGGGCGCGGCTCTACGGAGACGGAGGCGGGGCTTCAGGGCGGAGCTGCGCGGCTTGACGGCGGAGGGGGCGTGGCTTCGAGCGGCTTCGAGGCGGGGAGGGCGTGGTTCTGCGGCGGAGGGGCGTGGTCTCCCGGGTCGGGGCGGGGCTTCGAGCCGAGGGGGCGGGGCGGGGCGGCCGCGCTTCCCGGCCCGCTCACTGGCCGGCTGCGGACACACCCGCCGGCGCCGCCGAGTCACGCGCGCGGCCACCCCGAGACCCGGGCCCGGCTCCCCGGATGCCTGGAGCAATTCCGACATCTCCCGCTTCTCCTCGGCTCGGCCAGCACCCACAGCCTCTAGCTTCTCTGCGCTGAGACTTAAACTCCCCCCCCCCCACCCTTGTTGGGGCAGGGGAGACTGCAGGGGTCAGGAGCTGGCCGCGCGTGACGTCCACCCGGCTGTGATCTGGGCACCCCGTGTGGTTCCTCCGAGCACCACCAGGAGTGATCCCTGAGCAGAGCCAGGGGTAAACCCTGGGCAAAGCTGCGTGTGACCCCACCCCCTCTCCCCCCAATATATGCCCCACCCCCACCCCCACCGAAACACACACCTGATGCCCAAAGCGAGTGTTAGGGTCAGGATCAGATTCTGCACTTCCTTCCTTCAAAGTGGCTTGTTTTCACATCGGGGATTTGGGCCTGGTCACACAAGCCTTGCATTAAAATATTAGCTTGCTCTCTTACGTAAGAGACTTAGACCGTGAAACTCTCAGGGGGTAAGTCTTGTGATGTTGCATTTGGAAAAGGTTTCTTACGTGGTTCATGGTTCTTGCACTTATCCGATGGACAACAAACACAGTAAAATAAGAAAAGCTGGGTATGTCAAAATGAAAAACTCTTCTGCAATCTTTAGTTTTTTTTTTTTTTTATGGGAGAAGGTCAACTAGGAAATGGGAGAAATATTCGCCCCTCATATCTGGAATACGTTTAGTGGAGGCATACGTAAAGGCTCACCCAAAACAAGTCCACAAGAACAAAAAACCCTCAATTTTATTATTTATTTATTTATTTGGATTTGGGGCCACACTTGGAGACGCTCGGGGGGTTCTCCTGGCTCTGCGCTCAGGAATCACTCCTGGCGGTGCTCAGGGAACCACATGGGATGGCCAGAATCAAACTCGGGTCTTCCACATGCAAAGCCGGTACCTTACCAGCTGTACTATTGCTCCGGTCCCCTCAAAAAAATCTCAGTTTTAAAAAGAAGCAGAGGATGTGAGTGGGACATATTTCTTGGAAGATCTGCAAATAAATACTTGGGAGTGAGAGAAAGAACAGGAAGGGTTCAATAGAGAAAGTGCAAGGAAAGGGGTGAATATTGCAAGGGCAGAAGGACAGGTCAGGCCGCGCAGTGGCCACCCTCCTGCCCGCCCACCCGAGACCAGACACACAGCAAGAATGGACAGGATGAGCCTGAGACTGAAGTGGGGGCATCGAAGCTTCACGCAAGAATAAAACATCCAGAGTCGCCTTGTGAGTCAGAAAGTCTCCAGGAGGGAGCGTTGCCCTCGTGGGGGTTTCTCTCAGGAGTCCCCCCTGCTTCTGCCACCGCAGCCGTCCTGCTGCCTGGGTTCTGCAGCAAGAACTTTTTTGTTCCTGCTGCAAGCAGGACTGACCTCTTGCCTCTGGGAATCTGCAGCAAGGGGGGGTTTCGGCGGCCAGGGCGATGCAAGTCACGGCCACAAGGGGGTGCTACGGCAGCCCGGCAGGAAAATGAGCCACTCTCAGGGGCAGTGTCCAGCGGGCGGATGGGATGTAAGACCCCGCGGCTGATGTGGAAACAGACGGCGCCCCCAAAAGTGTTAGCTTCCTGGGGCTGCAGCGATAGCACAGCGGGGAGGGCGTTTGCCTTGCACGCGGCCGAGCCGGGTTCGACTCCCAGCATCCCATAGGGTCCCCTGAGCACCACCAGGAGTCATCCCTGAGTACAGAGTCAGGAGTAACCCCTGGGCATCGCTGGGTGTGACCCCCCCCAAAAAAAGTGCCAGCTTCCTGGGGCTGGAATGATAGCACAGCGGGTAGGGTGTTTGCCTTGCATGCGGCCAACCTGGGTTCGATTCCCAGCTTCCCATAGGGTTCCCCTGAGCACTGCCAGGAGGAATTTCTGAATGCAGAGCCAGGAGTAACCCCTGAGCATCGCTGGGTGTGACCCAAAAAGGAAAAAAAAAGTGCCAGCTTCCCCCCGCCACTGGCTTCCCAGCTACCTGCACACAGACAGACGCTCACAAGCGGCCTCCTCACTCCCGTCCCCAAAGCAGGGGACCCCAAGTGCCCAACAACAGACCCACAGGCAGGCAGGATCTGGGCACGCAGCCGCCGAGCACACAGGCAGGCCTCTGGGTCACGCCAAGTGCAAAAGTCTCAGACGGTTCCACTTTTGTGAGGCATGAGAGGAGCAACGCCACAGGTATCCGGGACTGGGCACCCGGGGATGGGCTTGCTGGTGGCCAGTTTTCTCCCGGGGAAGTGGACGTGTTTTGCGGATGATAGGTTTGGCGGCAGCACCACGCCCGAAGGTGATACAAACCATCTTGTTTCCCCATCCCGTTTGCACGCGTGGACTCACACAGCTTGCCAGGCTCGCATTCCCACTTTTTTTTTTTAATTCTTTAATTTTTATTAGTGAGACACCAGGGCTGGAACGATAGCACAGCAGGTAGGGTGTTCCCTTGCATGCAGCCAACATGGCCGACCCGAGTTCGATTCCTCCGCCCCTCTCGGAGAGCCCGGCAAGCTACGGAGAGTATCTCGCCCACATGGCAGAGCCTGGCAAGCTCCCGGTGACGCATTCGATATGCCAGACACAGTAACAACAAGGTCTCCAATGGAGACATTACTGGGCCCGCTCGAGCAAATCAATGAACAGTGACAGTGACAGTGACAGTGAGACATCATTAGGTACAGTTGTAGACTTACAAATTTTTGTGCTTGGGTTTCAATTATACAATGATCAAACACCCATCCCTCCACCAGTGCCCATTTCCCACCACCACGAATCCCAGTATCCCTCCCACCCCCCATCCCCCCATCCCCCCCGCCTCTATGGCAGGGCACTCCCTTTTGTTCTTTCTCTCATTTGGGGTCCTGAGTTTCGCAAGAGAGGCATTGAGTGGCAATCATGTTTGGTCTATAGTCTACTTTCAGTATGCTTCTCCCATCCTGGGAGGATCCTCCCAACACCCATTATTTGGTGCTCCCTTCTCTATCTGAGCTTCCTTTTCCCCTAGCATGTGTGGCTGGCCTCCAAGTCATGGAGCAAAATTCCTGGTACTAATCTCGGCCACTCCTGGGTGTTAGTCTCCCATTTTGTTGCTTTATGTTCCCAGATGAATGCAATCTTTCTGTGTCTATCCCGCTCTTTCTGACTCATTTCGCTTAGCATGATACTTTCCATGTAGTGCCACTTGTATGTAAATTTCATGACTTCATCTTTTCTAACAGCTACATAGCACTCCATTGTGTAAATGTACCAAAGTTTCTTTAACCAGTCATCTGTTCTCGGGCACTCAGGTTTTTTTTCCAGATTCTGGCTATTGTAAAGAGTGCTGCAATGAACAAACAAGTGCAGATGTCACTTGACTATACTTTTTTCACATTCCAACTTTATTATTATTTTTTTTTGTCTTTTTACATCACACCTGGCAATGCTCAGGAGTTCCTCTCGGCTCTGCACTCAGGAATGACTCCTGGCGGTGCTCGGGGGACCCTATGGGATGCTGGAAATCGAACCCGGGTCGGTTGCGTGCAAGGCAAACGCCTCCCCGCGGTGCTATCGCTCCAGCCCCACGCATTCTTTTATCTTTCATTTCTGCAGTGCCAGGGACGGCATTCCACGCCCCCGCAGTACGGGGCCTGTGCTCTGCCCTGGCCCGCCCCCCACCCCCCTGAACCTTCCAGGCTTTGCTTTTAATGTCTCACACCCCCAAACAGAAGTCTGGTAAGCATTGGGTTGGTGCCTTGGAAGAGGCCTGGCCCAGGTAGGTGCCCAGGTCGGAGAAGAAGAAAGAGTCGCATGACTCACGCTGGATCAAAACAGAGGGAAAACGTAACCGGAGGGATAATAAAAAACAAATAACCAAGGAGGCCCCGGGCCAACCACATCAATGATGAAGTGGTGGTAACTGCATTAAAGGCTGATGGTCTAAATACTTCAACGGGAGGGGAGGGTTCACTGCCAGGGAGAGAGGGCTCAGAGGACCGAGATCATCCACACTCCTGGCACCGCACACATACACGGTCAAGTACCTCAGGGCGTGGGCCCTAAACACTGCTGGGGGTGGTCCCCAGCACCCCAGCACTGACGGGTGGGGCACAAAACAAAATAAAACTTAAGGGGCCGGAGCGATAGCACAGCGGGGAGGGCGTTTGCCTTGCACGAGGCCAACCCGGGTTCGATTCCCAGCATCCCATAGGGTCCCCCGAGCACTGTCAGGAGTAATGCCTGAGTACAAGAACCAGGAGTAAGCCCTGTGCATCGCCAGGTGTGACCCCCAAAATAAAAATAAATAAAAATAACTTAAAATAAAGCCTCCTACCCTCAACATTTTGTAATAAGTGAAAGATAAAATAAGTTCAGAGAGCCCCAAAGACACGAAGAAGCGGGGTCCTGCCGGCCTGCGAGAAGGACTCCGTGTTGGCCGTGGAGCATAGGATGGGACAGACCCAAGATGGGGTGGGGGGGTCCCTGGCTCACCCTGCAGCCCTGTCCACTGCAGGCACCCGGCTCTGTTCACTGGGCCTGCCTCAGTGGCACTTCCAGAGGCCCCGGGACGTGAGCCAGCAGCGGAAATACTTTCTAGTGTCCGACTAAAACAAAGGCGGCCCTGGCCCGGTCACTCACTGTCCACCGCAGGGGGTTCCTGCCACACGGGGGCTTGTGAGAGGGGATGTGGGCGGTGACCCCACTTGTGCGCCCCAGGTGGGTTGGGGACGGGCGGGGCTGTGCTCCCAGCTCCCCTCCGGGCCTGCCTGGCGGTCAGTGATCCTGGACATCCCAGCTGAGTCCCACCTAGGTCTAGCCCCCGGCTCTCAGCGACCCCCACGACTCCCCATCGCCGCCCCCAGCTCCCCTCAGCTCCAACGCCCTCTCCCCTGCAGCCGGACCCTCTCGCCGCTGGGCCCCGTGACCCCAGCCCCCCTGACCGACGCCCCGAGCCCCGTGACCTCGTGACCCCGCGGGCGGCCGTTGGCCACTCGCAGCGTCCTCCCAGCCGGCCGGCGCCATGCGGCCTGGGCCCACGCTGCTGCTCCTGGCCCTGGCCCTGGGCCCCCTGCCCGCGCCCCGGCTGCGCCCTGTCCCGCCGCCCGGGACCCCGGCCCGTTTCCCCCTGGGGGCCGAGGGGGCCGCGCCGAGCCGCCAGGTGGGTGCCCGCGCCCCCGCCCCGCGCGCGCGCCCGGCCCGTGCGCCCCTGCGCGCGCCCCTGATCCGTGCGCCCCTGATCCGTGCGCCCCTGCGCGCGCGCCCGGCCCGCCAGGTCCTTCAGCCTTGCACCATCCAGAACCTGAAGATCACGTCGGACCGGGGCCTGTCCCCGCTGGTCCTGAACCGCAAGCTGACCGCGACCCTGGACGGGAACGTGCGCGTGGACTGCCCGCAGGCGCAGGACAGGCTGGAGAGGTGGCAGGTGCTGGCTCTGCGGTCCATGGGCGACCCGCACCGCTGGCACAGGTCTCTGAAGCTCAACCTGGTGACGGGCAAGGAGCGCTGGGTCCTGCTCATCCCCAGCAACTTCTTAGCTCCGGGCCTGTATGCCTTCAACTTCTCCCTCAGCCTCCTCAGCGCCGGCCGGGAGTTGGCGAAGGCGTCCGACCGCTTCTACATCACCTTCGTCAGAAGCCCCCTGAAGGCAGTCCTCCAGGGGCCCCCGAACCTCACCATAAGCTTCGCCGACCCGCTGGTCCTGAACGGATCGTCCTCCTCGGACCCGGATGCCGACAAGAACCCCTTCGACGGGATGCAGTTTGCGTGGTACTGCAGCACCGACGCTGCCCTCCTCCAGGACCCCCTGCAGCTCACAGGGAGGGACCACCTGTGTCTCCCAGAGCAGACATCTCTGCTGTGGCCGGGCCCCCAGGGCTCAGTCCTGGCGCTCCCGCCCAGGACCCTCCGAGGCGGCGGCACGTACTTTTTCAAAATGGTCATCCAGAAGAGAAGCCGGAGTGCGTCTGCCGAGAAAACGGTCCAGGTGGAGCCCGGGCCCCCGCCGCCCACCAACATCACGTGCCTGGGAAACTGCGGCCAAGTCCTGATGGTCTCGGAAGCCTTCTCCCTGTGTGCCAACTGCACCCAGTGCACCCCCCGCGACGCGTACACGTGGTCCCTGGCGTCGGACGCCGGGCAGGAGCTTCCGTTCGACTGGGAGTCGCACACTACCACCGGGAGGGCGGGTGCCTGTGTGTCCCTGAAGGCCTTCGCGTTCCAGGGCCTCCCAGAAGCGGGCTACCGGGTGCGGGTGCACCTGAGCACGTGGGGCGGCAGGACCGTGAGCCTGGCGCACGCCTTCACCGTGAACCAGCCCCCCCAGGCCGGGAAGTGCCGCGTGCGGCCGGCCGAAGGCACCTCGCTGCTCACCCACTTTGTCGTCCAGTGCCGGGACTTCCGGGACAAGGACACCCCGCTGACCTATAAGATCATCGTCTCCGACCTGCGCGGGTTCGGCACCATCAGCTCCCTGGAGGAGAACACGCTGGGCGCCATCCTGTACCTGGGGAACGCGTCGAGCGTGGCCACGTCCTTCCTGCCCCCCGGGGACCCCGCCAACCGCGACTCCCTGAAGCTGTACGCGCAGGTGTCGGACGCCCGCGGGGCCTTCTCGCAGGTGGCCTTCCGGGCCCGGGTGCACGCGCCCACCCGCGCCATCTCGTCGGCGGCGCTGCTGGAGCAACTGGGCAACCTGACCACGGCGCCCGCCCGCAGCGCGGCGTCCGAGGTGAGCGACAGGGACGTCGAGGTGGCCGGCTACCTCTTCTACCTGGTGGCGGCCATGCTCAAGGACGTGCAGCTGGGCCAGGAGCAGCAGTCCGAGCGCGAGAAGCTGTACGAGGAGCTCGTCTCCAAGGCCTCCCTGCTGCCCCTGGACACGGCGGAGCAGATCGGCCAGGTGGTCATGCTGCTCGCCAAGCTGACCGAGGTGGCCGAGGACCTGCCCCGGGCCATCCAGATCCAGGCCCTGGTGAGGATCTGGCAGGCCAACGAGGCGCTGCAGAAGCACCGGGGGGACGAGCACTTCGACACGGAGCAGGTGGAGGCCGTGTGCACGGGCGTCCTCACCACCCTGTCCAACCTCCTGCACCACACCAGCCCCCACGAGGTGGCCGAGGAGCCGCTGTACGTGCTGCAGGGCCTGGTGGCCACCGTGCTGGCCGGGAAGGTCCCGAGCAACGAGACCACCACCCTGAGGAGCGCCAGCGTCAACATCTACGTCCGGAAGACGCCCAGGTGGAACGCCAGTGTCCTCTGCGAGGAGGACCCGGCCGGCCCGGCCTGCTTCCAGCCCACGCTGACCCCAGCCAGCGTGGAGAGCCTGCCCGAGGGCTCGCCCGTCTCCATCATGTTCTGCATGTTCGCCGCCGACCCCTTCCCCTGGCTCGCGGCCCCGGGGCCGAGCCCGGTCCGGGTGGCCGGCTTCCGCGTGACGGGGACGGCCCCGAACGGCGACACGGTGGACGTCGTCCCCGACGTGACGGACACGCTCCTGCTCCGGACCAACCTGAGCGACGGCCTCTTCCCCCTCACCGTGGGGCCCGACCACCGGTCGGAGGAAACCGGGGAGCCGGGGAGGGTCACCTCGGGGGCGTTCAGCTTCGAGCTGGGCGGCACGGCCCAGGAGGTGCTGGTCTACATCCTGACGGAGGTGACGGTGCTGTTCACCGCCTCGCTCTACGCCGGCCGCACGGTCTCCGAGGCGGCCCTGGTCGCCACCTTCCTCGTGCCCCCCGACGGCCCCCCCGTGGCCAACCACAGCGACCGCTTCGACCCGGCCTGCCCAGTGGCCTCGGCCCACGTGCTCTGCCTGTCCCCGTCCCTGCTGCGGCTGGCGGCCGAGAGGAACCCCGAGGCACCGGCCTGGCTGGTGGTGCTGCTGCGGGCGCCACGCTTCGTCTCGGGCCCCACCGACCAGCTCGTGAACGTCTCCGTGCTGCGCCTGCAGTGCCTGGACATGGCGGGCGACTACGGCGAGTGGCGGGAGCACACGTGCGGGCTGGGGGCACACACCACCTGGGCGCAGGTGCACTGCGTGTGCACGGCGCGCGCGGGCCACCTCCGCGCCCGGCGGCAGCTCCGCTTCTTCGGGGCCACCGGCGAGCAGCTCCGGACCCACTTCCTGAGCTCCCGCGTCCTGGTGGCCCCCAACTTCGTGGACCTCCGGCTCGAGGTCATCAAGACCGTCCCCCAGAACCCCGTGACGCTCCTGACCGTCGTCCTCGTCATGGGCCTCTACGTGGCCTTCGCCTTCTGGGCCCTGCACCGCGACGAGACTGACCAGTTCCTGCGGGACCACGTCATCGTCCTGCCCGACAACGACCCCTACGACAACGTCTGCTACCTGCTCACCGTCTTCACGGGCAGCCGCTGGGGCGCCGGCACCCGGGCGGACGTCTTCGTCCAGCTGCGGGGCACGGAGGGGGCGAGCGACGCCCACTGCCTGAGCCACCCGCAGGTCAAGGCCCTCTACCGGGGCAGCATCCACACCTTCCTGCTGACCACGCGCAGCGACCTGGGCGACCTGCGGTCCGTCCGCGTCTGGCACAACAACGAGGGCTGGGCGCCCGGCTGGTACCTGAGCCGACTCAAGGTCGAGAGCCTCTTCAGCCGGCACATCTGGCTCTTCCTGTGCCGGACGTGGCTCTCGGTGGACACCTCCCTGGACGAGACCTTCTCCCCGATGCCCGCCGACCGCAGGCTGGCCCCGGGCGACTACTTCCTCATCGACTGCGTCCACAGCCTGGGCGCCGACCACGCCTGGTTCTCCGTCTTCTCCGGCGTGGTGGGCAACCGCTTCGACCGGCTGCAGCGGCTCTCCTGCTGCCTGGCCATGCTGCTGGCCTCCCTCGTCACCAACATCATGTTCTTCTCCCTCGAGCCCGAGGACCACGAGGGGCCCGTGGCCTTCCAGTACGTGGAGACCATGGTCATCGGCTTACAGAGCTGCCTCATCACCCTCCCCGTCCAGCTGGTCATCGCCGCCCTGTTTGTCTATTCCCAGAGGCGGCCGCAGGCCGAGCTGGAGGACGTGACCCCCCAGGCGGCCCCCAAGCCCAGCCCGGAGGCCGGCCACTGGGAGGAGCGCCTGCAGGTCTGGTACACCGAGGAGGCGGCCAAGGCTCAGAAGAAGTCGCTGCGGAAGCAGCACGCCCACGGCGCGCTGGGCAGGGCGAAGGCCAGGAGGACCCGCCTGCTCTTCCGGATGCCCGAGTCCCAGAGCCCCACCCAGCCCCACAGGAACGCCAGCGCCACCAGCCTTCGGGACATGCCCGTGTCCCGGCGCCTCTCCCAGACCCACGGGAAGGCCAGCTCCGTGGCCAGCTCCGTCAGCGTCCGCGACACGCCCCAGCACCGCCACAGCACGGAATCCCTGCACCCGGACCCGGCGTCCCGCCAGGAGAAGCCCCCGATCATCCTGGGGTCCACGCGCCTGAAGTCGGCGGCCCCCCCGCAGAGGAAGCCCCACTTCGTCCTGCCCGGCTGGTGCGTCTTCCTCGCCTGGTTCCTGGTGTTCGCCGTCTCCAGCGTCTCCTCCGCCTTCATCATCTTCTACGGGCTGACGTACGGCTACGAGAAGTCCGTCGAGTGGCTCCTGGCCTCCTTCTGCGCTTTCTGCCAGTCCGTGCTGGTGGTGCAGCCCCTGAAGATCATCCTCGTCTCGGGCTACCGCACCAGCCAGCCCAAGTACGCCAAGAACCTCCCGTGGACCAGCAACTACCACTACATGCAGATCCAGCTGCGGCCCCGGGACCTGAGCCCCGAGGAGACCGAGGCGCTGCACCAGGACATCGTCGCCCTCCGCCGCTCCCGCATGTACCAGCCCCTCACCGAGGACGAGGTCCGGATCTTCCAGAGGAAGCAGCGGGTGCGGAAGCGGGCGCTGCTCTTCCTGGGTTACGTGCTCACCCACGTGCTCTTCCTGGCGCTGCTCCTGGCCCTGGTGGCCGCGCTGGGCCACGCCGGCAGCTTCCACTACAGCCGCTTCCTCCGCGACTGCTTCTCCCCGGGCCTGGGCGCCGTCACCGAGCTGCAGGACGTCTACGAGTGGCTGGGCCGCGTGCCCGTGCCCCTGTTCCACAACGAACAGGACCCCACCTTCCTCCCCGACAGCTCCTCCAAGATCCTCGGCCTCCCGCGGCTGCGACAGGTGCGGGCCGAGCCCGGCAAGAAGTTCTGCCTGCCCGCCCAGACGCTGGGCCCCGGCCGGAACCGGGGCCGGGTCCGCTGCCACCCCCCGGAGTCCGGGGCCGACCGCGAGGACACCAGGAACTACTCGAGCGCCTGGGGCGCCGTCGTCTCCACCCAGAGGGCCGACGGGTTCCTCTACCAGCCGCCGGAAGCGCAGGGGGCCTACGTGTCCTTCGGGGTCCTGGACGCCTACGGGTCCGGCGGCTACGCCTTCTACTTCTACCCCGAGGAGCAGCGTTTCAACTCCACGCTGAGGCTCGCGGACCTGCAGCGGGACCGCTGGCTGGACGGGCGCACGCGGGCCGTGGTCCTGGAGCTGACCACCTTCAGCCCCGACGCCGGGCTCCTTGGCAGCCTGTCCGTGCTGTTCGAGGTCTCGCCGCTGGGCGCGGTCAACGCCAGCCTCGCCCTGCACTCGTTCACGCTGGCCGACCTCGACCGGGAGACGTCGGCGGAGGCCTACCTGTACGCGGCCGTCCTCCTCTTCTTCGCGGCCTATGCGCTGGACGAAGCCTACGTCATGGGCCAGGAGGGCACCGCCTACCTGCGGAGCGTCTACAACTGGCTCAACCTGACCCTCAAGGGCCTCTTCGCTGTGGGCATCGCGCTCTTCGCCTGGAAGCACGTTCTGGCCACGCGCCTGATCCGCGCCCACGTGGCCCACCCGGCGGCCTTCGTGCCCTTCCACGCCGTGGCGCAGCTGGACGGCGCCGTGAGGGTCGTCCTGGGCTTCCTCATCTTCCTGAGCGTCCTGAAGAGCCTGCGGTACTCGCGCGCCTTTTACGACGTCCGCCTGGCGCAGCGGGCCATCCAGACGGCCGGGCCGGCCATCGGCCACGTGGCCCTCATCGTGGCCGTCTACTTACTCGTCTTCATGGTCTTCGGCTACCTGGTGTTCGGCCAGCACGAGTGGAACTACAGCAGCCTGGCGCACGCCACGCAGACCGTCTGCTCCTACTGTGTCTCGGCCTTCCGCAGCACCGAGTTCTCGGGCGGCCGCGATGGGGCCCTGGGCCTGCTCTTCCTCGCCTCCTTCCTGCTGGTGATGGTCTGCGTGCTCGTCAAACTCTTCCAGGCCGTGATCCTGTCGGCCTACGAGGGCCTGAAGCAGCCCGTGTACGAGGAGCCGTCGGACGAGGCGGAGGCCGTGACCTACCTGTGCCGGAAGCTCCGGGCCGCGCTGGCGTTCCTGCGGTGCCAGCCGGAGCCCCAGTACGAGCCGGAGCCCGAGTTCCTGGTGGGCATGGTGTACGGGCAGCCGCTGAAGAAGGACCGCCGGTACCTGGGACTCAAGACGCGGAACATCAGCGGGCGGAGAATGGTCTACCTGGTGGTCTGACGGGCGCTGGCCCCAACCCCCGCGGCTCGGAATTCCACCCGCTCTACCTCTGGGCAGGCCGGGGGGGAGCTTCCAGCGCTGACGGCAGGTCAGGGGGCTGGAGAGCCCCCCCAGGTAAGGGAGGGGCCCTCCCACCCCGCCCCCCACTGGCAGAGCCCTTCCGGAGCACAGCTGTGGTGGGTGCAAAGGCCCCGCCGGGGGCCTTCGTAGACCAGGGGCGGCGAGCCCCAGGCCCCGCATCCCAGCCGGCCAGGGCCACCGTCCCCGTCACCAGGGCGGAGGGTGAAGGGCTGGGGGAGGCCACGGCGCTCTGTGGCCACGGCACACGGCATGTGGCTCGGGCTGACGGGTCTCGGGCGTGCCTGGGCTGGGCGTGGGGTGTCCAGGAGCACGGAGATGGGGGTCCTGCTCCTGCAGCGGGTGGGTGGCTCGCCCACGCAAGTCGCTCCAGGCTTTGTGGAAATTAAACCTGAGTTTTCTTCAGGAGGTGTGCGGATTCTGGGGGAGGGTCACTGTGACGGGGGCTCCCGCCCAGAGAGGCGCCCCGAGCGGAGGGTGGCCCGGAGTCCTGCGCTGAGCTGGGCACTGCTGAGGGGGCCGAGAGCCCGGGTGGGGGGCACCAGGGGCCCTAGTGGCCAGCCGGGATGTCTCGGTCCCCAGCTGGGCGGGGCATGCCCACGACCCTGCCCCCTGGAGCCGGTCTGCCTGGGTGGGCTCGGGGCACACACAGTCCCGACTCCCAGGCAGCTGAAGTCCCCTTCTGTCGGGCCCTGGGGGCGGTACAGGGGCTCAATTCCTGTCCCCACCCTGAGGAAAACACTCAAGGGAGGAAGAGGAAGGAGAGCGCACACACACACACACACACACACACACACACACTCCTATGTATACAGACACACATACCCACAGACACACACACACACGCATAGAGACACATTCCTACACAGACACACACACACTCCTACATACACAGACACAAACACACAGACAAAGACACACACACTTCTACACAGACACAAACATAAACACTCTCACCGCCCCACATGCTGTCTCACACACACACTCCTCCCCCACCCCACAGTCCTCCCACACTCACACCTCCACACATATCTCACAATTCCCACACACACAATTTCACACACCCCCACTCACACAAATATGCACATTCTCTCTCTCTCTCTCTCTCACACACACACACACACACACACACACACACACACACCAGGGCTCTGCTCAGAGATGCAGGCCAGAGTCAGTCACAGCTTGGGTGGCCTCAGGGCTGAGCCAGGCCTGGGCAGTGCTGACCCTGCAGAGACTCAACTGCCGGTGGAAGGGACCGGGCCCACCGCCCTGCGGGGACAGCAGCGGCCGTCAGAGAGGGGACACAGCCCGCTGACCACTGCAGGAGAAGCTCAGGAAAACGAAGGAGCAAGGGCCCGCCACAGCCCGGCCTCAGCCCCGCTCGCTTCTTCGTTCCTTCCATCATTTCTTCCTTTCTCCCGCCCTCCCTCCTCCCTTTCTCCCCCTCCCCTCTGTCCCTCCCTTCTTTCCTGTTGTTCAGCTTCCACGGTTACAACGGTGCTAACCTGGGTTTGATGGACAGTCACTGCTCCCACCCCCCAAAGTGCCCCCTCGGGGCTCCATCCCCGGGATCGTTGCTCCTCTGAAGCCACCAGGAGTGACCCCTGAGCACAGAGGCAGGAGTGAGCCCTGAGGCTGGGGGTGGCCCAGAAGACGACAAAAAAAAAAGGGAGATCTGGGGTCACTAGATGCTTCTTTCCTGAAAGGGGGCAGTGGTCCAGATGAGTCTGGGGGTGCGGAGGGACAGTCTAGCAGGTCAGGCACTTGCCTGGCTGACCCCAATGATCTGGGCAGCCCGCTTGGTTCCCCGAGCACTGCAGGAGTAATTCCCAAGCCCCGAGCACTGCTGGGTGTGGCCCCAACCCAAAATTAATGAGAAGATGAAATTGTCAGTTCCCGGATCCCGGGCTAGGGTGTCACTAAAATGTGGGGACCCAGTACCACATCCTGGAGTCCCAGTTCACTTCTGAGTCCCACAGGACAGAGCTCTGGCCAGACCCACAGCTGCAGCAGGTGACTCTGCCCCCAAACTGATGCCCCCGAGGAGCAGTCGAGGGTCTCAGGTCAGGAGGGTGTGTGTGTGTGTGAGTGTGTGTGTGTGTGGGGGGGGGGGTGTTAAATCCATGCAGGCCTGGGAGAAATGTGGTGAGGATGTGACGATGCCAGTATGGAACCCGCCCTGGGACGAGGAGCGTGATGGGAGCCCTGTGACCTAGCACACGGGGCCTGAGGGACACAGCGCTGCCTGCCCGCAAGCCCGGGAGGAGGAGACCTCACGCAGCTACAGTCGGCACCGTGTCCTGGGTGCCACATCCTGGGAACTGCATTCCGGTGCCACAATTCACTGCCACATCGCGGGTGCCAAATCCCGGGGTGCCACATACTAGTGCCACATCCCGGATGCCGCATCCTGGGCACTGCATCCCAGGTGTCACATCCCGGGAACTGCATCCTGAGGGCTGCATCCTGGGTACCGCATCCCAGAATCCCATTCCGGGTACCGCATCCCAGTGCCACATCCCAGGGGCCGCATCCCGGGTACCACATCCCAGTACTGCATCCTGGGTACCGCATCCCGGGGGCCGCATCCCGGGTACCACATCCCAGTACTGCATCCCGGGTACCGCATCCCGGGGGCCGCATCCCGGGTACCACATCCCAGTACTGCATCCCGGGTACCGCATCCCGGGGGCCGCATCCCGGGTACCACATCCCAGTACTGCATCCCGGGTACCGCATCCCGGGGGCCGCATCCCGGGTACCACATCCCAGTACTGCATCCCGGGTACCGCATCCTGGATGCCGCATCCCGGGTACCGCATCCCGTGGGGGACAGTGCCTGCTAACCCGCACCCGGACCTGTGGCCACGCTCCGGCCTCTGCGGGGCCCGGGGAACCCAGAGGGCGGCTGGGAGGGGGTGGGCGTGCCGGGTCCGAGTCGGGGTCTCGAGTCCACCCAAACGCACCGGCCCGGCTCGCGGCCCGCACGGCCCAAAGAGACGCGCGAGGCGGAAGTCCGCCCAAGCCCCGCCCACTCGCGACGCGCATGCGCGCCTGGAAGGCGCCGTTGGCGACGGGGCGGGGCCCGGGCGCTGGGGGCGGGGCCTCAGGGGCGTGGGCGGGGCCACGACGGCGTCCGCGCGCGCGCATTGGCCAGGGCGGCGCGGGGCGGGGCTGGCGGGAGGTGAGTGACGCGGCGCGGACGGCCGGGCCGGACCGGTCCCGGGCTTCCGGCTCTGCTGCTTGGGGTTTGGGTCGCGGGGCTTGGGGGGTTCCGCCGCGGAGTCGGGCCGGGCCGTGGGGCCGCGGGCAGGCGGGGGCGGGCTCGGGCCTGGGCGTGCGTGGCCACAGCCTCTGCGGACCTCGTGCCCGCAGCAGAACCGGACCTGCCCGCAGCAGAACCGGACCTGCCCGCTGCAGAACCGGACCTGCCCGCTGCAGAACCGGGCCAGCCCGCGAGCAAAGCAAGCGCTGGAACCCCAGCACCGTCTCTCCGCCCCCCATTATTTCCGTTTTATTTGGGGGTGGGTGGGCCACACCCAGCAGCGCTCTGGGCTCCTCCTGGCCCCCTGTCCAGGGGGGTCACATTTTTTGTTTTTGTTTGGGGGGCCACACGCGGCTGTGCCCAGGGCTTCCAGCTGGCTCTGGGGAGGATCCTGACCCAGCATCGTTCCTGGTGGGCTCCCAGGACCCCCCCAGTGTGGGGGACCGGATCCTGGTTAGCCGAGTGCAAGGCAAACGCCCTAACCCACCCTCCCATCCTGGGGGCCCCAATTTGAGTCCCTCTTAGTAGTCAGTTTCTAGGGTCTGAAGAGACAGTACAGCAGGGAGGGACTTGCTGCCCCCCCACCTGGCCCATTTCCCGGTCCCTGGCCTCACAGAGGGTCCTCAAGCACCGCCAGGAGTGATCTCTGAGCACAGCCAGGTATGACCCTTGTGCCACCCGCCCCAAGATATATTGTCTTTAGTCCCACTGAGCAACGTCCTCTTTCCTGTTTTTTTTTTTTTTTTAATTTTTGGGTCCCACCTGGCGATGCTCAGGGGTTCCTCCTGGCTCTGCACTCAGGAATCACTCCTGGCGGTGCTCGGGGGACCCTATGGGATGCTGGGAATCGAACCCGGGTCGGCCGTGTGCAAGGCAAACGCCCTCCCCGCTGTGCTATCAACTCCAGCCCCTTGTTCCTGTTTTTATTATTATTATTTTTTTAAGTCATAATTCCTCTATCTTGAGCAAACGAAACCCGTTCTGGAAGCCCTGAAATCATGGGATTTAGTTGTAGTGTTGGTTCCCTACCCAACCATTTTCCGTTTGGTTTGTCCGTTTTCTGGTTGCTTCGCTTTCTCTTCTCTATTTTCTTCCTGCTTATGTGGGGTGGAGTTTGCTTTGTCCCAAACTCCGTTGGTGACTCCTCTAAACTTTAATCATCCTCACTCAGGATAGGTTGCTTAGGGGGGCACTTGCCTGGCCCTCGGCCAGCCCTGTCTTGATCCCCAGAGCACCGCCTGGGGTGGCCGAAACCCTCAACCCCTGAGACAGGCCGTTGGGAGACCTTGAAGGTACCTTTTGCTTTGATGCGTTTTGGGGTGAGCTGAGAGGGTCTGTCTGCCAAGCTGTGGCTTCTTTGCGGCCGGCCTGTGGGCTGTGTGGGCGAGAGCCTCAGGCCCGAACGGAGGGGAAGGTGGGCTTCCAGGGGAGGGGGGGCTTGGCTCTGAGATTGACCCCCCCCTCCCTCCAGTCTCCAGATGGCGGGTGAGGGCGAGCGAGCCCCCCTGGGTACCTTTGAGTGCCAGCTCTGCGCCCTCACAGCGCCTTACAGCTACGTGGGCCAGAAGCCCCCCAACACCCAGTCCGTTGTGTGAGTATGTGCCGGCAGCCGGGTTCTGGCACCTTCTGGGGCCTTTCCGCCGCCCACCAAGTCCAGCCCCGGCTCTCGGGGGCCTGCGGGGCAGCGAGGGGCCCTCCCAACGACGGTGGGCCCTGGTCTGCTATTTCTCCCGGGGACCCAGGGAGGGGGCGGGGAGCTTGGCTGCCTTCTGCCTGGCCACAGAGCACCCGGGGGCCCCCGCTTTGCCCAGTAAGGCCGGGAGTGGGCAGCCCTGTTGCTGGGGGCCTTGGGACCCCACTCCAATGAGGCGGGGGCAGGGGTGGGGGTCTGGGGCCCACCGGCCAGTTCCATGTGTGACTCCCGGAGGTGTCTCCGGGGATCTGCCCGCAGCCTGCTGGAGGAGAGCTACGTCATGAAGGACCCCTTCTCCCCTGACCAGCAGCGCTTCCTGGTGCTGGGCTCGCGGTGCAGCGCGTGTGGCCGGCTGGTTTGCGTGGGCCAAGTGGGTAGCCCTGGGGGTCGTGGGGAGGCAGGGCAGGAGGGGTGGGACGGGTCCACCTGCACCGGCCGCTCTCCACGCGGGGCCTCAGCGCCCGCCTCTCCCCTGCCCGCAGGGATGCAGCTTGTTCTACTGCCGACGCTTCTGCCTGCCCTGCGTCCGCGAGAACCTCAGCGCCTTCCCGCAGGAAATCCGGCAGGACCTGGACAAGAGGAAAGCGTCCGCCAAGAAGCCGGCTGGCCGGCCTGGGGCCCAGCCGTGAGGGCAGCCGGCCAGAGGGGCTGCGGTGGCCAGCAGCCAGGACGGCCGAGAAGGAGGCCTGGGAGCCTGGCAGCTGCCGGCAGGACACGCAGCACCACGGGGGACGAGCCTGCCCCCGGGGGTCACCTTGAGGGCCAGCGTGGGGGCGGGGCGGGCGCCCCACGGGTACCCCTGAGCCGGGCCGGCCGAGGGCTCCTGTCGTGTCCGTGACAGAAGGCTCCAAGGACAATAAAATGCGACCAGAGCCCCGAGAGCCTGTCGATGCTGTGTGCTGAGCAGGGCTGAGGGCTGTTGGGCCCGTCCCCCCCAGCCTCACCCCAAAGCGCAGCAGCTGGGAGGGCCCGCTGGGGTTCTTCTCTGCTCGCGGGGTCCCGACGCGCGAATGACCCACAGCCAGACCCCCACGTCCACCTCGCGGGATCACCCAGGGAGCCAGATGCACTTTAAAAAATAGTTTTATTTTTTTTTCAAGACCATTAAGGCAGAACTGTACCCTGAATCGTCTTTACATTCATCGGTCACAGCAAGACGTCGCGGACAGACAGGCCGAGGGGGTCCCGGCACAGGAACCCGGGGAGACACCGGCCCCCCCGAGTCTGAGATAAAGAGGGACCCCTGTCTACTCCCGGGGTGACGAGGCCGCCCCCCCCAACACTGAGATAAGGCACTGGTGAGCCTCGCCCGGGCAGGGCTTCCCCTCCGGGCGGGCCGAGGGGGTCTGCACCGAGAATGGGGGTTTCCACTGGGTCCTGGGGACACCCCAGCCCGCCCCCTGCAGCCACCGACCTGGGAACCCAATGGCTTCTATGAAGGTCTTGGGCATCTTCCCCAGTAGATTTGCCGTGTGCAGGAACGGGGGTCCCGAGAAGAGCTGTGGGGTCTGCATGTGTGTGTGTGTGCACGCGTGCTGTAGGGTATACCCACACTGTGTATGTGTGTGCTGCCCGTGTGCTGTTTTTGCACCTAGTGTGTATATCTGCACTGTGTATGTTCTGCGTATGTGCATGTGTGCTGTGTCTGCATGTAGTGTATCCCCACAGTGTGTGTTCTATGTGTGCCTTATGTGTGTGTGTGTGTGTGGTATCACGTACACAGGTCTGCATGGCTCCTTTTCCTCGCTTCCTCCCCAGAGGTGCCAGGGCAGCCTGGCGCCTCTGGGCAGCCAACACCGACCTGGCGCGGGCTCCGGGGTGTGGGTGTCGGGTCACTAGTCTTCGGAGGAGGATCCAGCCCATCGCCGGGCACCGCGGTGGGGCTGGCGGGAGCCTCCCTGAGTGTGCAGAGGGGGCCGGGCCAGCCGCGGGGCCACTGAGGGGGGGACCCTCTGTGTGCTACGGCCTTTCAGGCCTGAGGGAAGGACGAGTGCCCAGGAGGAGGGGACAGCGGTGTGGCTTCGGAAAGGCCAGCGACAGCTGAAGCCTGACCTCGCGGGCGCGGGGTGGGGGTGACGGGATGGGCCGGCACAGGCTGGAGAACGCGGCCCCCGCTCGGAACCTGCTCGCGACGGTTCGTAACTGCTTAGGCCGTTGGCAGACAGTGCCGGGGGCGGCCACAGCCCCTGACGTCCTCCCCGCTATCGGCTGCCCCGTCCAGATGTGCCCTTGGACACGGTGCGGTTTGGTCTGTTCTCTTGGCCAAGGATGCAGCTGCCGGCTCCTCCTGTCAGGCCCAGTGCCCACGGCTCCAGGCCAGAGGGAAGGACACAGCTGTCCCGGCCCACCCGGGAGGGCCTCGGAGGGGCTGCTGGTCTCCTCTTAGACTCCTGACGCGGCGTCCTGAGGGCATGTGGGGAGCGCAAAGGAGCCCCTGCCCGGGAGGAGCCGGCGGAGGGAGCAGCCCTGGGGTGTGCCCAGGTGTGAGCACAAGTGCCGGGCCTGGGCACTGCCCATGAGCACGTCCACCCCGGCCAGCCTGACAGTCACAGTCTGAGTCAAGTCACAGTCACAGTTTGACAACCACAGCCCTGAGAGTCAGTCACAGCCTGACAGTCACAGATACACCCGAGTCACAGTCTGAAGTCAAACACAGCCAGAGTCACACTCACACTCACAGCCTGACAGCCACAGTCACAGCCTGATTCATAGGCACACAACCTGCTGGTCACATTCACACTCACAGCCTGATCACCACAGACACAGCCTGAATCACAGTCACACAGCTGCACAGACGGCCTGACAATCACACTCAGAGCGGGACAGTCACAGTCAGTCTGATCACACAGTCACAGTCACAGTCCGACAGTCACAACCACAGCCCCACAGTCGCAGCCCGACAGTCACACTCCTAGCCACAGCCTGACAGTAACAGTCTGAGTCAAGTCACAGCCACAGCGTGGCAACCACAGCCCTGAGAGTCAGTCACAGCCCGACAGTCTCGGATACAGCCTGAGTCACAGTCACCGCCTGACAGTCACACTCACAGCCACAGCCCAACATGGTCACAGCCAGAGTCTGACAGGTACAGTCCAAGAGTCAGTCACAACCCCACAGTCCCAGCTCCACGGTCACAGTGCAGCCTGACAGCCGTGTCCAGCCCTGAGAGTCCCAGGCCCAGTGCCCCTGGGCAGGCTCTGGGTGTCTGAGTGGAGACTCGGCCATCGGTCCCAGAAGCCCCGAGCGGGGACATGGCCCCTGACCCCTGGCCCACACTGCCACTCCATGGGCACAAGGCAGACTCTGGGGGGCGGCCAGAGGCCTCTTCATCCCCCACAACCTGCCCCTGTGCCATTGGGGGGCCGCCTTCTGCAGGCTGGCCACGTCCTCCCAGGGGCTTCCCGGCACAGGTCCGGGCGGCCGGGGGCTGGGCCTGGGCACCCCACCGTTCAAGAGGTCTCGAAAGCAGAGGGGCTTCCTGAAGCCCCCACCCAGGGCCGCCCCAGGGAGTGGCCGGTCTGTGAGCCACACCACGGGGACCTCTGGGGCAGGACAACCCCCCTCATGAGTCTCCCACAGGCCCGAGTCACCTGGCTTGAAGGGAGGGCGACTGGGGGTCTCCCGGGCGGTGGGGCCCCGGGGAGCCCCCAGGCCTCGCCCCTTGCAGGCCCCAGGAAGCGGCCAGGCCCTCCCTGGTCTCTCAGGCACAGCCAAGCGACCCGAGCTGGCAGGCTGGTCCCCTCGCACCCCGGGTCAGGGTGGCGCCTGCGTTGGTACCACAAACTCAAAGTCGGAGGCCACGAAGAATGTGGCAACGGCCAGAGAGTGACCCAGAGGCACCGTGGACGCCGACGCCCCCCCCCCCCCCCGCCACAGCATCTCCGGGGTCGGGGGCCAGCAGAGGTGGCCTGGCGGCGTGCGTGACACGGCCCTGGGGCCTTCTCGTGGTGCCGGGACGCGTGGTTGAGGTAGCCGTGAGTCCGTCCGAGTCCCCGGAACCACAAGGCCAGGGCCTGGCTTCCGCCCAGAGCACTGGTGTTGTCTGCGTGTCCCTGTGTGTCCTGGGGACCAAGTCTCGGCTCCCCAAGTGGTGGCACCTGGAGGGGCCCTTGGAGGAGTGTCCCTGCCCACGGCCCCGGGACCCAGCAGCCCTCAGACAGCGGCCAGGGGGGCAGTGGGTGGCTTGGAGGAGCTGGACACTGTTGGCCTCGAGTGGAGGGAGACAGGGCCGGGCCATGTTCCCATGACCACGTGGTAGAGGGCTGGAAGCTTCCAGAACCTGTCAGGGGGCCATGGGCTCCCTCTAGCCCCGTGAGCCTCTCCCCGCGCTCTCTCCCAGGACATCTGGACACCTTCCCTCTGATTCTTTGCTGTTATTTTGTTCTTCCTGTGGCCGCTGCCTCGTCGGGCCATTCCGGGCCCGTGCGGAGGGTCAGAGGGTCATCCCGAGTGTTCCGAGATGGCCACGTCGGTGCTGGACGGCTGGCGAGTCTCTCCTGGGTCCACTTCTCCAAGACAGCGGACAACAAAAAAAGGCAATTTCCTGGTGCAAATGGTCCACGCGACCCCCAAGCCCGCGAGGCCGAGGGCAGCGGCAGACACAGAGGGCCAAGAGGTGCGACTGGTGGTCTCTGCGGGAAAGGGGGCCACCTACAAAACTGAGTGTGATCGTGGCCCATGGCCAGTGGGCGGGCACCCTGAGAGCCCGGCAACGCCCCGCTCACGGTCCTGATGCCTCTGCTCCCGGTGCAACCACCAAGAGTCGCAGAACAATAATAATAATTAAAAAAATAATAAAGCTGCATCTTTTACAAGGCAACACAGCAGGGGCCAGGGAGCTGCCTGACCCCTCGGGAACTTATTACTTTGTCCCTAAGAACACTGGGGTGGCCCCAAACAGCCTCCCTGGGCGGCCGGGGTGGGTCCCGGTGTGGGAGGAGAGGAGGGGGGTCTTGGGGGAGGGCCTTGGGGAGCCGGTTCCTGCTCACGGAGACACCCACCTGCACCCGAGCAGGCAGCTGGCCAGGGCCCCAAGGCAGCGGGGTTCTAGGGAATCCCCGCAAACCCGGGTCCGGCTTCTCTGATTCAACGAATCAGCGAATGCTGTACCCCCACGGGGTCCCACACGGGGTTCGAGGGTGCCCGGGCCTGTGGGGGGGGCAGTGTGGAGGGCGCCTTCCTGGAATCCAGGACAAAGAATCAGAGTCTCCCCAATAAGTAGGCGGCTGCTCTCAGACCCCTCTCCTTGGAAACATCTAGATCAAAAGGATTATAAGAGTTAAAAACAAAACGAAAAAAAAAAAAGTGCTGATTAGTTTTCTGAACCGACCCAGGAGCGGGCGTGGGAAGGGGCGGGGGCGGGGAGTCGCCCCGGCCACCAGCGCGGGCCCGGCCCCCTCCTGGCTCTCGGGCCGCTGACCGCCCGCTGTCCGCGCGCGCGCGCTGCGTCGGGGCCTCTCCGAGGCGGCCGGCGGGGCGCGCGGGCTCAGTACATGTCCCGGTAGATCTCCTGCAGCAGCGGGTGCAGCGCGGCGTCCGACTCGGTCTTCTTGATGACCTGCACCAGCTGCGCGTGCTCGGTGACCAGCTGCCGCAGGTCGGCCAGCTTCTGCAGGAGCTTGGGGAAGAGGAAGGCGTCGTCGGGGTGGTTGCTCTGCAGGTGCCGCTGCAGCACGCGCACGATGCCCTCCTGCATCTTCTCGATGTGCGCCACGTTCAGGAGGCCCGGCCGGTCTGCCCCGGGGGGAAACAGAGGGGTGCGCCTGAGGCCGAGAGCACGCACGCACGCACACACGCACGCACGCACGCTCGGACGCGCGCCTGACCGCACGGACCCGCGCAGACGGACGGACGGACACGCACACGCACACACGCACGCAGACCCGCGTACGGACGCACGGACCCGTGCACTGATGCGCATAGACGCACAGACCCCTGCGGACGGACAGAAGGACCCGCGCACGGACGCGCACACGCACACTTACACCCGCGCACGGACGCACAAAAGCACGGAATCGCGCACGGATGTGCAGACGCACGCACAGACCCGCGCATTGATGCGCATAGACGAACAGACCCGCGCACGGACGCACGGACGCGCACATGCACACGCACACTCAGACCCACGCACGGACGCGCAGACCCGCGCACGCATGCGCAGACCCGTGCACAGACCCACGGATCCGTGCACTGATGCGCATAGACGCACAGACCCGCGCAGACAGACGGAAGGACCCACGCACGGACGCGCACACACACACTCAGACCCGTGTACGGACGCACGGACCCGTGCACTGATGCGCATAGACGCACAGACCCGTGCAGACGGACAGAACGACCCGCGCATGGATGCACAGACGCGCACACGCAGACTCAGACCCGCGCAGGAACGCACAGACCCGCGCACAGAACCAGGGAACCGTGCACGAATGCGCAGACGCGCGCACAGACGCGCACAGACCCGCGTACGGACGCACGGACCCATGCACGAACGCGCACAGACCCGCGCACACGGACGGAAGGACCCGCGCACGGACGCACGGACACGCACACGCATGCTCAGACCCGCGCACGGACGCACAGACCCGCGCACAGAACCACGGACTCGCGCACGGATGCGCAAACGCGCGCACAGCGCACGAACAGATGGTCACAGATGCGCACAGACCCGCGTACGGACGCACGGACCCGCGCATGGACGCACGCAGACGGACGGAAGGACCCGCGCATGGACGTGCACACGCAAGCTCAGACCCGCGCAGGACGCACGGACCCGCGCACAGACGCACAGAGCCGTGCAGATGCACTGACGCGTGCGCAGAACCACACATGGACGCGCACAGAGGCACAGACCCACGGATGGACGCGCACGCACGGACCCGCGCACAGACGCACAGAGCCTCGCGTGGATGCACAGACACGTGCACGGAACCACGCACGGACGTGCACAGACATATCGACTCACTGATGGACAAGCCGACCTGCGCGCGCACTCACGGACCTGTGTACAGACGCACAGACATGCGCGCACGGACGCACGGATGCACGCGGGGGTGGGGGCGCAGGGCGGGGAGGGGGGTCTCGACGCCCACATGTCCACACGCGCCCACCCGCCCAGCACCAGCCTTGCCAGCCCGCACCCGGCTTTCCCGGAGAGCCCAGGAGGGCAGGCGGGGCCCCACATTAGTGACCCTCACACTCGGGACCCTCGCAGGGAGGGAAGGCGAGCAGGGAGCAGCAGACGGGCGGGCAAACTTCCCGCTGGGCCGTGCCAACATTCCCATCGGGCAGACCCAGGGTAGCCCGGCGCCTTCCAGTCGGGCCCAGCCGGGGGTCCGGGGACAGGAGGAAGACGGGGGAGGCCGAGCCGGGGTGCGAGGCCAGGACCAGCCTGGGGCGGAGTCAGCACACGGGGCCTCTAGTGCTCCCACGCGGGACTGGACACTCAGTGCTCCTCGGAGAGCCCCCGCCCGACCAGGGTCTCCGAAAGGGTAGCTGAGGCGGCGCTGTGCCCGTTGAGTCTCTGATATAAAATAGACGTGACTAAGTGGCGTTGGGTTTTTTTTTTTGGCAGGGAGGGGGCTTGGGCCACACCCGGCGGTTGCTGAGGGGCTGACTCCTGGCTCTGCACTCAGGGATCACTCCTGGCAGGCTTGGGGGACCGTGTGGGGTGCGGGGGATGGAACCCCGCTGGGGATGGCACCCTCCCGGCTGTCCTGGTTCTGCCTGAGAGCAGGTGTTTAAGCAGAGACAGGTGGGATTCTAAGTCCCCCTTCCCCGACCTCCCCACTGCATCCTGCGGATACCGCGGCTCTCGGAGCTGCTCCTCCTGGCGCAAGGCTGAGCTCCCACCCGTGGCTGGCCCACAGTGACAGATGGTGGGGGGACAGCATGGCCACTGTGCTTATGCCTGAGCGCGGGGTGCCCGGCAGAGGGGGCTCAGGGAGGAGCCCAGGGGGCGGAGGGACCGTGGAGGGCCAGTGGGGGGCCCGTCTGGGCCGGGCTCCCCAAGGTCGGCTGAGTTTACAGTAGAGGGTGACCTTCTGGGGGCCGGTCAGGCCTATTTAAAGGAACGTGACACGGGCCAAGAATGTGGGCGTCTGTGCCAGCCGCGGGCAGACAGGCCGGACTTCCCGCCCGGACTCGCCTTCCCGCGGCCAAGGCTGGCCCTGCCCGGACTCGCGCAGACTCAGCCACGGAAGGGCGCCCGCGTGCACTGTGGCCGGCCCGGGCGCCCCTAGCATGCGTTAAGATCTGAGGTTAAGCGGCTGGAGCGATAGCACAGTGGGGAGGGCGTCTGCCTTGCATGCCGCCGACCCGAGTTCGATTCCCAGCATCCCATAGGGTCCACCGAGCACCACCAGGGGTGATTCCTGAGTGCAGAGCCAGGAGGAACCCCTGAGCATTGCGGGGTGTGACCCAAAAAGCTAAAAAAAAAAATCAAAATCAAGGGGCTGGAGCGATAGCACAGCGGGGAGGGTCTTTGCCTTGCACGTGGCCAACCTGGGTTCGATTCCCAGCATTCCATAGGGTCCCCCGAGCACCGCCAGGGGTGATTCCTGAGTGCAGAGCCAGGAGGAACCCCTGAGCATCGCTGGGTGTGACCCAAAAAGCTAAAAAAAAAAAATCAAAATCAAGGGGCTGGAGCGATAGCACAGCGGGGAGGGTCTTTGCCTTGCACGCGGCCGACCTGGGTTCGATTCCCAGCATTCCATAGGGTTCCCCGAGCACCGCCAGGAGTCATTCCTGAGTGCAGAGCCAGGAGGAACCCCTGAGCATTGCGGGGTGTGACCCAAAAAGCAAAAAAAAGAAAGAAAAAAGAAAAAAAGATGCGAGGTTAAGATTCCCCACTACACATATGGCTCTGGGCGGGCTTTGGGGAGAGAGGGGGGCCCCCTCCGCGACGCTCGCGGCCACTCACCCCCGCAGCAGATGATGGCCGCCACGAAGAGGGCGATGTCGCTGTCGTCCAGCTCCAGGGCGTTGAACTTCATGGCGAAGTCGAACTTGGGCTCCATGATGTCGCAGAAGGGCTTGCGCAAGCTCTTGAGGAACTCGCGGGTGATGAAGCCGCTGCCGTAGGCCACCAGCATGCCGTCCTTGTTCATGACGGACGACAGCATGGCGAAGATGGCCTCGTACACGCCGTACTTGAGCAGCGTCACCTGGTCGTTGAGGTCCAGGCCGGCGAAGCCCGGGATGGACTTGGCGAACTCCGTGAGCTCCGTGACCGTCTCCACGGACGTGCACTGGCAGCAGTGGAAGATGCGCACCTCGGCCTCCTTGTGCTGGATGCCCCCGCCGGCCACCAGCTGCGCCACCAGCGTCTTCTCGGCCATGCACAGCGTCTCCATGTCGTGGATCACGAAGGGCTGGGGGGAGGGGGAGGCGTGGGTCGGGGGGACGTCGGGCTCGGGTGTGCCGGGACGCCCGAACACCAGCACCGACACCCGGGACAGCGCCCGTCTCCCGACGCCTCAAGGCTGTGACCACAGGCCCCTTGCATGTGCCCTTTGTGTGCACTACATCGCTGCCCGAGGCACGGGCAGCTGGGGAAGGTCATGGCTGTGCCCCTGTGGGCAAACCCCGGGTCCGTGGGACAGCCCAGAACCAGCATCCTGGGCTACAGGCCGTTCGCCCTGGTCCCACTTCCTGCCCAGAGCCACGGCCTCTGGGGGCTTCCGATCTGACCCACCCCCACAGGACGGAGCCCGTCGGACCGTGTACCAGTGAGGGGGACGTGTCGGGGGGGGCTCAGGGGCGTGGCACAGGCACCCTGGGTGGCTTCTGAGACCCGACTGGCCACCGCGCGGTGAGTCAGGGCCCCTTTAGAAACGCGGGTGGGTGTGACACCTCACCGCTTCACGCGTGAGTGTGGGTTGGGTTCACTTCGGGGTCTCACCAGATCCCTGGGCACCCCCACCCCACCCCACCCCACCCCACCCCACCAGGGCAGCTCTGAGGTCTCCCTGGCAGGGGGGACCCGGACATGGGGAGGGGGTCTCATGGGGCAGCTGGGCTGGTGGGCCGGGGGGTCCTGCTGGCCATCAAGGACTCTGCCCGCAGCACCCCGAGAGCGCAGGTGGCAGGGCGGGGCGGGCTGCAGTCTCAGGGCGGATGCTGCCTTGGGGTGGCACAGCGCGGGCTCATTTCTGGGCACCAGAACCGGGGCTTAGGGCCGGAGAAACAGCATGAGGGGGGAGGCACTTCCTCGCATGCAGCCGGCCCTGGTTCGAGGCCCCGCCTGGCCTCCCCTGAGCACCACCAGGCGTGAGCCCTGAGCCCGGAGCCAGGACTCGGCCCTGAGCACCACCCCGAGTGGCCCAGCAGAGCCAAACGCAGACACACAGGCGTGATTCCAAACAAGCACCAAGGGGCTGGCCAGCCTGCGGCCACCCCCGGGTCGGATCCCAGCACCGCCAGGAGAGATTCCCGAGCACAGAACCCGGGGGACACCCTGAGCATTGCCGGGTGTGGCCCTGCCCCTGCCGCCATCCACAAACACACTCGGGTTGTGCTCCTGGAGGAAGCTGGTTGGTGGGTCATTCACCACAGCCGTGTGACCGTGTGGCTGCAGAGGGCTTTGCGGAGGCTCGAACCCGAGCACTGGGCTCTTGAGAGACGCCAACTTCCAGGCCTGGCCCAGGCAGGGGCAAGTGGGCGCAGCCTGAGAGCCCGCCGGGAGGAGGGGGTTGTTTCTTTTCCTGCCTGGAGGTCAGTCTGGGTCGGGGGGCTGCCCCAAGGCCCTGCCCTCGCTGCCAGCGCCAAGCCCCCCGGCACCCACCGGGTTGTTGCTGGTCTTGCCGGCGAGGATGACGCGGGCCTTGACCTTGTTCATGTTGAAGTTCTTCAGGTACGCCTCGTGGATGCGCCGGGCCAGCCCGCGCAGGTCGGCCGTCTCAGCGTCCTCCGCGTCCTGCTCACACGTGAGGATCTCGGCCTTCAGCTTCGCTTTCTCGGACCTGGGCATCCGCCCGAAGCGGATGGCTGTGGGGGGGGGGGGCAGGGGGAGGGGAGGTGAGCCCCGGGCCGGGGCGGGGGGCACTGCCGACTCCCTCCCCACGCCGCTCGCCGCCAGCCCCCTCCGGGGGGAGTCTGGGGGCAGATTTTCTGTGTTTGGAAGGTCTGAGGTCAGACCACACTCCCCACGGCTGTCCAGGGCAGGGTCACCCTGGGCTTCCTGTCCAACATCCCCCGCGGACCGGAGACCTGGACACACCCCTGGCTTCTCCTGGGCACGGCGGGGAGGGCACTGGCCGTGCACGCGGCTGGACACCCGGTGTGGTCGCCCAAGGCCCGGCAGGACTGACCCCTGAGCACCGAGCCGGGAGTCAGCCTGGGCATCACCGGGGGGTGGTCCCCGAGCCCCGTGGAAGACAGTAGCGAGGAGACACGGGAGGAGGGGCAGCAGGGGGCTCCCAGGGCCTCCGCCTCCCTCCCGCCCCGGCTCCTGCCGCCTCACCCACCGTTGTGGGACATCCCGACCGAGAGGCACTTGTGGAAGCGGCAGGATTGGCATTTGTTGCGGTTCTTTTTCTGGATCTTGCAGCTGCGGTCACACTTGTCATAGACCAGCTTCAGCCGGATGGTGCGCCGGAAGAAGCCCTGGAGACGGGAGCGGCCGCCCGGTGGTGTCAGAGGGCACGGCGGCCCCGGGGGACGCGGGCGGGGGTCCAGAGGAGACCTCCAGGGGAGGTCCCAGGAAGAGCAGGAGCAGGGGCTGGTGCGGGGCTCCCGGGGCCTCACGTGGGGGGCAGTGCCACCTGCGGCATCCCCCCGAGTGTCTGCTCCTCACCCGTGTGGCCTGCAGGCCGCCTGGTGCGAGCGGGTGGGCAGTGGCACCCGGGACCCTCCGAGGGGGCAGGAGCCCTTTGGGAGCGGTTGTTTGGGTTTCCCTGAGATGGGGCCAATGGCCGCGCGGCAGGATGAGTTTCCTGGGCGCAGACCTGCCACCGCCCCCCACAAGCACAGAGAGGGGGACAGGGGCTGTGTCCACGCGCGAGGACAGAGCAGGCCAGAGGTGGGGGCTGCAGGACTCCGCCAGACCCGCCCCCCAACTCCCCGCAGACCAGAGGCGAGGTCAGGGCGAGGGGCGCACGGGGACCCCAGCAGAGGAGGAGACGAGCCCAGGGCCGAGCCCCGAGCGCCTGCCCTGCTGGGCCTCCCGCCAAGCCCCCCCCCCGACCTTCTCTCCAGAGCTAGGGGGCCCTCGGCAGGGGCGGGGGCTCATCTTCCTGCGAAGAACCCGGGGTGGAAAGACAGTAGGGGGATGCGCGGCCTTGAGGACACCCAGGGTAGGCCCTGGAGCTGCAGAGGGTCCCCGAGACCCTCCAGGAGGGTGAGCTGTCCGGAGTGGGCCTAAGCACCGTGAGCTGTGGCTCAACACACACACACACACGCACATGCGCACACACACACGCACACACACACATGAGCACGCACACACACACACATCGATTCACTCTCCCATGAGGATGCACCCACACATGCACACACACATACACACCTGAGCACACACCCACAGGAGCACACACCCACACGTGCACACACACATACACACCTGAGCACACACCCACAGGAGCACACACCCACACGTGCACACACACATCTATTCAAACCCCCACGATCACACACCCACACGTGCACGCAAATGCACGCACACACCCACTCGAGCACACACCGACAGCAGCACACACCCACGCACGCATGTGCACCCACCCATGCATTCACACACACATATGCACGCACCCAAGCACACATTCACACGAGCACACACACCTGAGCACACACCTGCATGTTCACACATGCACACACATACACACACACACAAGCACACACCCAAATGTGTGCAGACGCATGAGCACACACCCACACATGCACACACAAATGCACGCATGTGCACCCACCCACATATGTTCACACGCACACATGCAAGCACCCAAGCACACATCCTCACAAGCACACACACACCTGAGCACACACCCGCACGTTCACACAGGCACACATAGAGGCACACACACACACACGCACGAGCACGGACCCACACACGCACACGCATACACACACCCACATGTGCACAGTCACCCACTCATGCATGCACATACACAAGCAGGTACCCACACGTCCACACACCCCCACACACGCTCGCACCCCCCACCCCGATACCTTGAAAGACCATGACCCGCTCCAGGGGACACAGGCAGCAGCCGCCGAGCTCCCGGGGCGCAGGGCCCGCCACGGCCCGTGTCCTCCCCCCCCACCCGTCACTTCCTGGCGCGGGGAGGGCGGGGCCCCGTACCTTGCAGCCCTCGCACGCGTGCACCCCGTAGTGGTAGCCGGAGGCCTTGTCCCCACAGATCCTGCACTCGATGTTCAGGGCCACGCTGGGCTGCTCCTCGGTGCTCCCGGGAGCCGCCGGGCAGGTGACGGATGAGGGGCTGGAGGCCGGCGAGAGGGTGTCTGGGGGCGAGCGGGGCCGTGTAAGCGCCCCTCGGGACGGGCAGCTCCTGGGTGGAGCCCGCACCCGGGCCACCCGCTCGGCTCAGGGCATCCCGAGACTGTGAGGACCCGGGTTCCAGACTCCCACGCCGACCCGCGCTCCCAGACCCCGACCCGCATCTGTCTCCGCCCCTTCCGGCCGCGCTCACTCACCCGTGACGATGGAGCCCTCGGAGCCGGGCCCGTCCCCCAGGTACTGGTAGTCGGCCAGGCCGAAGCTGCCCTCGCTGTCCTCGCCCACGCCCGGGGCCACGTCCTGGATGTTGCCCATCTCCCGGAGGAACTCCTCGGAGAGCGGGCTGTCCAGCTCGTCGGCCTCCAGCGGGGACAGCGGGCACAGCGGGCTCTCCGTGTCCACCATGGTGCCTGGGCTTCCCGCAGGGCGCGCTGACCTGGGGGGACGGAGGGCAGCGGTGAGGGGAGGGACGCCCGTCCATGCAGATGCCCCTGCACCCGCCCAGCCTGCAGCACACGCGGGGCCGGGCACCTGGGAGGGAGTGGGCGGCTGGCAGGCATGTGGGCACCAGCTTCCTGGCTCCACGAGGGCAGGGCAGAGACCCAGGAGGGACACGGTCCGTGCACATGGCAGGGATGGGCGCTATGGCCACCAACCAGGATCCAGGGAGGAACATGACTGTGTGGGTGTGTGTGTGTGTGTGGGTGTGTGTCCTCGCTTCAGGCTGTGTGCAGAATGCAATGTGTGTGTGTGTGTGTGAGCTTGTAAGTGTATGAATGTATGAGTGTGTGACCGTGTGCATGTCTGAATGTGTGTATGTGTGTATCTAGAAGTGTTTGTGTGTGTGGTTTGTGGGTCTATGCGAGTGTGCACGAACATGTGTGTAAGTGTGCATCTGAGTACGTGTGGGTGTGTGTGACTGTGTGTAGGATGTGGGGATGATTATGTGTAGGTGTGAGTCCATGGAATCTGAGAGTGAACGTGACCATGTATGAGTGTGAATATGAGTGTGTGTGAATGGGTGTGTGCGTGTGTGAGATGAGTGTGAATGTGTGTCAGTGTGCGCGCGTGTGTATATGAGGGTGACTGTGAGTGTACGTGTGTATTTACGAGCGGGAACATGACGGAGTATGTGAGTCGGTGGGTGGGTACATATGTGTAAGAGTGTGCGAGGGAACCTATGTGTGTGAGTGTATTTGTGAGTGTGTGTCCACACAGGTGAGTGTGAATGTGTGTGTGCTTGTGTACGTGTGTGAGTGTTTCAACACCAAAGCCAGTCCCCCGGGGGTGCCCGGGCTGTGGGCAGGAGGGAAAGTCTGACCCCGTGTGACTGTTCGTGGGGCCAGCCAGGCCCGGCGAGCTGCTCTGGCCGGTCACTACAGACCCGTCGTGATGGCCGGAGACGGCGTTGGGGGGCCGCCGGCCTCGTCACGACGCACCCTGAGGAGCTAAAGTGGTCCCGGGGGGTGGAGAGGAGTGACCAGGGCACTGCCTGGCGTGCAGCTGACACGGCACCAGCAGGGTCCAGGAGTGACCCCGGAGACAGAGCCAGGAGCACCCGCTGAGCACTGCCGGGCGTGGACCCAAAACCCAGAGCCACACAGAGAAAGGGACGGAGGAAGGAAGAGGGAGGAGCGAGAGCCGGAGAAAGGAGGCGGAGAGTGGGCGGACAGCCACAGGCTCCCACGGGACCGGGTGCGGGAGGGGCGGGGCCGGGAGCCACGGGCCTGCCCTGAGCTGGAACGTCCCGAGGGGTCCCTCCCCCGCCCAGCCTTGGCCGCCAAGTGGGGGAAGGCGTGTGCCAGCCCCGTGGGCCCGAGCCGCAGAGCCCAAGGGCTGGGAGACGCGTAGGCGGGGACCTGGGGAGCCCTCGCAGGGCCTCAGTGGGTGACAGGTGACGGCGCATGGGCGTGAGGGTCACCCGGACACCAGCCCCGACCCGGCTCTGGCCCCCCGTGCCCAGACCACCAAGCACGGCGGGGCCTCGGCGGCAGGCAGCGCACCCCACCCGCCCCCAAGGGTCCCGGCTGGGCACCCACACCCCAGCTGGCCAGCGGGTCCAGGGACACGGGGACAGAAAGGGCAGCAGGCACACTGCGGACAGGGGTGAGGCCACCGCACGGGGTGGGGCACTTGTCTGCCTGCATGCACACACGGGGTCACTCACACACACACACACACACACACAGGCACACACATATAGGCACACACACACATACAGGCTCACACACACACGGGCTCACACACACAGGCACACACACATGGACACACACACACACGGGCTCACACACACATATGGGTGCATACACACACATGAGCTCACATACAGACCCACGGGCTCACACACACACACACACACACACGGGCTCACACACGCGGGATCATACATACACACACGGGCTCACACATACACATGGTCTCACACACACACGGGCTCATACACAGACCCACGGGCTCTCACACATACACACACACACACACACACACACAGGCTGTGGCACTCAGCCTGGCACGCCCAGCCGGCTGTTTCCCAGGTGCCCCGCACAGACACTGGCCACAGCGCTGACCTGTCCGCACGCCTGCAGGGCCCAGCCCATGCCCTGGGGAGCCCCTGGGGCCCACACCAGGTCACCCCCCCACCATGGCCAAGCCCCCCACACCGCACACCGGGCTTCACACATGCGGGGGAGAAAGGGGAAGGCCACACAGTGGCGCCCGTGGCCGTGCCGGTCAGGGGTTAGAGCTGGGGCTCCCGCGGGCCGAGTGTCGTCACGCCCAGCCCCATGAAGGGGGCATGGTCAGACTCAGCGACTCGTCCAGGGAGGGCCTGGCCAACCAGGGCAAGTGCTCGTGGGACTCAGGGAAGGTTCTAGGGAGGGACGCCGCGCTGAGTCCGGGGGGACCCGCAGTGCAGGTGGGCACAGTGGGCACGAGGAGAGAGCCCCCCCCGAGCACGTGGCTCCCACTGCACCCCAGGGCCCCCCAGTCCGGTGGGGTGGGCGCCTCTCCGGGGTCCCTCGCCACGGCCTCACCGTGGTCACTTGCCTGAGTCCCACACGCCCTGCTGACCCCGCATGGGTGCAGGCCAGTCACCCCCAGGTGGGGGAAGCTGCCTCCTGCCCTGGGAGCACTTTCCAGGGAGCCCGGTGCAAAGTGAAAGGATGAGTCTGCAGGTGGGCGGGTGCCGCCAGGCGCGGTGGGGTGAGGGGTGGACTTTGCCCCAGAGTCACCCCAGACACGCGGAAGATAAAGCTGGCGGGGCGGGGGTGGGTGAAAGAAAGGGTGTGGCCAGAGCCCCGTGGGTGGGAGCGAGCCCAGAGCCTGCGGGGAGCAGGGTGGGGGCGCGGGGGCCACTGAGACCTGGGCGGGCGGGCACAGGGTCTGGGGCCAGCGTGTGACCTTGGGGGGCCAAGGTCAAGGGCACGGGGCGCACTGGGCAGGGCTCACCCCGGCCCTCAGGAGGGACGGTCACCACCACGTCGGCCACAGCCCCAGCGGCACTGACCACACTAGCCGCCAGGCAGGCCGCACTGTGGCCGTGGAGAGGGTGGGCAGTGGCCCCGCGCCCCGTGTGCTGAGGGACCCGAGCCGAACCCTGGTGCTCGGCAGCCGCCCAGGCAGGGGGCAGGCAACCCAGCGGGCCATGGACAGGCGTGACGGCCCTTCTCTGGGACGGCCATGCGGGTGATGCTGGGGCCTGCACCTGAGTCCTGGCTGCAGCTCGGCCAGCAGTGGGCTGGGTCCCAGATGGCCAGAGCCGCTGGGCACGCCGTGGGCACGCCTCCGTCTCAGGCTTCCAGCGCCCACAGAAAGGCTCGGTTCAGAGAGGAGGGGAGAGGCTGGGGGCAGGCCACAGCCTCGGGCCACAGACCCGGGGCCCTGACACCCACACAGCCCTCAGCGTGTGAGCGACGGCCCTTTTGTCACGTGGTGCCAGCACAACGGGCGCCCACGGTAGAGGCAGGCAGAGCCCTGGAGACGCCAACCGCCATGGGGAGCCAGGGGGGAGAAGGCTGAGATGCATTTCAGGACATACACAGGCACATACATGTGCACAGAGACACACGTGTGCACAGACACACACATGCACACACATGCACACACGTACACAGGCACCCACACAAGCATCAGCAGTAACAGTGGCGATTTGCAAGGTCCAGCCAAGGTCCAGCCCCACGCACGGGGGAGACAGGCTGGGGGAGGGAGAGGACCCAGCGACGCATGGGGAGGGGCCGCCGGGGCCCAGTGTGGGCGCAGTCCGGGGTCCCGCACGGGAAGGGGCACGGAGCTTGGGCACGGTCTCACAGCTGCTGGGAGTGACCACCGAGAAAGACAGACGCGGGTCGGGGGGGAGGCCTGCAGGGGCTGGACCCCAACATGAGGGCCTGCAGTCCCGGGTTCCACATGCACAAGGAGGCGGCAGGACCTCCCCAACACACACACTCACACACAGACACAGACACACACAGACACACTCGGACACAGACACACAGAGACATGCCGCCCACACACAGAAACACTCACACACTCACACTCACACAGACACACTCACACACAGACACACACAGACACACACTCATACACACAGACACACTCACACACATACACAGCATGTCAGAACCCCCCAACACACACTCAGATTCACACATACACATTCACACACACACACAGCACGGCAGGACCCCCCAACACACACACACACACTCACACACACACTCACACATATACACTCACACAGCATGTCAGAACCCCCCAACACACAGACTCACACAGACACACACATTCACACACACACAGCACGGCAGGACCCCCCAACACATACACTTGCTCCCACATGCCCACGCACACCGGGGGACCCTTGACCCAGAGCCCTGACCCATAGGCACTGCTCTCGGCACACAGGGCGTCGTGCTTAACCACTCCTTCCATTCAGTGGCTCGGAACCAGACAGTGTGTGCGGGCGTGTGTGTCTGTGTGTCACGTCCGTGTGTGTGCCCACAAGCCCAGCCTGTCTCCCTGGCCCTGAGGTCTGGGTGGGAGTGCAGGGGAGGGGCCCATCCACGGCGCCACACGGCCGGGAATCAGCCAGAGAGGCCCCAGCCCTGGGGCGGCCACTCGGGGCCGGCCTCGCTCACTCCCCAGCCCTGCCCTGCCCTGGCCTCTCCCGCCACAGTCACGGACACACTTGGGCTGCAGCCCCACGCGGCCTCGGGGTCCCCGGGCAGCCCCAGGAGCTCCCTGCTGGGCTGCCCCTGGGCTGTGGTCTGGCCACTGGACGGCCCCTGGCAGGGCCGCGGGTTCGAGGGGTCGGGCGCCGGGTCTGACAGCTGGCTGAGGAGCCAGGGTGGGGGCCCGCGGGCGGGGAGGGCACTGGCCTCGCAGGGCCCAGCTCAGGTTTGATCCCCGGCACCGCAGAGGGTCCCCCTGAGTCCCCCC